GATTCTATGATTCTATGATTCTGTGATTGATATGAGCTTTGATTCATTCTCTAGAGTTTAGAAATTGTGGCTGCTTCCTTGTCTCTCAAAGAGACCCACTACTTAAATGACTTACTCCAGAAGTTACAGTTGTTAAATGATTTGAAAAGTTATTCTTGTCATTTTGTAAGGTCCTTTTGGTATCTGTGGAGAATAAGGTAACTCATAAATGTATGCCTTTTTGTCCACCTGTGAATTAAAGCTGAATACCTAATTTAAGAAGACAACATTCAAAGTAGCTTTCCTGGTTTCTGTCCTCTGTTGAAAAGAGGCTAGAGGTGGATGTCTACTCCTCCAAAACGTATGTTTCTATTTGGCAAGCTACCTGGGTCACAGAAAATACCTAAGAATTCACACTCTGTCGAATACACTTGTTTTGGTTTGTATTCATATAGCGTAGAAAAATAAGTACATGGAGATGATGGATGTGCTTTGCCATTGCTCAGTATTGCAGTTTTACTTGCATCCAGGTCAGATAATGGAATAAATGATTTGGCCAGTAAATTCCTGTTTACATTTACTTTTTGGCTGAGCTGAACCGGTAAGCTGATACTGGTTCAAAATTCAGGACACAGTTATTACTAAGTTTGTAATTAGCATGCAAGTTTATTATCACATTATCATAAGTGCAATGCACTTGTGATTCTGCATCTCAAATTTCACCCATAAGCTCAAGTAAACTCTGTAGCAACCTCTCAAGCATCCAACAGACTTACTTTTTTTTCTGCCCTCATAGGATGGATGATTTTCACAACCAGAGGTAGGTTTCTTTCCTCCCTGCACTGTAGCTATAATATTGATTACAGATATTTCAGCTGAAGCCTGTGATGGACAGCCAAGAAGCTGCAGTCACAGGTTGATTTGTTCAAATAGTGTTGTGTATAAAGCCTATAGATGATATGAAGGCATTCAGAACATCCTGTGAGGGTTGAACATCACAGATACTAACCAGTAACTTGACTGATATGCTTTATTTGGGTAATCACTGCTGAACTGAACAAAAATTTGTTGGCAAATGATGGGGTATAAAGACAGTTATTCTAAGAATTTTTTGTGTACAGTCATATTGCATTAAAGCTTTTCATCTGTGAGGAGAAGAAACGCATTTAACATCTTTAGAAGTGCTTTTTCCCTTCTGCAAAAATGGTCAGTGAGAAATGAAATATCATCAACCTTACTGCAGCTGAGGAACACTAACTAAATGTTTTTCCTCGGGTCTGGACCAAGGTCCAAGATGACATTCTGTAACAATGTTGAGGGTTTTTTTTGCCAGCAGAACTCTCATTTATAAGTTATGACTTCACTTGCTGTTGGGACTGAATGAGCAGTTTGTTCTTTTGTGGTAGCAATATCAGCCAGGAGAACTTTTGAGCGTGTTTCACGGAGTGAAAAATTGTCTTCAGGAGTTAAGAATTTGCTAAGGAAAATGGAGTGGTGATGGCAGGAGGGTTGGTTGGTTGTATTTCCAGTTATCTGGCTTTCCTTCCCCAACTGTATAAGATAACCAAGATGAAAACCCGTCATTGTGGAGTTGTTCATGGAGCCCACCCCTTGGTGTTGACAGCAGGAAGCACTTTGGAGCTTTTCCTTGGTGCTTTCTTCTCTCTCAGATGAAAGAAGTCAAAGTTTCTGTTCAGTGGTAGTCCTGTTGGATAACACTGGAAGTACTAACTTGTTCTGCTTACAAGGTTCCATTCATTGAGTCTCTGCTTCAGTAGTCTTTCTTTCTGTGCTTCCCTTTTAGGAACAGTTATTTTGATATTACTTCTAATGAAACAAATATGTGCACGGTTTGAAGAAAAGCAAGTGTGTATCTCCATAGTTACAATTGGAGACACGTGCAAATAAGCTATCTGCATCCACCTTTTGCTCACATATCTAAAAAAAAATTTGAATCTGTGAAAGTACTGAAAGGAAAGGGGATGACCCAGTTTATTTGCAGCCTTAGCTCTAAGTGTAAGAGCTTGTAGAACTTGGTTCTCCTGGCCAGTGCTGCTAGAAAAATATGATATGCATTGGCCATGTAATGGAGTATACAGGTAAACAGTATAGCCCAAAAGTATGCTTTAAAGGTAAGTAGTGATATTCTATTTAGTTTTGTATATTTTAGTCAAAAGACACTTTTTTTCCCTAAACAAGACTAGCTGAATCTTACTTTTTTTAGTTACAAGGGTTTTTGTACTTACCACACGTAAATTATTTTGGACTGCTTATCAAGTTCTGAAGATCCAGCCGATTCAAAACTCATAACACAGTTACTAACCACGCAAAGAAAGCTGAGAGGAGTTCTGTTTTCAGTTTGCAAATTTCACACTTAAGCAAAGTAAGATATGCATGGAAGTCAGTTGCTTCCATTCCTGCATTCGTAAAGGCTTTGAGAAGTTAGCTTTGGAATTTGAAAATACCAACTCTGTAAAACGTTTTCCTTAAAAATAATTTATTTCTCGGATAAGGAATTACAAAATTTGTTTCATGTGAAAGTACTTGTCTCTACATCTTGCACAACAGTATTTAGTGTTTCCTTAAGGGTAATACAGTGTTATGCTTTCATTTGCAACTTTGGAAAAAATGGGTATATATCTAGAATCATCTTTTATTTAAAGGCAGTATCACGTATTTATTATTTGAGAAAACAGCAATCCTCAACTATTTATCAGCAATTGTTGAAGCACCTAGGAGCAGTGTGTTTTTCTCACGATGAGGCAGGAAAGGCACATGTACCTGTTCAGGTGTCTGCAGATCACTTGATATGCCACTGTTACATGACCAGAATACAACTTCTGCTAAATTTTGTTAATATGACTGTGCATAGGTGACATGGTTGTTGTGTGTCTAGTTTGCTTCATTGTTGGCATGCAGCCATGACACATACTTACTGGACATGTTCATTCCTGGCGGGTGACTGTTCAAGTGCATTTGCACAATGGGAGAGCTTACATTTTTCGTTACAGTCATCCATGATTGAGGGAGGAGGGGAGACAGGGGCCAGAGGTAGACTTCCAGAACAATTAGCTTTTTTCTGCTCCTATCCGGAAAGCTTGTGCAAAAGAGGGATGCGGTAAGTAGGCTGCTTGCTGAATAAATAGTTCTGGTGGCAATATTAGCCCTTAGAACCGTCTCTTGAGTACTTTGGCATGTCGAGTTTAATGCAAAAGTAGGCATAAAAAGTTAAAAGATACTATATTGGAGAAATAGCCAAATTGTTAACTAAAATATTAGACACATGTTAAGGCAGAATTACATGACTAGGAGGAAGAATTCTGTATTTTCAGGGGTTGTTGTTGTTGTTGTTAAATAGTGGTTCTGTCTCTTTGTATTTCCTTCTGTTGTTAATACAAAAAAAAAGCTGCAGGCAGACCTTCAGGAACATTTCTTCTAATATGCATGCAGTCTGGTAGTACACAACTGCTGCTGTTGGAAAAACTTCAAAAATCCCATGGTAATTCTTAGAGCCAGACAATTCCTTTACCACGTCTTCACTTCACACATATCCAACATGTAGTGCAAATATAATCCTTCGATGAAGGGTACCCACGTTTTCAAAGGGATTCTTTACCTATGCTATTAAACCTGATTTTTTGAAAGCATTACTTAATACCAATACGCGCTGTTCCTTTACACATGTAAACTACATGGAGATTTATATAATTTCTTTATTCAGTCATCACTAGAAAAGAGCTTTGTTTCCAGAACAGTGAGATTTGATAAAACTGGTTTGTAATAAAAGTGCTGAAATTACTGTATCAGCAGTTTCCATGCAATAAAAAGGAAAGAAAGTTTGAGCAAGATGTATAAAACCAGAATTATATTATAAGTCTAAAAGATTTGTAAGTCTGTAAAGTGCTATGCTGCACACAATGAATCATGTAGTCTCAGAGTTCAGACTTTCACTAATGATTATTCAGGAAAACGTGTAGAAATTATAAATATAGATCTAAATTAACAACACCTGGAATGCTTTGAGCAGCAATTGTTTCCCTGTATCAATTTTGTTAATAAAGCGGTAATCGGTCAAAATTATCATGGAAAGAATATGGAATCTCCTTTGTGCAGTTATTTTTCACTTCATATATTTTCTGTCATTTCTCTAGAGACAGTGTGACTGAAGTCACATATGAAATTTTTTATTGTGAAAATGCGCTTTCTTTAGAGCTTTCATTGCCTGCTTTCTACACAGGTATAGGTGTTTTAATGGTGATGAGCATGTTGTCTATTTCTCTGTCATGTTGGTTTCCTGCTAGTATTATGAAACTACCTTCCTTTGTGATCCTGTGACCATATAGTTTAATTATAGTGTAATTGTTAGATGACGTAAACATTCTGATTTCTGGAGAAGATAATGGCTTTCAGTAGTTTAGAAATAATACACTTGCTTGTCGCTTCAGTGCTTTTATCTGATGCAAGAGCAGTTTGATTTTAGGAACCAATAATGCACTTCATACTAAAAGAAATCACAGAAACAATGTCTAAAAATACATCTTAAACAGGCAGGAAACAGACATGCTAGTAGTGAGTATGTCGGCATTGTTAGAAATGAACTGCATAAGTAATTGTTAATTATGTAAAACAAGGGCTATATGACCAAGTTTGAGTCAAGTAAAATCCTTAACAAGTGGTAATTGAAAAAAATAGACCAGGTGATGCCTATTGAGTTTAACTACAGTACTTTCTGTCTACTTCATAATGCTATTTTATTGAAGAATGAAAATGATGGTTATTAAGCAAAACTTATGCAGTTGTTTGAATTTCCTGTTTTGCTGGTCATTTTTGTCTGCTCTTTGGAAGTTTCTGCTTTAGAGGATGCGATATTTTCCAGTGTGTAACTTTGTAGCAGGTTGTTTAGAAGTAGAGTTTCTGTCATCTTTCACGTCTACTTTGATGACACATTTTGAGCTGTCTCTCTTACTGTTCTGTGAGTTCTTTCTCATACCCTACAAATGGCGGGGTGAGGAGTTATTTACTATTCTTGTTCTATTCATTCTTCTAGTATAACTCTTTTAGAAGACATGGGATATAATTATAAGTTTTGTTTATAGACGGAAGTGGAGAAAGAGGTGAGAAGGATGCCAGCAAAATCACAACCTATCCGCCAGGGGCTGTCCGCTTTGACTGTGAACTGCGAGCCGTACAAGTCAGTTGTGGATTTCACCATTCAGGTAAAAACAAATAAATCAATGTTAATTATAGCGTAGAATTTTTGTTGGTTTTTTTTTAATGTTGTCATATGTGTTTTCACTGCTTTGTGTTTGATTTTCAATAAGGATGTACACGGGATTGTTACAGATTGAAAAGGTTGCAGGCTCATTTTGTAGCCTGCTACACTGTCCTTCAACAGTGAAAAGGACTATAAGTGTCATATATTGAGTTACATCAGAGCTTTTAAGCAATTTTTGAGTTATTTGAAAACATCTGCATGGCACAGCTCTATCCCTGCATAGAGATGCTAGGTGTGATGGATTGTGGAATCTGGTATAGATCTCTTAGCGTTTCAGTAGGGATTGTTAACTATGCTGCTCAGAAAGGCTAAACAGCACTGGTGCAGTACCATGTTAACATGTGCATATGTCAGAAAAATATTATTCTTTTTTGTTTGTTTTTCAGTGGTTTTGATGGAGAATGGTGATGTTTACACATTTGGATATGGGCAGCATGGGCAACTTGGACACGGTGATGTTAATTCCAGGTGAGCTGGTAATTAAAGGACATGATTGTGTATTGCTGTACTGCTGCATAAAAAGTGGCTAAATTTGTGTTTTTCTATAGCTAGCAAGTGTAAAAATTTAAATATTGTCCAAATAAAGTTGATAAGCTCTTGTGCTGCAGTTATTCCCCATAACCCCCTGGATATAGATACAGTAACAGTATTGTTGTACTGTGTAAGTAATTTGTTTAATACATGAAGGCTTCTGCGCATATTTATTAGCATAGCTTTGATAACTGAGTTTGAAATGCTTCTGTATCTTCAATTCTCCCTACATATATGAGAATGACATTGAAATCTCATTAAGATTTCATTATTTCTGTAAAATACTACATATGCAATAATTCAAATAGTATGATGTTGTAAGCCTAGATTAACCTGTTTCTGTTACACCATTGACAGTAGTTCATTTATGATAAAATCTCATTTTTGTTTATTATTAATCTCCAAAATTAAGTCACTAAGCTTGGGTCTCAGCTGCATTTTGTAGACACTTATTTTGGATGTCAGCATGAGAGTGATGTGTGCTTTCTTGCGGTCAATGGAAATAGAGAAGTCAACAGTGTGGAGAGCTATTTGGCTAACCACCCACTACTTTATCTACTTTATGCTCAGTAGCTCTGTAAACTTTATGGGCTTGATCTCCATTGACTACAGTGAGAGCATAGATAATTAAATATACGTGTCTTTAATGTGAAGCTCAATCTCACCCTTAGTATCTCATCCTTAGTATCTTATGCACTAACTGAAGTAAAAAAATCAGTGTCCTGCCATAAAAGAAAATGTAATAATGTTGTTCTTTGGGCACGTACATATACCATATAACACATAAGACGGGATTTTGAATAGTAGGAATCATTGAGGTTTTGTGTATGTCCAGTAATGCCCGGTATCCTTATGTAAAAGGCATACAGAGTGGAGCGTCCATGACCTGTCTTCAATTCTGTCATTTCTCTTGTAGCAGTGAGATGAAAATTATTGAACATCTATCCTCCTAATCTCTTTGGAGACTTCCAAATAATTTCTTTTGTCAAGTTTTTGAAGAAATCTTCGTCATCTTAAAACTTTCACTGGATTCACCAAACAAAAGGAGGAGAGGGAAGGAAGAAGGAAAGTTTACTGCAAGTGTTACTTTGTATTGACTGCTGTGCCCAATGGTAGTCTCTAAACTGTTACCCTCCTCAGTTTACATTGGACTGGTGAATGCAGTCTGTTTCTGCCTATGGTAGAGCCATATCACAGAGAAGTACTCTGTTTTTCATTCCTGGAAATTCTTGGATACTTGTTCCAAGCTACAACTGCTTTAGCTGGCAACTCAAGTCACTACTAGAATAAGGCCAGTTTCTGTCTTAAAGACTGAAGAGGTACAAACAGCGGTGGCATTTGTACTGATAACTTTCTGTCTTCTATTTCCAACTTTGATGAAATCACTTGGCTTTTCTGAAGGCATCGAAGCTGTCTACTGTATCTGTCAGAATTTCAGGCAGTAAACCCCACATCTATTGCTTATTTAGAAGAAGCTGGATGGAGACCAAATGTAGTTCCAAGTGAGATCCTAGAAGAGAACATGAAACATCCTGTGCCAAAGGATAGTGCTTGACTAGGCCTAGAAGCTGAGGAGGTACAAGCGACTTGGCGCTGACCATTGTATCATTCTACAACAGACCCTAGAGAGTGTCTGAAAAAAGCCTTGAAGAAATTCGGAGTATGTCCTGTGCATGTGAACTGGCTATAGTACTATATTGCTGTTTAGCACCATCATTCAAATGATAATTTCCTCATTGATGTACTTCTTTTTCCAGCTTTAAGTAGAGATCTCTCCTCTGTCCTCACAGTAAGGGATTCAGAGAAGGAAACAGGGAATCCTTATGCAGAGTTCCACCTCATTTGGGACACAGTGGTGCTCAGATGCCAGCTCCAGCCAGGTCAGTGGTATGTCAGTCATGCAGTGTGTCACATTGCCTGTATTGACCTCAGGAAGACCATCATCTTCTGAATCCAGGAACTGATACTCTACTGTGTTTCTGGGAGAGAGAGAGAGGGGAGAAAAAGGAAGTAGTATTTAGGCAGCCTAGCTAGTATATCTAAATATGGGATCCTCTGAAAAACAAGAAATGTCAGGGAAAATGCAGGAACTCTCATTTTCATCTGAGGGAGCCATCTTCATTGCCAGATGAAGCAATGATGAAAGTTCCTGGGCAGCGATTGATGACTTATCCTTTCAAAGACTTCTGTCTTGCAATGTAAAGATTTAGTAATGAGACTGTATTTTAAAAAGTCTTGAAAATGCTCAACTATTTTGAATTCTGCGCACCTGTACAGACATGTCTTTCTCCTTAATTAAGGGGATTCTGGACTCCTCTATTAGAGTATGGTAAACACCACAAATTCTTCCTCCTACTTCAGTAGCAATGAGGCATATTACATGCCCTAGAAGGACTTCAGACTATTTTTTATGCACACAAGCAAACAAAACAGCAGATGAACAGGATGATGTGATTCTCAATAAACCATTAATAGAACTGAAATGGTGGGGAGGAACAAGCAATATGCACAAGGTGGTGTTATTTTTTTCTCCAGCAAAGACTTCAGCCATTCACAGATCGACCGCTTAAAAATGCATGTGATCTGGTTCCTGGGAGGCCATTTTTGCCATATCAATATGCTGGAGGCATTAAACTAGTCTGCGTAGGCTTTCTGTTGTAAAATCCACAGTGGCAGATGTTGATGAGCTATTCACTACATGAAGGATTTGTCAGTCTCTGCTTATATTCTCCTCAAATTAGATGCTGGTGGATAGAAACTCAGTGGAAACAAGAAATGCTTTGCAGTATCTAGTCTTGGTAAAAATAGCATGTCTTGTATTCAGGTGAGCAAAGACCTGTTTGTTGCTGATGCTTCTCAAGAAGCTGGGACTTAAAACTCCAGGATCTTTCTGTTGTTCAAAATTTGCCTGCATTTCTTGTACAAATTGTTGACTTCAGCACAATGTTAGCAAGCACATGATCTGGCAGTCAAGCTCCAGAAATGGAACAACTGAAGTAAGAGAATCCTGATATGATTTTGCTTCTGAGGGTTCAACAACAACGTGGAAGAAAACTGAGCAGACCTTCCATGGACAGTCAGCTATGTTCTGTTTGAAAACAAAGCATAGAGACTATATCCTGTTAATATCTCTAGGAAAAAAAATGTGTTCCATCATCTCTGTTTGATAGGACCATGTTTCTAGGTGCATTGTCTGATTATTTTACTTCAGCAGTGGAGTGCAGGTCTTAATGTCTTATTTACATCTTTTCACCGAACTTCCAGTTACCTCTAAAAATCGCCTTTTCTTTTTTTTTTTTTTTTTTTAAACCAACTCTGCCTGCAATTGATAGAAGTTACTATTGGTTTTCCTTTACCCACTACGTAGTAACAGCCCATGGTGAACCTGAAATTACAGCACCACGGTCAGCTGCCCCTCCAAGTGACATCTTACTGGACCTGACAGCCAGCTGTTGCCTGGATAAGTACAATGGACAGCGATTGTTCGAACAGTTAACACAGAACGCATTTTCAAAGAACACATCTGCTCCCAGAAATCTTTACCCTTCAGGATGGAAGAGGGTTTCGGTGTGGACAGCCAAAATTCATTTGGACCTTCTACAGGATCCTGAGTTAGCTGATGCATGTATATCTGCTGCTTTTCATTCAGCAGTCTTACATTTTCCCAAGGGATCTCAGGTTACTTTCTGTGTAGTTGAGGTTGGTCTTTTGTGATTGACCTGTGTCAAGTACCTGTGTCATATCCAGAAGCCAAAGAATCTGTGAGTTGTCCTTCAACTCCATCCCAGAAGAATACTTCCTGCTTTCTCCCATTCAAATGGAGAAACCCTGGTTGTCAAAACTTTGTCCAAAGAGTCTCTCAGACTCTTAAGTGTCTATGCTGAGCTTTTCTGTGTTGAGTTTAAGAGGGATAAGGAAATACTCAATAGTATCACAGGTTTTAAATTCCATATACATCAGTCAAACCAGCTTACTGTATTTTTCCAAATCCTTCCTCTGTTTATGAAGTGAAAACTATTTTTCTGTAATCTTACTTTATTCTTTTGACATAGTTAAGTGTCTTAAGCTTTTTCCTGTTTATTTCTTTAGTTGGTAAACTGTAGTTGGCCATTCCAAAAGCTGGGTGATCTTAATAAAAGAGCTATTTAAGAGGATAATATATTACATCTGTTTACATTAGTTGCTTGTCTAGTTTTGCTCTGCTGCTGCCAAGGCAATATCGTACACAGCGTTCAGATAACGTTGCTGATAGATTCAGTTGGCAAAACAGAAAGATAAATAGTTTTGGTGATAATAGCTTAACTTTTATGCATTAAATAAATGAAATGTTCACTTTTTTTTTTTAAAGCATAGGATTGATAATTCCATGCCTCCAGCTATCATAATTTTGAGGGAGAGAAAAAACCCTTTAATCAAAATATCTCCCTTTAGCAGCAGGAATGCTTTTGGATTAGTTCTTAATTATGTTTTGTTTCTGCTTCAATGCCTTTTTGAGCTTCCTTAAAGTTAATGGGAAGCAAATGTTTCTTCTGTTTTTAAAATGTTTCACCATTGGTGCTGCTAGACTTTGCTCCGTGTGTCTGTGTATAATCACAGAATCATAGAATCATTTAGGTTGGAAAAGACCTTTAAGATCATCAAGTCCAACTGTTAACCTAGCACTGCCAAGTCCACCGCTAAACAGTGTCCCTAAGCACCACATCTACAAGTCTTCTAAATACCTCCAGGATGGTGGCTCAACCACTTCCCTGGGCAGCCTGTTCCAATGCTTGACAACCCTTTCAGTAAAGAAGTTTTTCCTAGTATCCAATCTAAATCTCCCTTGGCGCAACTTGAGGCTGTTTCCTCTCATCCTATCACTTGTTACTTGGGAGAAGAGACCAACACCTACCTCTCTACAACCTCTTTTCAGGTAGTTGTAGAGAGTGATAAGGTCTCCCCAGAGCCTCCTTTTCTCCAGGCTAAACAACCTCAGTTCCCTCAGCCGCTCCTCATAAGACTAGTGCCTTAGACCCTTCACCAGCTTCGTTGCCCTTCTTTGGACACGCTGCAGCACCTCAATGTCCTTCTTGTAGTGAGGGGCCCAAAACGGAACACAGTATTCGAGGTGCGGCCTCACCAGTGCCAAGTACAGGGGCACGATCAGTTCCCTAGTCCTGCTGGCCACACGGTTTCTGTTACAAGCCAGGATGCTATTTGCCTTCTTGGCCACCTGGGCACACTGCCGGCTCATGTTCGGCCGGCTGTCAACCAACACCGCCAGGTCCTTTTCCTCCGGGCAGCTTTCCAGCCACTCTTCCTCAAGCCTGTTGTAACCCAAGTGCAGGACCTGGCACTTGGCCTTGTTGAACCTCATACAATTGGCCTCAGCCCATCGATCCAGCCTGTCCAGGTCCCTCTGTAGAGCCTTCCTATCCTCAAGCAGATCAATGGTCCTGCCCAAATCTTACTGGTGTCCAAACCCATCTGCCTATAGACGAATAAAGGCACCCTTTGGTCTCTTCATCTCCACTAGAGTCATCCACTGGAAGCTACATTCACCACGAAGGAATAATTTCTTTCTGTATACCTGTGTTCCCGTTCCTTCAGGTCATCAACCTATCTGCATGCTGCATTCCTCTGTTCCACATTTCCATACGTTCAGATCTTCCCATCTACCTTTCCTTACTAAACATGCGATGCCTCTCCTTCCCCTTACTTTCTTGACTTCGGTTTTGCCTGCAATTCAGCCAAAACCAGAACATGCAGATAAACCATCTTTTTGCACATCAGCTGCTAAACAATCGCTAGGTAACTGTGCGCTGACACTTTTTTTTTTATTCCAGCATAAGGCAACCTGTTCTTATTTTAGATTAACCTACTTTGAAAGTGTGTGTTTAAAAGTAAGTTTAAATAGTGCTGCTGTTCTCTGGGGTCAGAGTTCCCAAACATAGAGTTACTTGGGAATAACTTGTTTTTCAAATTCATAGTCTTTCTAAGTCCACAATAAATTTGAAGTCTAGGTAGACATTCATTATGGAATTCAAAGTCTGGTACAGTTCTTGTAGGCTCCTGTTCACTTTGTTGGCATTAAGATAAAAATTTTAGTTTTAGTATCTCATACTTCTTTTTTTTTATCTTTTCTGCTATTTCTATTCTAAGCCATCACTCCAAGTTTTCTTTCTTTGCTTCTTGAACATACTATTGAGGTTTTTTTCTCCTCATTTTTACTGGAATGGAAAATTTATTTTCTTATACCTGTCCATATTTGGGAGGTACATGGATTAGACTTTTTTAGATCTTTCTGGAAAACAGTTTGGAGAGGTTTGTTCTTTCTTGAGTCTATGAGTTTGATGGAGAGCAGTTTTTTAATGCCTTATTCTACATTAGAAAGCTGATAGAAGTGGGTAGACCTTCTCTTTCTTTTATTATTCCCTAGACAGTGATCTCAGGAGGGCCATATCAATATTGCTTATGGTAATTGTATTAGGGTACCACATAAGGCTTTGTTTGCTTCATAATGCAAACAATTTTGTTAAGTGCTTAACCACCGTCCTTACTACAGATTTTTTTTTTACTGCTACAGTTCATTGCAATATGTTTTATATGCGTACATATATACATGCAATATATATTAGTGTAACTACAGTACCATTAATGCAGTCCTACAATTATGTATTAAATTAACCATTTTTATTCTATGCTAATTTCTGTGTTTAACTGAAGAGGGGGTACTTGTTCTGGTTCCCTGTAACAAGAAGGCATAAACTTAAATATCCAGTACAGTCTTTCAAACCTCTGTTCATTTAATATGTAAGATGTTGCTTGACTCTGGTTCCATATAATATGTGGACATAGTGAGTATATTTCACAGTGATTGAAATTCTTATAATACTAATGTATGTGTTAAATGTTGCATAATCATGTACTGATACAAAATTAATTTATTTTGATATAGGGGATGTCCCACTTTGGTGCAAGCATTACCAGGTCCTAGTACGCAAGTTACTGCTGGGAGCAACCATACAGCTATTCTCTTAATGGATGGCCAGGTTTTCACATTTGGAAGTTTCTCAGTAAGGAAATAATAGTATTTACTTATGGGAATAAGCTAGTAGTTAATGTATTGTTCAAAGACCTTTCAAAACCCTTTTCTTATACTTACTCGTATAGAGCTACTCATGACTTCTGCATGTCTTTCGTGTCTGTTATGTTTAAAAATGTTGCCTCTAATATTGTTGTGGTTAGAAAAGCATGATGCCAGAAATTCTTGGTCATTTTTACATTTTAATGAAGATAGTGATTTACAACTGGGTTATTTCATAAGGTGCACCAGTTTTCTCAAACTTTTATTGTTGCAAGCTCGTTGCAAATAAGTATCTATTGCATATTCTATTACCTGTCTGTCTGCATTCGTTAGAAAAAGTAAGTGTCCTGTTTTCTTTCATAGAAACGGCAATGAGTTGCAGAAGTTATGCTTACACTTGAGAGGAGGTTGTTGCTCAGTATAACACAGCATAACTCTGGTACTCTTCTTTCACATCTGCATGGCATATATTCTCTTATGTCCATGTGGAATCCATTGTTATATTCACTGAATAAGCACTTCAACATCGTTTAGTTCCCCTTTGTCCTGACTTTAGGCCTTTGTGCCTCCTTGTCTTTGCAAATACCCCCTCACTGCAATCTCTCCAGAGTCATCTGTTGTTCATGCCTTCCCACTAATGGTCTTTGGCAAAAGCTAGATTATAGGTATTGAGCTGTTTTTATATGCTTTAAAAACTATGTACTGCCAAACACAACAGAAGAGAAATTGCACTTTTTGAAATTTGTCTTTTTAAAAAAAACTAAAAAAGGTGAAAACTGAAATTTTAGAATTGGAAAATCATGTTTTGAATTAAGAGTGTGCCACAAGATGGCTTTTACATTAGGTAGTATTTTGTTGTTTTTCAGACTTTAAGTAAGAGCTTTGGTGTCCATGTTTTTGTCAAAAGTGACTTGGACACGTAAAAGTTTAAGCTTTGTTGACTTGCAGTGGAACTTAGCCCCTGAAAAACCAAATTCACTCTCAGAAATAGGATTTAAAAGCCTGTCTGTTGACTAAGGTTTTTTGTTCTTTTTCTAAAAGAAAAAATAAATGTAGACCATATTTAGACCACCTGTTCTATGTGTCTGGTTTTAATATTATAATGCTTGAAAGTTTGTTGAAAGACTCATAAAGTCAAGACAAGCTCAAAAGCAAGCATGTTTCTTGAAAATGTCCTCACTAAGTTTACTTACATACAGTGTTATGTAGAAAGAGAGATGAGTAACATGCTGGACAGAGGGTATTTGCTGTACATGCATGTTTCTTCTCCCTTACAATTTTAAATAAAAAGTTACCTTGACTTCATTAGCCTGCAATGAATTTCCTTTGCCTGAGTGAGGTAGATGGAGTCTGAACAGGTTTATTGAAGCAGTTCTTACTACATTTTTAGGTACAATGTAGGAACTGCTGGTCCATCTCTCAGTAACTAGTTGCACACAGGAGATAAGGCCCTAGATCTCCAGGTCAGGATGTTAATGAGCATGTGCAGAGGTGCTTGCTTAGGCACTTTATGCTCTTTTAGCTCAAGTTTGATGTGCTAATCAATTTCTACATACTTCTAAGAGGTATTTGCTCTGTAGGACTTACGGTCCATCTAAGTTCAGAATTGAGTGGAATTTAGACTGTCTGAATCTGAACATAGGTTTATTATTTTTTTTCTCCTATTAATTCATTCCTTGTTTAGCACTGAAGGTATTTGGCTATTGAGTATTGAAGGAGAATAAATGCTTTTGTATCTGATTCTGAAGATGGAAAGGAGAGTTATCCAACATGGAGAGTTTGAGTTGCATTAAAAAAAAAAATTTCACTCAAAAACCTAACTGAATAGGGAGGATAATATCTGTCAATAACTTGTTCCTTGTATTTAAATGTGTAACGCTTCACTTAGAGTAGCCATTGCTTTTTGAAGCTAATTTTCTGGTAAGCTATCTCTTCCAGATTACTAATTTTGTATGTTGAAACTATCAAAGTAACTTGTTCATCTTTGAGACTTACTGTTACTTACTAATTCTTGCATTCTCTCTATAGAAAGGTCAGCTTGGTAGACCAATTCTGGATATGCCCTACTGGAATGCAAAACCAGCACCTATGCCTAATATAGGCTCTAAATATGGACGCAAAGCAACATGGATTGGAGCGAGTGGAGACCAGACTTTTCTCCGGATTGACGAAGCTCTCATTAATTCTCATGTGCTTGCTACATCAGAGATATTTGCAAGCAGGCACATAATAGGCAAGAATTCTTCTAGAATATTTTAAATGCTTATGGAAGTATTGGAGAAAAAATAGCTTTGGTCATGTGAACAATAGAGGAGCAACAAGTCAAAAATGTGAATGGAGGGAATTAAAATATTTTGACTTTTTAGTTATACTGCACATGGTGATCCTAGCTCCTTTAGAAATGCAATTTTACTAAAAATAGGAATGTAAAAGTCTAAACTTTTCTTTCACTTAAATCTTACTATGGTTTATTTTTTGCTGTAGCAGTATATCTATTCTTCCCTACTACATTAATGCTTCATGCATAGAAAATGCCACGTAATCAGTGGAGTCTTCATGTTTTTCTGCTCTTTTTGCACCCTGATCTAGGTTTGGTACCAGCTTCAATATCAGAACCTCCTCCTTTTAAATGTCTTCTGATAAACAAAGTAGATGGCAGTTGCAAAACATTCAATGATTCTGAGCAGGAAGACCTTCAAGGTTCTGGTGTGTGTCTGGATCCTGTCTATGATGTTATTTGGAGGCAAGTGTGGATTATAGCTACTAAAGTCATAGTATAGAAATCCTTTTTAAAATATTTTGGGATGCAGGAGATTTGATTATGCTCATTTCCCTAGTAAATGAAAAACAATTTTTAGTCTTCTATGTATCTTTTTTTCACATTTTTTGGACGATTTGTTCAAGTAAGCCCAAAACAAACATCTTCTCTTGCCCGAATTTTTTTATTTCTTTTCTTTTTTGCATCATTCACATTCCAGTCTCATGATGTTTGGGGGACCCCAATCTATTCCACTTATGTACTCTTTTTATTCTTCCCTTACTTTCCTCCATCTACTTAACACTTTACTGAATAATTTCCTTGCCATACCCAGCTTCCACAACCTTGTGACTTAAATCTTCATCTTCTCTCAGGCATTAGTGATTTAGAGTTAAATAGGAGAAGACATGGAGTGATGATATTCTTTTCAGTCCTGACATCTGAGAGGTCAAAATAAAGATACTTATTTAGATAGCATAGACATTCAAATTATGGTTATATTTATTTCACAGTCTTTGGGGATGGTTGCGTTCAGTGAAGTCTTTGAGCAGGTGTAGATCATAAGCCCTTGTTCCAAAACAGAATCATAATATCAAATTCTTCTATAATGATCTAAAAGCTATGTTAGCCAGGATTTGGAAGAGAAATTTGAACTGTCATCTGAGTGCAACTGATGGATGATGTTTAAACTGTTTGAAGACTTAGGCAAAACAAGAGTAATCACTTACAGTTAGAATAAAGCAGGAAACCAGCTAGTCTGCATTCATCTGGAAAAGATAGTATCATGTAGGATCATATCTTTAAAAGATCATTTTGTCCATAGGCTGCTTGCATCCTACTTTGGATGTCTTCATCCAAAATTGAGATTCAAGAACTTAATAGCCACTTAACATTGAAGCATGCATATTTGCTAAGCATGTTCTTTATGACCTCTGAAGTTCCTTGGATGGCTGTAGTCCTGCATTATGCACATCCCCAGGTTTGTTTGAATCTCATTAGCTAGGTACCAGTTCTTACTTGAATTATGCTGAGATTTGAAATAAGGAAGAGTAGCACCCGCATCCCTTAAAGCTCTCGGTCATGATATTATCAGCATGATCAAAACAAACTGAAAGACTCAATTTATGAAAAATGCAGTTGTTAATGGCATTGGGAAAGCAGCAAGTTTCAGGGGAGAAAAGGTGATGACCCTTAACTTGATAACACACTAAAATGGTTATTCAGCCTGAGGAAGTTCAAAGACACACATTAAAGATATCATGGGCGAACATGGGTTGAGGTGTTTTATTGTCTTGCAAAATTTTGGGGACTGTAGAACTAAATTTAGAGCTTAAATACTTAACTGAAGAATGGATTCTTGGAGTCTGTGCAGATTTATTTCTGTGTTATATCCCATTCTTGTTTAATAGAAAATATTAAAACAGGCTGAAGAGGAGACATGTTAATGAATATGCCTATTAGTAGTGAGATATTTGGTATATTAATTATTATTCCTGGGCATTTTTGTTCATGCCTATTTAAATGAAGGGGGCAGTTTCTCTGTACAGAGAGACAGCATTCTTGATTACATGGATTTTAAAGATTTTCTTCACAGCTTTGTGACTTACTTTTTCAGTTAGTAGTGAAATTCAAGTGGTTAAATAATTTCATGTGTATATATGTGTGTGTGTGTGTATAAACTTGCACATTGCTAACTCGTTGAAATCCTGAATACGTATGGTGTCTTATAATATTTTTAGTTAAAATTATTTCTTTCTCCATCAGTTAGACCATCTTAGCCCCATTTAGATTTTTAGAACAGTCTACCAAGTGAAAATTCCTTTTGTGCTTATTCAGAACACTCCCATAGGCCTATGTCTTCTAACCGTTTCTTCCTTTTACATAGTGATATCAAAGACTTCATTTTTTGCATATTCTTTTTCTCCATGTTAATCTATGGTATAGAAAGTCTTTGTATTCCCTTGTTTATGCTGCCCTTTTCTGTAATCCCTTAAATACTTATAAGGTGATATTATCCATTTAAAAAAGCCCAAACAAAATATGCTGAATTTCTCAAGATCTTTTTACTCTTATTTGAAGGTGAGTAACCCTTTTACTTTCACGTGGCATCTTTATCATTTTTGAGCACATCTGCCATTATATCTAGTACTTTGCTAGTTACTTCATGCTTCTTAATAGATTATGCCGTTTTAATATTTATTAGCTTTGAAAAGTGTCTAACGTTTTCTGAAATTTGTAAACCCATAATATGACTCTTTGACTTGAAGTACGATAAGAATGTTTTTGTGTCTTTCCATTTGCTAGTGTGTTAAGCTAGTAAAGTTTATATGTATTTGGTGTAATGGTGGTTAATTTTAAGAGTTTGTACTAACAGATCTACATTTTACATTAAATAGCTTATAAAATTTAATTATCAGTTAGATTTTTGTATTTTTTTAGTAGGTGAAAGGTTTTTTTTTTTTACTCTGTTTTGTCTTGCTCTAGGTTTCGACCAAATGCTAGGGAACTGTGGAGTTACAATGCAGTAGTTGCCGATTCCAGACTTCCCTCAGCTCCAGACATGCAATCCCGGTGTAGTATTTTGAGTCCAGAACTTGCTCTGCCAACAGGTTCCAAAGCTCTAACCACCAGATCTCATGCAGCTTTGCACATTCTAGGTATACATTTATAGTTGATGAGTCAGAAGCTTAGATGAAATAAAGAAATACTACTTAATGTATAAATTAATTGTAATCTAGCAGCTTTCTGACTTTTTTGAGTTAAAATTTTCCTTTGTAATCCATCACCATTGCTCTTAACACTTATGATCTGGCTCATATGCATTAATTTTAATCAAAATAGTTATCTTCTGCCATCTTAATGATGCTAGAGGATTTTAGAGTTCTGTTGGAACCTGCTACTAGAGGTCAGCAGAATGAAGTGAGAGACATTTCTACATGATCTTTTTGGACAGTCTGCAGAATAAAGTCAGTACTATTAAGTTAACCTGGAGTCTCCAAAAGACAGGAAAAAAGTGCTGTTAAATGAGCTATTCTTATTTTAAAGTAAATGCAATATCTGAAATGAGAATTTACTCTGCAGTTTTGTGTAATGGGGCACTAAGAGTAGTATGATTTCCTTTCGTAGTCTAAAAAGCGTACCAAAACAAAAAACAATCCCACTGTGTCCTTGTATAAACTGGCCATATGTAACATACCCAATGCTTCAAAGCATAGCTTTGGAAGTTATTTCAGCTCACTTGCTCACTGATTGTGAAGAGTGATCAGTTCCTTGTCCTGCTCATTGTGTGTTAGAGATGTGATAAATTTTAACTTGAACAGTACTTTTTTGTGTTTGAGTCAGAGTAAGGCATGTTAGGTACCCACATATATGAAACAAAATGCCTTTTATGAAGGCTCTCAAATCTGCCCATAATTCAGTTACTATTTCAACTCTTTTTTGGTAATAACGGAAATGTAAAAAGGAAAAAAAAAAGAAGGTGCTGCTGGCAATTTATTTACCATTGGAAAAGTTGCAAAGTAGATTTAATCACATTTCTTGGTTATTCTGGAAAATGAGTAAATTAAATGAAATTATATTTCATTATATTCGCAATCTTCAATAGCGAACCTTGAGATTCTACAGCAGTGACCCCTGACATAATCAAAGCTATAATGATATATGGTAGCATATGTGTGGTTTAGGGACACATAGGTTGCTTTGATCTTGTTAACTAGTATTCATTTCCATTTCGCTGATTATAATCACGAGTAAGAAATTTTGAGTTGTTCTTGGTTTTGCTTTCTTTTAGGTTGTCTTGATACTTTGGCTGCTATGCAGGACTTAAAAATGGGTGTAGCAAATACAGAAGAAGAGACTCAAGCAGTAATGAAAGTTTATTCTAAGGAAGACTATAGTGTTGTTAACAGATTTGAAAGTATGTATGCAGTAAAATTTTATAGCACAAGCTGATCAGGCTTGAGGAATAAAAGACTAAGATTAACTGCATTTTTGTTGTTTTTTTTTTTCTGCAGGTCATGGAGGAGGCTGGGGTTATTCAGCCCACTCAGTAGAAGCTATCCGTTTCTGTGCTGATACGGATATTTTGTTAGGTGGTCTTGGTCTTTTTGGAGGTAGGGGTGAATACACTGCTAAAATAAAGGTAAGGTTTTTTTGGTTTTGTTTTAAACAATATTATGTTTCAAAATCAGAACTTTAGAAATGCCACCTAAAACCACGATTAATTTTATTTCTTGATGAATGACTTATTTACTGTATATTAAAAGCATTAGTAATAGAACTAGAAGAAAGCTTCTCAGTGAGAAGTAGTGAACGTTATGCAGGTAGGGTGGGTGAAGTAGAGATCTGAGAATTACTATTCTTGATTATCAAGAACTGGCCCATTCTTACCCTCACTAAATGCTATACCATCTTACAGGTGTCTTGAGCAGATATGACAGTGGGTAGAATGGTTCTGTGATCTATTTACACAAAGCTCAGAGGTCTGCCTGCAGAAAATTGGTGTTGTGGGCTTCAAGTTAGAATCATGTCCTGTGTAAGAATACTGAGGGACTGCTGCTCAAAAACAGAAAAAGAGTGCTTATCAGTAGCTGGAATTCCTTTGGTACCAGCCAAGCCATTGCTTCCCGCTGTCCCTGCCACTTCTTTCTCAGACTGCTCTCTGGATAGCTTCTCTGCTGGGATTCTTCAGCTGACAGTGAATGACACCAAACATACTTAACTCTGCTTTGTGCCAAACATGAGGATGATTAGGGCTGGAGCATGTGCTCTGATTTAAAATAAATAAATAAATAAACCTGGCTTTGGATAAAAAAGGTCACATAAACACACAGTGTGATGACAGAGCTCTGGTTTCTGGTAAGTAGCTTCTGTTCCTGCATTTAATAAGGATTTCAGAAACTTCCCAAAAGACATTGTAAAGGAAGTATCTAATACCTATCTGAGATTTATATTAGATGTGTATATTTGGAATATGTTATTGTTGTTACTTGTCATTTACTGGGTTATTGAGTTTTCTTTTTCTATTTTCAGATAAATAGGTATTAAGGTTTGTTTTAGGGAAATGGATGGCATATGCTTAGCAGTAACATTTGCATAAGACAAGAGAAGATCCAAAATAAGTAGTTGTACTTTATTCTAGTTTAACACAATGACTGAGAATTGCAAACGGTTAAGGAAAGCCAAGAAACTTAACAAAAAGAAAAAAGCATGACTAATGTTTAAATACTCAAGGTAGTAACTCTATGAAAGCACCCTAGCAGTGTTTTTATAATTTCTTTCTGATTGTCTACAATTAGCTTATAGCCGAGATATGATTTGCCAGTCCTACCGCAGATGAACTGTGTATTAAATAGGCATTTGCAAGAGAAGTCATAGACATGTATCGTGGTCCTTTTTCAAACTGATCAAACTATAGAAGTGATTTTTGACTGATTAAGAAACCCAAGTTCTTTTGAAAAAGGTATCATCTTTTGTCCTAGTCACCAGCTGTTTATGACACTATTGACTAGCTCTGCTAAACAGTCAAGCTGTCCCTTTCCAGAGAAGTTGAGTATATCTGCAGGGCATTTCAATCTGTGACAGAATGCCTGCACCTTCTGCCCAACTTTGCCTTTTTTAGATGCTCTGCATTTGACTTGCCTGCAAGATTTAGGGAGTTTCTCTACTTAAGAATATATCTGGGCATAAGGCTGGGAAGTCAGTGTCAACTGCTGTTTTTTAAAAGTTAATGATATTACAAAACCCTGACTTCCAGATGGGAATTTGCCTGTCAGTGATGGTAACTAGTGATTACTTTTGGGAAGGGGAAAGAATAGTAATAGACAGTTTCCAGAGTGCCAGACAGGAAGAAGTATTATGAGGTTTCTAACAGCTAAGACATATTTTTACCTTTTTTCTTACTCCACCAGTTGTTTGAATTGGGTCCAGATGGGGGAGACCATGAGACTGATGGCGACCTTCTTGCTGAAACAGATGTCTTAGCGTATGATTGTGCTGCTAGGTAAGATGTTTTCCTTACCTATTTCTACCTACTTGATCTTTATTTTTACTTTCTTCATACACATTTTAAAATTACTTTAAATATCGACAGAGGTGATCTACATCATTAGAAGTTTGTAGCAAGTGATGTAAAACTTACACTCAAACAACGTGTGTTGGGTAAAGTAGTAAAACACCAAATACTTCACCAAGCCATTATGGCACTACAGTAAAAGAAGGAAAAATAATCTCACACTTGCTCTTGTATAAATCAAAGTCAAATCCCATATTCCTGTGGTAAGACAAGACAAACAAAACGTCGCAGCAGCCCTTTTCAATACTTCTATCAAAAGGATGCTTTCAAGCACAAATGGGTATTTGCATTAAACAACTTATCATTAAACTTATTGCAATATGAAATAATCATAACAAAAAGAAGGGTTATAGTGCTTCAGCTCATTAGAATGCAATCAGTTATTGCTTGAAAGATTTTGTGCGTATGGATGGGGTTAGCCATGTTTTAGCTGCTTTTTCATTCCCTGTTATGAAATAATTTAACATTCAAATAATCCATGACTAATTCTTTTAGGTTAAATTCTTATGTATCAATACCCCTAAATATATATTCTATTACTTTCTTAAATATTCATGTGTAATTCCTAAGAATTCATGTATAAGCTCTTGTCATTTACAAAAATTTACCCAGAAGTTTCTGAAATAAAAGAATATAATTAATACTTTACTTGCAGTATTATGTATTAAATGTAATTGGGGTTTTGTGTGTTAATTTAACTTAATCTCTCCTTACTCTATTTGGCATTTGATATCTGATCGTTCCAAAATGCAAGATCAAGCTAGACTTAGGCATTTGTAGGTCCTTCTGAATCATTAGTTTTTTAATTACTACAATATTTTTCAACGAAATATTTTTAAATGTTGAATATAAATAGATACTTGAGATTAATAACTTAATTCCATTAATTTTCAATTTTCATTTATAAGCAGGGTGTAATTTGTTAAAGATTAATCTAAAAACTAATTCACATGCATCTTTTTCAAAATTTACATCTCCCAGAGAGAAGTATGCAATGATGTTTGATGAACCAGTACTCCTACAAGCTGGTTGGTGGTATGTAGCCTGGGCAAGAGTGTCAGGACCTAGCAGTGATTGTGGATCTCATGGACAGGCCTCTATTACTACAGATGATGGGTATATTTTTTTTCTATGTTTTTTAAAGCAAAAGAAGAGATCTAATATTGCTTGAGTAATAATTGGATTATTTCTCTTTCAGTGTTGTATTTCAGTTTAAAAGTTCCAAGAAATCAAATAATGGTACAGATGTTAATGCAGGGCAGATCCCGCAGTTACTATACAGGTAATATTTTGACCTCTATTTAGAACAATTTATTAACATGCTTTTTAAACAGAGGCCCTTTTAAACGAAGCGTATGTTTAATGAAATTATTATTGTATTAAGTTAAGGAAATCAGTATCTGAAAAATTTAGGGAAAACTTAGTGTTTTTGAGAAAAGCAATAGAACGATTATACCAACATTTATTTCTTTGCAGTTTTTCTTTAAGAGGTCATTCTTCATATATAATGTTCTAAGACTTCCATTTAGTTCTGTAGAGCCTCATGATTTCATCTAACATGGTTCATTTTTTTGCTAGTTGCTATCAAACAGATGATTTTAATGAGGGGGAAAAAAAAAACCCAAAACCAAAATTAATTGTGCTTTACAATAAGTTACCATAAATTTATTATTCCCATGATAAATGTTATGTAACTCTGTTTTAAAAAGCAAGTATTTTCTTCTTCCCATGTATTGCTAATATATTTTTCAGATTTCCTCAGACACAAGCAAGACCTAATTTTTATATTTTATGTGTATATATATATTCTCCCCTCCCCCGACATTGATTCTGAAACTTGGAATTCCTTCATACCATTTCTCTTGCTATGTCCTTTCTAAGCATGTCCTTTTCAGGGTCCCTTATCAGAACAGCTCACTTTTGCAGGTAAGCTTTGTGTCCATAGACCCTTATCTCTCCAGAGGAAGGTTTCATTTTGACTGATGCACATAAAGTGCTGGCATAACCTATTAATCGTATGGGTGATTTCTGTGGAGAGATGGCTGTACCCAAAGACAAACAAGCCTTGGGGCCTCTGGAGGAAGGATATGGCTGAAGAGCCATGAGTGGCACAAAAGGAAAGGTGCTGCAGTAACAGGTGCTGCCTGTATTTTTTACCTCTGCATACATTTTACCTCCACAAAACTAGTGTTCTTTAAGGAATAACATTTCTAGTCCTGAAAATGTCATCTGAAGAAATACAGTAAATACTTTTAATAATTTCATATGTAATTAGATCTCAACTTTATTATCAATTGTCACAGTTCGTCCAGTTGAACAGAATTCAGTATATTTGATTGCTGGTCTAGAAAGATTAGAAACTGGAGGAAGTTATGCTGGAACTGAATGGTTTTTGGATAACTAACTTTTCTTCCACTTTTGTTGCACTTGAACAATACTAACAGTGAAAACTTGGTGCAGATTTCAAATCAGTTCTTAAATTGTTCTTCCAGGCTACCAACAAGTGATGGCAGTGCATCCAAAGGAAAACAGCAAACCAGTGAACCTGTGCATATTTTAAAGAGATCTTTTGCCAGAACTGTCTCAGTGGTGAGTATTATCAAGAATCTTCTGTGTTTCCTGCAAGTTCATTCATACATAGAAAACTGAAAGATGTTTGTATAGAAATAATTAATTATTTTTTCTGTCTGCTTTATCAGGCAGAAGTTAGGTACACTGGTATATAGAACATTGTATTTTTTTTACTTCTTCTGAAGATTTCAGATGCAAACTTAAATCTAAGCTAAGCTTGGTATTGACCTGAGGATGAGCGCCTAGAAAAGTATTTGTTTACAAGGTTTAGTTTACTTTTCATGTGTAAGCTACTTAGTTTGGGGGGGATTTTGGGGGGTGTGGGGTTGAGTTCATACTTATAGGTTGTATTCAATGTACAAGACTTACTCCCTGCCAATAAATTAATATTAGCAGGCTTTTCAGAGTTTTGAGGGAGCTTCACTATATGTTCTCTTCCATGGCTTTTAAATTACTGTCATTAATTAGTCATTGGTGAGATTCGTCTTCCTCTTGGATGCATTCCCATATACATTGAGGATCAGATAGCATTTAATTAAACTTTGATAAGCTGAGGTAAGGAGTATTAATAGGCACAGTGAACTGCAACTGTTAATAGAAGATAGTCTGCAGTTCTTCACCTACAGCAGGTGAAATTTTGAGGAGTACTGCATTAAGTTGAATTGCAATATTATAATGCAGGATAAGACCAATTCCGTCTTCGTGTTTTTGAAGTACAGTCCCTTCCTTATATGTTACAAGCAATGATTATTTAATTTTCAGTTCCATCCTGGTTTATATTTTATACTGTATTACATGTACTGTCAGTATTCTCAAGTCATAGTTACACTGAAGTTATTGCCTCCATATGGCCACTCGCAGACCAATTTTCTTAACCAGCTTGCTTTCTCTCACTTATGTATTCTTCATTTCTTCAGTATTCTGTAATTATCATAATCTTCTCTTATTCAGGTTTCTTCTAGAAATGAATTCTCTACGTGATTTGCATTTTTAGTAATCATATAATCAACGTATTAATAGCTACTCTTAATATATGTTTGCTTAAAAATATTTACATTAAGCTATGAACTCTTATGGCTTTTAATACTTTGCATTGTATCCTCGCTCTTCATTATCTTGCTGCTGTTATCCCTCAACATAGATCTGAAGAGGGATAAGGGGAGAGTTTTGGCTTTCTGGAGCATTAGGCATTTTATAACTAACTTTGAACAATCAGCTTGATTGTTGCAGCTTGAACGTATACCTACAGCTTGAAGGTATTCAATACCAAATACTTGTAGTTTGCCTTCTGAGGCACAACTTTATTAAACTACCAAGCACATTTAATAATAGTAGAAACGAATTTTTGGACAAACAAAACTTTTTAAATCCTCAGATTTCTTGTGGCCTATCATGTGCTCCTGTTGAACTTTCAAGGACTGTAAATGTGATATTGTTCCCATGGTCCTGCAGATCATAACTGTTTAAAAACAAAGCAAAGACAGACCTGATAAGTCTTTACTGTTATGGCAAGAATGTATTCTGTTAAAAGTAGGTATTACACTATTCATATGCAGACGAAGCAAGTAAAATTTATTGAAAAATCTGTATTACAGGTGAATACAAACAGTTGTTAGTTCTTAAATAACTGAGAGACTTCCACACATAATATTATAACATGTTATGAATTGCTTTTAGCATGATATTACAGTGAGGTATTCCCTACATTCTCAGTGCTCTTTTTATTCTCAAGCAAATAGAATTTGTGTTGTATGGTAGATGTGTGTAGACACGAAATATCTTTTAATAATAAACACGGATATAGATGCTATTTGCTTTTCATCTTATTCTGATGCTGAAAGTTCACTTTTTGTTTTTAACACAAAATCTGTCTTCTGTATCCTTCATACCCTGAAATAGGAATGCTTTGAATCTTTATTGAGCATTCTTCACTGGAGCTGGACAACACTGGTGCTGGGAGTTGAAGAACTTCGTGGACTTAAAGGATTCCAATACACTGCTACTCTTTTGGATTTGGAAAGGTTGCGTTTTGTGGGTACTTGTTGCCTGAGGTTGCTGAGGGTCTACACCTGTGAAATATATCCAATATCAGGTATTCCTCTTAATTAACTTGTTTCATATTTATCAGCAAATAATAATCTACAGGACATTGAAAAGTTGATCTAAGTATTCATGTAGGGTATGCTATAAGATGAAATTGCTTATACAAATGGGCTTATTGGAGCAATTAAGAGACTTACTATCAGAAATGGGATATTTGCAATGATCTGCATAACCAAGCGTCCAGCATCACATGTATACACTGTAACTCATGTCTATTTTAAAGTTAATATGTTGTTTGGCTTTACAGTTGAGTTCTTTTGGACTATTTTGTATCTTCTTTTTTCCCATTTCTGTACATAGTAGCTGCTTTGGTGGTGAGCACAACTGAAATTTGAAAGACAGTATCTGTTTTTCTTGCCTGTAGTTTAACAATGCTTATATTAAAATGCAGCATATATTATGAAAGACTGGAAAACTGGAAGTTTTTGATGTTCCGGTTTCTTTGAAGTAGTTTAACATCCTTCACACTTTTGATTTTGAAATTAACTTCTCTGAATGTGGATTCATCAATGTTGCTAAATTCTAGTTGTTTTATTTGCATGTAAAATGTGCATTTTTATATGAAAATGTTTAACTTGTACATTTAATGTTCCTCTTTGTGTAACCCTTCAGCTACAGCTAAGGCAGTTGTAGAAGAAACCAGCAAACTAGCAGATTGCATTGGAAAAACTAGGACCTTGCTGAGAAAAATTTTATCTGAAGGAGTTGATCATTGCATGGTGAAGTTGGACAATGATCCACAAGGATACCTCAGTCAGCCCCTGAGTCTTTTAGAAGCCGTTCTTCAGGAAACACAGCTTGCTTTCATTCATTTTATCCAACACCAGCTCTCCAGTGGGCCTGTCTTTGTGACTTGCTGAATTGTTTGGATCAGGTACATTAAAATGGCACAAGTAAATATTACACCTTAGCTTGCCCTTTTGCTCAAAGAGAAGCCAAGCGATATTTAAAACCTTTATTCCTTTTTTGTGTTTATCCTGGTTTGCAACTTGAATTCTGCTGTCATTTGGTTTTTCTAATAATTTGGTTTGGGTTTTGCCTTTTTTATTTTTTTTAAAAATGTCCAAGTTCAACAAGAGCCTAGGAACTTCTGTCTCCCTTAGCAGTAAGATTCTCTCTGGGACAGTGAGGAAAATTTGTGGTGCTGGTAACTGTCAGCACCTGCTTTTTCAGTGTTGAGGCCGTGCCTTACGTGATTACTCTCGCTGCATGTTGCTTTGGAGCATACATGTGGCTTTTTTTAATACTCATAACTAATACTTGAGTAATTTCTCATTATTAAATGTTACAACAGTGGTCTGATCCAGCAAAGTACATGAGAAGATGGCGATATTATTCCATAATCAACAACTGTCTTCTAAGTATCTTGCTTATTGTGAATGAACATCCCACATCTAAACAATGTAGTTGCTTGCTTGCATTGATTGCGGTGAGATGCAAACAATTTGCTTCTTTTCATGAAAATTCATTTAGCATATAAAAATTCAAGGAAGAATCAGTTCTTGATATATTATTCTAATTAAATTGTTTGATTAATTATAATAAGTGCTTTGTCTTCAAAGGGTGCCATAAATGGGTTTATTATTTTAAAACATGTCAACCAACAAATTTTAATTACTCCAATTTAAAAGATCTAAATGGAAGCTCATGAGAGAAGATAATGTAAAATTCACAGGAAAGCTAACAATATATGAAATTCTTTATCTAAATTATTTTTATAATTACTATAAAACTGGAAAGTTCCTTCATTTACATTCCTTCATTTTCCCTCATTTACTTTGAATGCAACAGTGCCATTCTATTAATTTCTTTTTATGTTTTTAGGACATCCAGGAAGCAAACTTCAAAACCTCCAGTAGCCGGCTTCTTGCTGCTGTTATGTCTGCTCTCTGCCACACTTCAGTAAAACTGACATCTATCTTTCCGATTGCTTATGATGGAGAGGCGTTGCTGCGATCAATGGTCAAACAAGTCAGCACTGAGAATGACTCTGCTCTGGCCCATCGTTTTCCTCTCTTGGTTGCACACATGGAAAAACTTAGTCAGGTTAGGATATATTCTAAAAATTTAACAACTTGTTTTACTTTGCAACAAAAAACAGTTATGTAAGTTAAGTTTTAGTTTTATAAGGATGTAGCTGAATTTTCCTGAGTGTTTTCTTTCTAGAAGGCTTGTTTCAGAACCTTATTATTTTATCCGATTTTCATCTTTCGGTCTGAAATATTCCAATTATTTCTTGTTTGGAGAATGTCTGAGCAAAAATTATTCTTACTTAATTTGGAATATTAAATTGGCAGAAATATAGTTTAGAGTTGTCTTCCATTGCATAGTGTTTTCTGCAACAAAGTTTTTCAGCTTTTTCATGTGATCACAAGAATGAACATGTGGATAGATTGTTCTGAGGAAGAGTCAACACAGCTTTGTTAATAAAAAGCCATGTCTCGAACTGGAGTTTTTAAATGAGTCAGCAAACAGGTGGACAAGGGAAGCCCAGTTCATACAATTCTATCAAACGTTATTAAACAATTTCCCAACCAAGGGCTCTCGAACGCTGTATTTTTGCAGTTCTGTTATTCCAGAATAGATTTACAGGAATGAAAAGGGTAAAGATGATAATCAAAGGTATGGGACTACTAAATAGTATTCTTCACTTTAGAAGACAAAACGGGTAAGATCTTATGAAATTGTGAATGATGCATGAAAGGTAAATAAAGGATAATTGTTGAGTCTTCCAATACCAAAAGTTTTGAGCAACCAGAGACCTTAGCAAAAGATAAGTCCAAAAGATTGCTGTTCTTCATAAAATACACAGTTAAGCTGTGGAACATATTCCTGTAGGCCATTATTATGCTAAAAGCTTTCACAAACTTGGAAAGCACTTGCACATATTCCTGAAGAAAAAAAAAAACACCAAAAGCTATTAAATGCAAAGGTAGTATTTCAGTCTTGGGTACAGCTACCTCTTTACTTCTGTGCAGGTATCTGTGCAGGTTTGCTTGGCCTGATTGTCTTCCGTATCGGTTCACTACTTGGATATTTTTGTGAGACAAAATGGTGAGAAAGACAAACCTTTGATTTCCATCAGTGGAACTGATTTTATTTTTCCTTATTGGGAATGACTTTTTGAAAAACAGTGGATGTCACTGCTAGGTAGAAGACACAGCAGATACCTAAGCTTAGATTTGTTTCACAGTCTTCATTCAGTAAAGTAACAACTGTTTTTATAAGCATCCCACCACTGGTTTTATCTTACCTGCTTGCAGCGAAGATTCTCTTCGCTAACATCAAAGCCAAAAAGCTTCTGAATTTCCTTTTAGACAATGGGGAAGACAATGATATGAAGAGTTCCATAGGTAGCTATATATCTGTTGTATTCTAACGTATGCTTTATAGATGGTAAGGAGGGCTATAAGAAAAGCTCTCTCCTGAGAAAGACACCTATATATCTTTTCAATGCAATAAACAAAGTCGACACTACCTCATTTTGGAAATTAGAATATTAATCGGTTTTTTAACAAAGGAATACATACTATGATAGGTTTGAGAATTTTTTTTTTTTAACCCTCTAGACATTTCTTATTTTTAAGAAGTGATGGATTTTTCAATTACCTAATGCTTATAATATGTGAAAATGTTTTGTTTTTTTTTTTAAAGTAAGAACAATGTCATTTGTCCTTTTTCTCTTCATAATGCAGAGCGAAGAAAATGTTTCAGGGATGACAAGCTTTCGGGAAGTGCTGGAAAAGATGTTGGTCATTGTTGTTTTACCAGTACGGAACAGCCTTAGAAGAGAAAACGAACTCTTCTCTTCACATCTGGTTTCTAACACTTGTGGGTTGCTTGCTAGTATTGTGAGTGAGCTTACAGCATCAGCATTAGGATCTGAGGTAAGGCTTCTATAAAATCATTGCTAGAAGTCTTTCGGGACAAGTATATTATGAATGTGGTACAGGCTGTGGCAGAAATTATATAGATGTGCAGATTTTTCACAGATATTGGAATTCTCAGTTCTCAGTAGCTTTCAGATCTGTATCATAAATTTAAAAGCATTTCTTCACTGTATTAAGGAAGTACTGTTGATAGTTAGCGACTTCATTATGGCTGCAGAATACTGCAAATTGTTTACAAAATGACAATTTTCTTTTGAGTGCTTCTCTTTTTGCATGCATGTCTCTGCATGTATACACTCAAAATATGTTTGTTCAGTGCTCACTGGAGGCAGTGCCACATGCCTGAGTATCTCCGTGCCTCATAATGTGTTTTCTTTATGCCTTGTGTGTTCTTCCTTCATATGTAAGATACTCCTTACACATATCTTCCTTTATATATTCAATATTATATAATATGTGTATTATATTTGTCTATATCATTAGACTTTTTCCAGTTTATTTGCTTAGTATTTGAAATTGAGTGTGGTACTAAGTTCAACTTCTTAAAATCCAGAGATTCATAATCACACACAGAATGATAGCCTCCCTTTAATGAAGCTATCAGGTCATTAAATGATGGAAATTTATTTGATTTTATTAAAGGGATGACACTGTCTCTACTATCAGCAGACTTTTATCACAGAAAGAACCAAGCTTTTGATAACATCTTGATTAAAGATGTTTTTATTATTACGCAAGATCTGTATCTGTCCTCTCTTAATCTTGATCTTACTTAAGGCAGAAGTACCTAACTCTTCTTGAAGCACAGTTAAGCTATATTTTGTGCTAATTCATCCTATAAAGTCGGATTCCTAATTATTCCTAGTTAATTCCCAATTAGCAGAAATTATATATTCTTTTTTTCTTTTTAGTCGATATTGAATAGAAGCCCCAGTAGTGGCATCTTCAATGTCGTATCGGTTGACTTCTAAAATTTACCCAATCTGGTAATTTAATTCACTTAACTTTGCTTTATTAAAGTTGTCTAACATTTAGCAGTTAACTTTTTCTGGTGCTTGTATTTAACTTTCTACAGGTTGATGGGCTGAACTCTCTCCATTCTGTCAAATCCACTCCAAACCGATTCACTAAAACAAGTCAGGGAAGAAGCTGGAATACTGGGAATGGATCCCCTGATGCAATATGTTTCTCTGTCGACAAACCTGGTGTAGTTGTAGTAGGATTTTCTGTTTATGGTGGAGGAGGAATTCATGAGTATGAGTTGGAGGTATTAGTTGATGATGTAAGTACTGCATTTGAGAAAACAATTTGAACAAAAGTAACTTCAGAGGTTTTCATAATATGTTTTTCAAAGTAATATTGTAATATTCTTATACAGTCTAGGCTACCAGTAAAATAGTGCACTGGTAGTAGGGTTTTTTGGTTTTCTTTTGGTGGTAATTTTTGCGGTATTGCAAGCTACGTACTATATCCAGTAAGGTCCTTATCTTGGTTATGGTCTTGAAATCTTACTTTAGTACAAATAATATTTGAAGTATAGTGGGCTTTTCACTTCCTGGAATTAGAGGTAAATTAGTACCTGTTATATCTCTGTAAACTGCAAAGGAAAATACGAAATAAAGGAGACCAAGTTAAAACATTTTAAACCAAAAATTGAAGAAAGGGGTAGCCTACCAGCATGGTCAGGTTATAGCTACAGATGTTTCATGTGTTGTTGAAGTACTTTCCTAGAGGAAACATAAAACTGTATTGTTTGTTCTTGTAATGAAGAAAAACCTCTGTTCTTTTACATCCAGTTGTTCACTTTAACCGTCTTCTTCTAATCTCTTCCACAGGGCAAGCATAGGTTGCTATGGGAAATTAACCTCTCTGCTCAGTAATTTCCTTTTTAGCAGAAAGGCTTTACTGTTGACTCTGAACAGGTTTTTCAGCTTTGTTTTATTTGTTGTCCTGGTTTCGGCTGGGATAGGGTTAAATTTATTCCTAGTGCTGTGTTTCAGATTTAGTATGAGGAGAATGTTGGTAACACACTGATGTTTTCAGTTGTTGCTAAGTGCCCTCCTAGTCCAAGGACAGCTCCCATGCCTCCTGATTGAGCTAGGTACACAAGATGGGAGGGAACATAATCAGGACAGCCAGCCCAGCTGGCTGATGGGGTATTCCATACCATGTGACGTCATGCTCAGTATATGTATGGTAGGCGTGATCCAGGAAGTACCGATCGCTACCTGGTTATCGGTCAGCGCGGGTGGTGAGCAATTGCGTTGTGCATCACTCATTTTGTATATTCTATCATTATTATTATTATTTTCCCTTTTCTGTTCTATTAAACTGTCTTTATGTCAACCCACGAGTTTTTCTCATTCCCACCCTTCCGATTCTCTCCCCGCCCCACCGGCCGGGGGAGTGAGTGAGGCGGCTGCGTGGTATTTGGCTGCCTGCCAGGTTAAACCACGACATTTGTAATGCTGTGTGTAACAATTTATGCAAGAAAACGTAACTTGCACAATTGCATGAATGTGTCATGTGTTTACATTATAAATGTATTAAAATGACTTTGTTTTCTTGAATCAGAGTGATCATACTGGAGATTCAACTCATTCTCATAGATGGACATCTTTAGAGTTGGTTAAAGGAACTTACACCACAGATGATTCTCCAAGTGATATAGCTGAAATCAGACTTGACAAAGTTGTGCCACTGAAGGTAAATAAAAGAAGTGCACATCTGTAGGTTTCATGTGACTTCTTTAGATAACAAATACCAGAATGTTCAACGTAATTTTTTTTTTTTGTGTACGCATTTATAAATTAATCTTGATATGTTTGCTTTACAAATTTTCAGTTTCAACCTGTAGCTGAAAATTTCAGATCCCAGCAGCAAAAAGAAATTAAGTCTTTATTTTTTATAATAGCATAAGATAGATTGTAATTGCTTAGTAATTTAGAATATTCTTGAATGTGCAACTTTTTTATGTGCAGTTTGGTGGCTAATTTTCTTGGGTACCTGGTTCACTCTTAAAGTAATTAGAAGTAATATTTTACTTAAGTTATGGTCCATAGTTTGGGAACAAGGAACAGCTTTTGCTTTCTTTAAATGCTGGATCTTTTTCAGTTAGTTTAATTTGTCGAGTGCTTTGAAGGACTTTTCAGGCTCTCCAGTATTAATGTAAAATAATAGCTTTAATAATACTGTGAAGCCTAACTTACATACTTGTTTTATACTGTGTACTGTTTTTGGCTCTCCTTTTTAAGGAAAATGTGAAATACGCAGTTCGCTTGCGGAATTATGGAAGCCGGACTGCCAATGGAGATGGAGGAATGACCACAGTTCAGTGTCCAGATGGTGTAACATTTACATTTAGTACATGTAGTCTGAGCAGTAATGGCACAAACCAAACACGAGGACAAATTCCACAGATTCTTTATTACAGGTTTGTGTGTTGTCATGACCGTGAATAAAACCATCATAGTGCTATTATACCGCATGTGTTTTTGAGAAGTTACAGAAATAAATACATCTGGAGTGTGTTTGAGGAAAGAGCTTCTTTAACAGCAATATTGTCTTCTTCCAGTGTAGTTTCAGACTTAAGTTATTTAGTGAAGACAGTTTTCAGGACACCAGTTGTACTGGTGCCTCTTCCAGTCTTGTTTTAGATTCTCTTTTTTTTTTTTGACTTGGCAAATAATTTGATGGCTGACCTCTCTTACAAGGTTCATTGTCTACTGCTTTAAAGCTGTAATATGGGAGACTGATAAGATGCAATACTTCAATCTCTGTTTTTTCTATAACCTAAGAGATTTTTGAGAGACTATTCACTGGAATGTTTATTTCTCTGATTTTGTTCAGTTCCTTCCTCTGTTGCCAGAAAGGATTGCAACATGTAGTGAAGCAAGTTCTGTTCATGTAGGAACTGTCTCCTCTCTTACTGTAGAGTTCAAAGGTATAAAAAGAGAAATTGCAACTGCCTGAAGAAAATCAACTGAAGCATCTGACTGTCCTGCAGGGAAGCTTTATTTTAGCCTTTCAGGATGATAGTAGGAATTCACTTAAGGTAATGCTTTTGCAGAAAGCATTGCTTTCATTTTTGAGGTGCTTACCCTGATATGCATGAAGACATGATTTTCAAAATGTGTCAGCACCTGAATATATGAATTACTACCATTATCTGTACAGCAAAAAAAGTGTCACGCCTTTTACTCAAATCTCAGTTTTTGTGGTAAAAGGCTGATCAACAGTAGATCCAAGAAGTAAAAGGAGCAAGGAGTAGTAATTTACTTTTATATTTAATTATGTGCAAGATATACCTACCTAATAAAAGATGAAGAGGATAAAATAAGTAATGCTACAACAAATGACGTGTTTTGGACTAGCAATCACAAGAACATGTTGCTCTTAAGAAAGTTTTAAAGGAGCTAAACTATGAAGAAATAAAGTTGCCAGCAAAATTATAGTAACAGTATATTTGAAGATATGGGATAGTTCTAAACTCTTTTAAAACATGAGATCGGCTGTACTCAAAGACTCAAAGATCCAGCTTGTCAGTAGTAACAGTAATTGCTTATCAAAGAATGGAATTACAGTGGTGCATGTCATGATACTTTCATTGATTTAGTCTCCTAGAATCTTGGACCTCTGTGTTTAGGGAATTCCTCCAGCACTTGGAAGAATTTCATTATGAAGTATCATAAATATGAAGCATCGTATTTATGATATGAAGAAGGAGGAAAGAAGAGAAGGAAAACATTTATTCTCACTCTTAGAATTTCTGCTTTTATATAAGCAAAAGAGGGAATAAAGGAGAAATAACAATTTCTTTGATTTCAGAAAAGCAAAGGACATAAAACTTCAGTAAATGGAAGCTTCAAGGCATTCTAGCTTAATAATAAACTAACATATGGCAAAAAAAACATACCAAAGTGCTGTCTTCAGAAGAGTCTCAGGTTTTTTTGTTTCAACTATGATAAAATTCCAAGAAGCTTTTGAAGGACCATAATGGCACAACTCAGAATTGTTACAGAATAAATTAAGTTTTGTTTGGAAAATTTGCAGACTGCTGCCTGTAATCACAATGTCTTTTGAAGTTCGCTTGGACAACAAGAACCTAAATGTTATCTGATGAATGACTGTAGTTATGAACTTAGTCAATTTGAGGATTCCCAGTTTGATCTATAATGATTGAGAGTTTGGTTTGTCTACAGTAAGGGAACAAATGTTCAGTCAACTGTTACAGAACAGAGCTTGTAAGATTCACACTTGATTTTGTTTGAAGGATGCTCAAATACAAATAGAATTGTTGCTTATGCAAATGCCAAGAAGGCCATACCAAAAGAAGTATGTTAATGCACTTCTGATTAGGGCAGAAATGCTTTGGAAGGATTTGTTGGAACTGTACCCAGTTGGAATTACACCCACTGTCAGTCACTAGTAAATTTAAATTAAAAAGACTTGAGGCTGGCAGCAAAACTACAATTCTAGGACACATTGACAAAAAAAAAAAATCTTTTTGTAAGAGTGGTTAATTTAAGTCATAGAGAAGGATAGGTATCCTTGTGTGGACTGAACTGCTCCAAGTAAAGTTTTTGAGCATTCTGAGGTGCCAGTCCTAGAATCTTAATGGTCTGGAATGATGTTTTGAAAGATCAAATCTTTCTGGACAAACATAAGAAATCCAAAAGAGAATGGGAAACTTTGCTTTACATGTTGACTAAGTGATTTTGGTTGTCTATTCCAAAGCTGAATCACTATCATATTGAGGGCTTGAATTAGTTTATGGTTATCTTTAGGCTGCTTTGAAAAAGCAAATCAAACCAGATCTTTTATATACCTTATTGAAATAGTTTTGTGCATAATGTTGTTTAGGAGAACCTAATTTGACATACAAAGTGGATTTCAAAGAAAAAACTATTTGTTAAGGGTAAGCCTAAGATTGTATTTCAAAACCAAAATTAATCTTTAGAATAAGGAGGGAGAATCCTTTTCCCTCTTATGATACTGCAGAAATATCCATTGAAAGAGTTTTACTCGTTTCTGTGATGCATTTAGTATTATTCTATTTTTATCAAGATAGGTGGTTGGGCTTGGAAGAGCATAGCAATTAATACATTTCTGTGATTTGAAAGGCATCTAGTCAAAATAAACATTTCAGAAACATGCTTTTCATATTTTCTGCCGAGTAAAAATAAACTGATTGCACAGTGCTAACACTGAGGCACTGCCTCCAAAATATCCTCTGTGGTTTCTTTGATTGTTTCCTTTATTGCTTTATCATAAAATAATTGTTTTACTTACTCTATGCTAAAAATCAGTCAGTCATGTTATTTTAATATAATGTTGTCTTTTGTGAACTAACTTTAACTTAATCCACCATCCAGGAGTGAGTATGATGGAGATCTGCAATCACAGCTTTTGAACAAAGCTAATGAAGAAGATAAAAATTGTAGCAGGGCTCTTTCTGTTGTGAGCGCTGTTGTACGAGCAGCCAAAGACCTGTTGCACAGGGCTCTTGCTGTAGATGGTAAGGCTCTTTTGAAAATTGACTTTCAAAATTTACTTTTCAAAACTTCTTTCTTTGATAGCAAGAGATAATAGTAGAGTACCAGTGATATTGTGGTATTTCTCTTTTGCTTTCCAAAGCATATTTTTCTAACCTGTCATTACTGTAGGTATCAAACTGTGAGTAACTTTCTAAGTCATTGAGTTGCACTTTAGATATCATAGACTGATACCTCATATAAATTTGCTCATCAATTTAGCAAGTATCATATTAAAGCTGATAAGATTCTTTATTTCCAAAAGATATGCTATGATGGGTCAGTTCCAAATTTTATTGCATGTTTTGCACAGTGGTGGTAATCAGAAAGACTGGTCAATGTAATGCATTTATAAGCACTTAAACATCCATTTTTGAGAAATGCAGGCATGGGCCTTAAAACCTGAATGGTTTTAAGCTATCATCTTCAGCCATTCTAGTCAAAATATCCAGAATATTGCATAGTGCTATAGAAATTGATTTGGAGGGCTGGGAGGAGCTTGTGCTAGCTTGTATGCCATAGAAAGTATGAACACAGTTTCACAAAATGGCAAAGAATGCAATAAAATTATGCTCTAAGAGGAGGAAATTTTTTAACAGAGAACTGTGTATAATGGCATGTTTATCTCAGGTGAACTTTGCAGATTTAGAATTTGCCAATGCCTAGATAATGAAAATAATTTGAAATAAAAACTAGTGTAGAAACTAGAAGTTTAACTCATAAGAAGCAAACCAGAAAAATAAGATCTGTTTTGAACCATGGTACATTTATTAATAATACCTGTGTTGTAATTATCTTTGTTTAGCTGAAGACATTCCAGAACTACTCAGCTCTTCCAGTCTGTTTTCAATGCTGCTTCCTCTCATAATAGCCTACATAGGACCAGTAGCGGCAGCTATTCCCAAGGTATGCTCCTCAATAGAAATTACTGAAGAAATTTAAGAATGTTATACAAGCAAAAGGTTTACTTTGAAAATCTGGACATGTTTATTTCTTATGATTTTATGAATTAATGGTTTATATTTGACCACGTGACTCATCATGAATTTTCCAAGAGTCAAGAATTTTAAAAACATGTCAAGTTTTAAAAATGGCTTTTTTTTTTTTTTTTACTTACATTGAAGACATCATGAAAAAAATACCTTAAGGAAGCAGAGGGAAAGATGACAGGCTTTAACAGTAGGAAAAGAGAAAAAGTTAGAAGGATCTGGATGTATGACTCATTGGTGAATATTGGTGGGATGAAATGGTTTTTATATTATGTAAATCCTAGTTTTACAATAAATATCCAAAGCAGCGGTAGCTGCCCATTAAGATTATTTGTATCAATTTTAGAGATGGAAAGATGTCAGCTATAAATAAAAATAATGTTACTTTTCAGTGGCAGAGCATTTTCCATGTGCCCGGTCTTGAACACTCTTGAAATCTCTTATTAGATTTAGCTGGTAGACACTATTGCCTTTTATTGCTTTTTCATGAACTGTAAGCTCTCTTCTAACTTCTCTTTAAAGGGGGAGGAAAGAGGACTGGCCACTTAAAATCTAGCAGATTCATTTCATTAAAAATAGTTTCAAATTTTAGTTATCTTGTTACTGTGATGAACTGGAATTTAGAACCAAGTGTTTTGCTTTAGAAGTGTTCCTCTCCTTCGAAAATGTCATAAAGATTACAGAGAACAATGCGGTGCTTAACACTACATGCATTAAAATACGTTGAATATTTAAAAAAAAACAATATTAATGTTGTTATAAAACAAAGTATAACTGGACTATGACTTCAATATGTCATTTGCTTTCTCTCAACTCATGCTTATTGTTTGTTAATGTTACAGCTTTTTAGTGTTAGAGAAGGTGTTTTAGTGAAGGTATCTCACAGTTGTGTACAGATTTTTGTTTCAGTTTTCGCAAGTCTCTAAGAGGACTATTTGAGATTAATGTAGTGATGCTTTTTCTGTCAGGATTGTGTACATGCAGAATTGGAAAATGACTGAATGAGTTGTGGTAATGATATTCTGAGAATATCCAAAACAGCCATTGTAGAGAATTGTAAGTTTGTGAGTATTGTTTTCACCCAGTCATAAGTAATACTTTGTGTGTGGTGTTGCGTTACAGGTTGCTGTTGAGGTCTTTGGCCTAGTACAACAGTTACTTCCTTCTGTGGCGGTTCTGAATCAGAAATACGCCCCTCCAGCTTTTAACCCAAATCAATCTACAGACAGCACCACCGGAAACCAACCGGAGCAAGGGCTTTCAGCTTGTACTACCTCCAATCACTATGCTGTTGTAGAAAGTGAGCATCCCTATAAACCTGCCTGTGTTACGCACTATAAGGTAAGCGCCATTTCTAAGTGCGCATACAGTTTCTTAAAAGATTTTGACATGTGGGTTTTGTTTCGTCAACATTTACTATCTGAAAAATTGTTGCTATTGGTTATAATTGAAATTATCTAATATAGGAGACAGTTTCCTATATTATTACAATACTGTTTTCGGGAAAAACATCTGTCCAGTAAGTATAGTGAAAACTATAGTGGAAACTAGTGTAGTTTTAACCCCCTAATGCAGGTATCTACTTTAAGTGCCTAAATTTGCTCAGTCATATTTTCCTACTGTCATGCACAGTTTCTTTTCTCTAACTGTACAGATTGTAGAAGTTGGAAGTCTTTATGTTTACATTACCTAATCATATCTCAGACTTTCTTACCTAATGCTAAAACAATGCTTTGTAAAAATACCTAACGTCAATTATAGTCAAATTAATATGCATTATAGTGTAGGGATCCCTATGCTGGCTATTGGTGATCTGCCAATTTAAATTCTTTAATAATTACTTTCACTTGGACCACGATTTGGCATTGCAGAAGTCTCTGAAGTCCTCTTAACTGTGTTAAGTCTCTCTGAGTAGGATTCATGCTGCCTTAAATGAATGACTATTGGAATAAAACTAGATTTTCCTCAATGTCAATAGAGAAAGGGTATTTTTTCTAGTGGAGTAAAGGGCTGAGGCATAAATTATATGTCTGAGAGAGAAATCCAGTGTTTCAGTTATTGAAATAGTGAGTTCTGCAGTCGCATTGATTCCATGACTGTAAATCCAGAGGTAGCAAACCTGGAATCAATTAAGAGCTGGAGGAGGTCATTAATTACTATTCCACTTGCTTGTCCTGTGAGACAGCAAGGCACCCACTGCAGAAAATGTAGTTATATGATCTTCGTGATGCAATGATGCTTATTATTGTTCCAAAAGTTTATGGAGCTCATCTGACACCTTAGGCTTAGTTGTTACTGCTTTTGAATTTCTGTAGCTGTATGCTATCGTACTGCAGGCCGTATTCACAAATGTGATCCAGCTGCTGTGTACTTTTCTAGCATTGCACAAAACAGATATTGAATGTGTTTGTTGAAGTTTGCATTTGAAAAGGTATTGGGGAGTTAAATGTTTGTAGTAGTCTGTGGTTGTTTTGTTTAATGATCCTGTGCAGAGTTCTTAAAAACAATCACAAATGGTATCATAAGCACAAATACTTAACCTCAACATAAGTTATAATACATGACTGTAATTCAGTAAGGTGTAAAGCATTTCAGGTATATCCGAATTTCAAAGAATCAATTAGGTTAATGTTAATCTAAAGCATATCAAAACAACTGTACAGAATTACATAATTGCATCACTTTCATAGCCTAAAGAGTTAAAACCAAATGGAAATGAAGAAATAAATGTAAAAAAAAAAAAACAACCACCCCCAAAACTTGCACATAATTAGACTATTGTTTTGTTTTAGGTGACTTTTCCTGAATGTGTCAGGTGGATAACAATAGAGTTTGACACTCAGTGTGGCACTGCTCAATCAGAGGATGTTCTTCGTTTACTAATTCCTGTCAGAATTGCGCAGAGTCTGGGATTTGGGCCAAAGCAGACTTCTGTTCATGAAAACCTTAATTCATGGATAGAACTGAAAAAATTCTCTGGATCTTCAGGATGGCCTACCATGGTATTAGTGTTGCCAGGTAATAAATAGATACTGCAATAATTTCTAGTAATGTGAATTTTTAAAATAATGAAAGAAAGTTTGATTTTTCTGCAAAATTATCTTAGAAGACAAAGTTGAAAAAGTATCTTCACCCAAGCTGGCAAGAGTTCATTATGAGCCATTGGTTGTACATCGGTTGATTATGTTTATATTAGGTTTCTTATTTGAATTGTAGATCTGCGTATTACTCATGGTTTTACTTTACATGTTATATATAAAGCCTAGGTTTCATATATGCCCACATAGAAGAAACATACAAAAAGAGGAGAAATATTAAAATTTTGTTTTTATTTATTTTATGTACCCTTTTACTTCTATAAGGAAATGAAGCTCTTTTTTCTCTGGAGACTGCATCAGACTACGTGAAGGATGAAAAGGCTTGTTTCTATGGTTTCAAATGTTATGCAATTGGATATGAATTTAGTCCGGGATCTGATGAGGTAAGGAAGAAGTGAAATGGCTACAATTGCTGCACCTGTTAATTCTCTCCTATAAGGCCAGTTTTTTTGATAAAAAGAATTGTGTTTCCATTTCTGACTAAATAACATTAACAAAATATTTTGAAGTTAATTTCATGTAAGTTTTTAACATTTTTTTTTTCTTACAGACATTATTTGTTTGGAATTCTTTAATCTGAATGTTATTGGGACGGCTTTTTGTTTGGTTTGTTTTTTTAATAACTGTGACAGTCTGCAAATACATAGCATGATTTTATCTAGTATGTCACTGGGATATGAAATTTCCTAAAATTCTGACCTGGTCTTCCCTCATAAATCCAAAGAATTGGGGCTTTCCAATACACAACGATTCGAATTTTACTGTCACTGCCAATTATGGGATGACAAACCTGCATTATTTTTCCAGTATTCATTCATACCAGAACTCTCAGACTCCCTGGAAGTGCTGTGCTCATTTAGGCTACCTGAGATTTTGCGCAGTGGTCACCTCATCTTGTCTTTAAGGACATGAGTTGTTTCCACTGCTGTTTGTTGCAAAGGGAAGATAAAATTTCTTCATGTCCTTGGGCCAGTGCTTTATTTTGGCTTATTTTAAGAGATTATTGAAAATACTTAATATGCTTTATAATAATTCCAGAAAAATAGCCCTTCCCTTATTTTGGGAGTCTTTGGGCCTATTGCTTCACATGAACTTCACAAGGTCTGCATCTTGCTTACACTACAACCCTCACAGAAGATTTACCTCATCTTATTCCTGGATTCTGCTCAAGCTAAATCATGTCTTCAGGTTTTTAAAACCTGAGGTTCTTTGGAATTTCATAACATGTCAGATAATAAAACATACCATAAGATTATTCGCTATGATGGTCTCATTGGCTTGCAGCAAATCAGATTTATAAATCCCATAGATAATCTAACTAGTCTATGATTGAGTAATAATAATTTTTGCTTAAGCAGAAAAAAAGATGCAGATTCATATACTTCATTAATGTTTTTGAAAGCATTCACAAACAAAACTGCTGGCAGATGTTTAACACTCAGTGCTAAAACATGCTAGCTGATATGTTAACTATATAATCTAAAGAAAAGTTACAAGTAATTGTTTTCAAACATAACCTTTTGCAGCCCAAACACTCTAATTTAAAGTTCTATAAATAGAAAAGCAAGTTTTACAGTGTATAAGTTACCTTGCGTCTCAGGACTAAAGCCTCCATAAGTAACTTAAATTAAGTAATTGGATACACAGTGCAAGTTTCTCGTTCTTTTGGAAACTTTGTGATGACAATTTTCTGAAGTGCTACCATGGGTAGAAAAAGAAGCGTATGTTCTGGTGACCACTGTATTTTCTCTAGCTTAAAGGAACAAGTGTCAGTAAGACCTAATTCAAGTCAGTGGGATTAATTTTTGCACATCTGATTACCTTTCCTTCTAAAGGACAAGCTTCTGGTACCGTTACCTAACTATAGTATATTGAATGACATTCATTGTTAGGGAAGTCTCTGTAAAAACTGAAAGATGTCATTGAGTGTGAGCAAGTGCATCAAGGAATCGGGTGTAGTCAAACTGTTAAACTTTGTTTAAACCTAGGATTTTTGCAAAAATTACAGATTTATGTTTTGATGAATGAGAAGGAAGGCTTTTGGTCATTATTAAATCTACAAAATATATGCCTTCTGGTACTGATGTTCACACAGCAGGGAACTGTCCGAGGGGTTGATCCACATTTCACATCTTTACTTGCTTGCTATTTCAGAACCTGCTGTTTTGAGTCCTAAAGATGCAGTTTATCAAGGGTTTAGTTTAAAATGCATTTTGGAGATTTTTCAGTCTGCTTGGGAGTCTCAGAGAATGCAAGGCAAGTCTAGGGTAACTGATTTTGAAGGCTCTTTCCAAAGGAAGGATTTTTTACCTACTTTATATTTTGCTAGTTTCTGTAAGTCTGCCTAGAAAATCCATCAGATGGAGGTAATCCATCAGATGGAGGTTTTCCATCTCCCCCACTGTTTTTTGTTGTTGGGTTTTTTTTTCTCCCCCTCCATGAGAGTCATCTGCCAGAGGTATGCTGAACCACCCACAGGTTTGTTTAAAACTTAAAGTTGGTGTTAGTGCCAACACCTTTTTGTGAGCAAAGTTAAAGAGATCGTGCCTGCATGTAGCTGGGACAAGTTGAAGGGAAAATATCAGATACATTTCTTTATGGTTTAAAAAGTAGCTGCAACCTCCCTAGCCATACTGCTCTCCCCCCATTCCTTGCACCCAGACTCCTTCCCTCTATGTATTTGAAAACTGTGTGCGTGGTCTGTTGTTCTTTTTTTTTTCTTGTGAACAGGGTTGAAAGATACTGAGGGAGACACTCTCATATGTTTTCAGTTACAAGTCTGGTGGGAGGGAGGGGGAGTCTTCTCATTCCTGGAACAGCAGCGTCAATGGGAATAAATAACTTTCCAGTGTGAATACAAGGGAGAAACTGTCAAGGGCTTCTCCGGGGATTTATAATGGAGAAAGGGAAATTATGGAATCTTTTTTCCATCCTTGCCTCTCCAGCTAGAGAAAGGGAAAAGGAAAAAAAGTTGTGAACAATACTACCTTTAAACAAGATGGGAATGTGAGTTGATGTGGTATGTATATATGTACAGCTTAGAAGAGGCATTGCTTTGCAATCCAAATATGTATCAGTAGGTTTTTTGTATTAGGATGTTCCCTTTTCTCTTTAACGTTACAGACAAAAGACAATTATCATCTTCAGATGTTCTTACTAGGCTACAAGAAGCATGGTAACCCATTTATCAATACTCTTGCCTAGTTGAAACTGTTCTAAAAATTTGGTACTCTGACCCATGTCACAGCAAAACATGACAGTCTAGCTGTTTGGCAGGAACAGTATCACTGGGAAATGTCAAACTGGAATGCACAATTAATGTCTCTTAGGATAAAGCAGTGTCAGGGAAATGCATTCATTATCCTATTTTCTGAGACACTATTTTATTAAAAAATTTGTTTCAATTTGAAGGGCATTATTCAGCTGGAGAAAGAATTGGCCAATTTAGGAGGATCATGTGCAGCAGCTTTGATGAAGAAAGATCTAGCGCTTCCTATTGGTAAGTCCTACTCAAAGAACATACTTTGTTATGTCATCATTGTTTCGGGTTTTCTGAATGAATACTACCTTTAAGTCTTAATGTTGCTTTCAGTTAGAGATGATCATACAAAATTGATTCTTAAAACTGAATTAATCAAACAAGATAATAAAGTGGTGTTGTTTTCTGCTTACACTGTTCCCTTCATGCGTGTGTGGGAAGGAGGGAAACCTGGTCATTTAAATCTGAACCAACTCACCCCATCTACAGGTAGTGTATCAGTGTACGAGCTATGTCCTACACTTTCCTCGTGGTACTTCACAAATGTGCAGGTATCTTATTTGTATTTCTCTTCCACTGTTTTTTCTCCCTGCACTCCACACTTTTCTGAATGAAAAATACCTGCAGCATTGAATTGTAAAATTTAAAATTACTTGTTTAAAACTGAAAGTGACCATTGCACGTGTAGACCTAATAGCCTAAAATATTTCTGCTATAGTTTTTTTCTTACAATTACAAAAAAAAAATTACATATTTTTACAGCAGATGCAGCAAATAAGTTTACAGTTACCCAAATGCAATTTAAAATTTAAGGAAAAATATGAGTTTATGAAAATTAATGGATACGGAGATTGAATTAGAACTTTCTAATGATGTAGCCATATTCTGTGTAATAGCATTTCTCCTAATTAATGTTAGTGTATAGGAAGAATAGGCTCATAATCTATAATAGGATATCTCTTTGATCATTTTAATTTAGAAGCACAAACCAGAACTCTCATATTGTTAATGGGACTGGAAGTGTTTATTAATGAGCACGAGGGCATTGATCAGTGTGCAGTTATAACCACAAAACCTGATTTGAATTTTTTAACCCGGTGTTTTGCTTGCGTATTTGAATGTGCAGATTTCTTTCTTTATGTTGTAAATAGGCACCTCAATTGCACTAGTAGATCTGTATTTCTCTCTCAAAAGTACAGGCAATTCTATAGTTTAAATAGCGCCCTCTTCTGTTATCCTCCAAACAGCTGCGTTAACTTCTTAGTTTTGTTGATTTCCCTAGCACCCATTTATCCTGCTGGTCCCCATGCAAAAAAAAAGAAGCTGAAATTGAAATGCTTCTAACTTAATTTCCCAGGTTTTCTACTACTTCATACTTCCCTCTAAAGAGTTTTTTTGGCTTTTGAGTGTCTAAAACAAGAAGGGAAAGTAGGTGGTACCTAGATTGGCTTTGTATGCTTTCATGTAGAAGAAACTTGAAATAAAACATGCAGTTAAGTTACCTATGCAGTTTCAGCTACCTGTAAAAGTGGTTGCATATGATCTGCAAGAGGGGACAGATGGGTGCATTGCCTGTAAAGAGTTTCCTGACATAATTACTGACATAATTACAATTGATTCATCTGATCGTTTACTTAACATCAACTCAAGCACTTCAGCCAAGTGTGTTAGTGTTGCTGATAATATTACAAAGCTAACAACAAACAGGCGTCATATGTGTCTATTGTTCCTCTACAATACCACTGGACCCTGTGAATAAACAAAACTGATGAATTATAGGCAGCAGTGGTAGTGTTTGCAGATGTGAACCACTGTGCAGCCTTTTTAAGATGGATTTCGGTTGTCTGTAATTTTGCTTTGTTTATGTGTTTTGCTTGGTGTCTCAGAAAAACACTGGCAGGAAAGGAGGTAAAATGTGGTTTTCTAGAGCAACATTTAAATGACTTAGTATCAGACTACTTTTCCTTTTTCTGCATTCTAGATTATGTATCTTTCTACCTTTTGCTGCAAGTGAAATGGTGTCTTAAAAAATACCGTATTACTGCCATTGCCCATATGCAGAGCAGTATCTTACTAGTGGAATGGAGTGTCCTTTAAGAAGAAACTATATAATCATATAAAAGACTTGTAATGCATACACACAAGAAGGCCCTTTGTGTTAGACTTCTCATACTTCATTTTATAATTTCTACAATTTTACCTTTGTTCCATGTGTGGATGCATACAGGCTAAAGAAAGTAACCTAAGAAAAAGGCTCACTCCAGAAAAGAACTAACTTACAATGCCTGAACTTTGGCATTTAGAAATTAGGCATCTATATCTAAGCTAGTAGCTCTAACCTTCTTTCAGAGTTAATGTAGACATCTTTAGAGGTCGATTGATGTCATCCTAAGATGAAGATGTAAGAAAAATGAAATTAATCACCCAAAGGAGGAGCCTGTTTCTCCTCCATTTGCTATAAAGATATCTTGTAATATCTAAGTCTGAGCTCATTATCTCATGCTTCACTGCCCAAAAGTAGGTGAAGTAAATCCTGCTCTATTTCCCAGATACTCTTTAGACCTCTGGATCCAACTAAGTGCTCTTAAAACCTGGCGATTTTAATGAAGACAATAAGAAACTTCATGAATGTGGCAGAATTTTAAGAAAAGGAAATAGGAAAAACATGGTTGAAAATTCTCACCAGGTACATTTGTGGAAGGTTGTACAAAGGGCATCATAGGAGTGAAAAAAAAAACAAAACCCCAACTTGTCTGGAAACTTTCTGTCAAGGAAAATAGAATGATTGAACTGACTTCAAATCAGAGTTAATAGTTGTTACTGGCATCCTTGTAGGACCCTTCCATCTTCAGCTTTATTTGCATGGTATATGTTGGTCTATTAACTTTAAGGAGATTGTCCTTCACAAATACCTTGCTTTTTAATAATTGCTATAGTGGGTATATTCTGTATACAAGTAGCCAAATACTTGTATAAGTATTCCTCTAGAACCATTAGGAAAAAAGGTGTTTTGAAAGGACATCAAGAAGGCTTTTAGCCTTTTTTGCTCCAAAGGAAGATGGACCAGACAGTGATTCCTTCATGTATTAGGAAAACTGTCTTTGAAAGTACACCCAAACATTCTTTGAGTTACCATGTTCAAAAGGTTACACTTCCTCCTTGCCAGTTCGCCAAGACTCAAATTTAAGATACTTCTTCCCAAGAGAGAGATCCGGTCTGTGACCAAGATCTAACTTAAACAGCAATGTGGAATCGATTGGTGTATTTAACATTATTACTTACTAATTGTTTCAAATTTGGTAGAAGTTATTTCTGAGAGCATAGTTTTTATATACCTTTATTTCTTTGAATTTTAAAAATGCCTTAGGACTTGGTTCTTCTCATTTCTCTTTCTCTCTTCTTACTGGTAGAATTGCCTGACATGTTTTTGAGAGAGAGTAGAAATATGGTAACCTTATCTGTTTTACTTTTCTTTTCTGTTAAAAGGCTGTGTTTGGCAATTCTGGTCACCCTGGAATCCGACTTTGGAGTTGCATTTGTGAGAAAGAAGTATTGTGTAATAGAACGTATTTGAGTTTTATGTTTTAGGAGGAGTCATAATTTACAAAATTGTGCAGTTTATGAGGTTTTCAAATACTGTTACTAGTGTAAGTTCTTAAAAGGGAGCAGCTGGTGCATACTCGTAGGTACTGCTTCCTAGAAACCACCCTGACCTTCCAAAATCTTTTTCTGAAAGTATCTGGTCACATCCAAAGATTTGCCATACATACTGTCTTGGAGATAAGAAGACAAGTACCAAATTTTTGTTTTGTGTAATGTATATTGTTTATTTGCTTGTGCACTGAACTACACAGTACTGCATGTTTACTATGTTACTTGAAAATATTAATCTTTCAACTGCTGGTTAAAAATGTTACACATCATCTTCAAACTTAAATTTTGTAATGTAAAATGCTTCACTAAACAGAATTGAATTTCACATTCCATCATATGTAGCTAAATGTCAATATTATCGTTATGAAAAATGAGTTTATTTTTTTGTCGTGAAAATAAGTTCTATTTTTACAGCAGGTAATGAATTTGAAGAAGATCTTGAGATTCTTGAAGAGGCTGCTTTACAGGTATACTGCTGCTTTTTTTTCCATTGCAACATACTTCAGCACATAATTGCATTGAAACTTTTGACTGCTATGGAAGAAAATCGCTTTAAGGTTTTTATAATAGGAGGGTATCTGGCTTTTTATAAAACAGTTTAAGAAAGTCTTACAGAAGTTTAGTATTTACATTAAATCTTTTTTAAAATAAATCTGCTTAGAAAAAATGCATAAAATATCACAGAGGAAGTTAAATGACCAAATATATTTCAAAATATGTAGGTGTCTGACTTAGGTTGCACGATTTAACAAATTTTAGATGTTACCAAAATTAATCCTGCACATGTCTCTGTAATTGCAGAAATAAAATCACTTTTTCAGTTGCACGGTAATATTTATCAAGTCCCAAATAATATGACTGTAGTTGTTCTGGATTTATGATATATTTTATTTATTGTGATGGGAGCTAGTGCTGGTCAGTAGCTCCCTAATTATAGCCCCTAGCTGATGATGCACAGTGAAAAAGGAGTTTTCACATTCTGTCTCTCTCTCCTAATTATCTTCAGGGCAACTGTTTTGAAATTTAGTTGTCACAGTACCTGCTGGAAAAACATATCAGTGCTACCGTATGACACCATTGCATAGGCCTTAGATGACAGAACAGTAAACAGAAACTGTCAAGGAGGAATCAGATGTTCCTTGAAAGAAATATTTTTTTCTGCAATCTGTTCTTGGACCCAACCCGCTGTGTTCTAATTCAAAGCATGAGCTAGGAGTGTGCATGCGAGTAATGGATTCATTTTCACTTTTAGTCCTGTCTGTTAAATATTTTATGCATCTTTTAGCCTTCCTTCCCTTCTCACAAAGAAGGGATTTCTTTTACTTTGTCTCACCCAAAAATATCTTTCTTAAGAGATCTGCCTTTCTATAAGTTATATCTGTAGCCTTTTATTTTCTTTTGGAACGTGCTCATTGGTCATATTTTCAGAACAGCTCTCTTCACTCTTCCCCTGGTCACAATTCAGCAGCTTAGGATATTCTGAAAATAGAATACTGAAAAGTTGTTTTGTCTCTATCCTTTCATCCCCACCCCAACCCCCGCAAAAAAAAAAGGTGTGCAAATCTCACTCCGGCATTCTCGGAAAGGGCTTGGCACTATCTCACTCACCAACCATTTTGGAAGCTCTTGAAGGAAATCTTCCACTGCAGGTACAAAGCAATGAGCAGTCATTTCTGGAGGATTTCATTGCTTGTGTACCAGGATCAAGTGGTGGACGACTTGCAAGGTAAAAAGTTTGTGTGCTGCGTGAATAAACCTATTACTTTGTAATTGTAATGTTTAAGTTTTGCAACAAATAGAAAATGTTTAGTTATGTGTTAAATTTCAAAACCTGTGCACTGTTGCTTGTCTATGCAACTAGCTATAGAACTTTAATAGTTACATCAAATATTAGTTAAGTTAAAACTGTTTGACCGTATTGTTTTTATTAACATATTAGGTAAAAGCATTTAAGTATTCAGACCTTCTGCGTCCTTTCTTAGCTGGAAGTCATGTTTGTACAGATTAAGAATTTATCTTTTGGGGGCCTGTAAGGGATTTTAATATTAAGTTTTTGTCTTTGCTGTAGGTGGCTTCAGCCAGATTCATATGCTGATCCTCAAAAAACATCATTGATTTTGAATAAGGATGACATTCGATGTGGTTGGCCAACTGTTATTACTGTACAAACAAAAGACCAGTATGGGGATGTTGTTCATGTTCCTAATATGAAGGTAATTATTGTCATCTTGGCTGTTCTTACACTTCATCATGCCTTCTTTTAGTATTTGTTGTAGATATTCCATAGAATACTCCTGTATAGGGTATAAAGTGGCATTTGTAAATTCAGTGTAGTCAGGCTTTCTTACCTCTAAATCCACAAAATTATCAAATTCTGTATTATGCAACACTGTTTCATGCAATTTGTAGCTTGTCTATAATAAGTTACACATGTGTAGCTTGTCTCTAATGAGCTACACATGTGTAGCTTGTGGAAATAATCAGTTGTAGATGATGTTTGATGGTGATGATGTGCAAGGTGACAAGAATCCATTTTTTAACTTGAAAGCCAGGAAAGAGTATTATAAATTTTAAACTGAATAAATGTGATGGAAAAAAGAATCCATTGATGGACCATTTTATAGTCACTTTATTTTAGACTAGAACAACAGCACTTCCCCCTTTTCTGTTTCTAATATTTGGAAGTTCCTGTAGTTTGTTGTTGTTGTTGTTGTTTTTGAAGTACTGGAAAGGAAGTATTCATGACAGCCTCAGGTAGAATTGGAAAACCCTGGCAGGCTTTGGAGTAAAACCTATGGGATATGTATAAAAGTTGGCTGCTTGATTTGAAGTAGCAAAGCATACGAACAAAACAAATTGTACACAAAATGTTTTTCACATTGTTTTAATAGCTTAGGTTACATCTGTGTTTTAAAGCCCACTATTACTCTGGAATAGTACGAATATTTTCTAGACTTGCTTTTCTTTAAGCCCAAAAGTAGGTGAAGTACCTTATACAAAGGCATAATTCCTGTCATAAGAACTCTCAAATCTGTTCTTATATAGGATGTAATAATTGACAGTTATCTTACAGTGAGCTGTAAAAGTATTAATGAACTCTGAGTCTACAACAGTAACACAAGAATCAGTCACAAACACAGCTTGATTGCAATTTAAATGTGTGGTTACTGACTTAAATGTGTGACAAAGGAAGTAGGAAACTTTTTAAGTAGTGATTTTACTCTATCAATCAAGATAAGGATATGTCAAAATATAGACATCAAAATTATTGCTGGATTCCTTGTTTAATTACTATTTTTCTTCATAAATGTATTAAAGTAACAAAACTTAATTCAATTTAATCATTCTGTTGGATTCATTCAGTGTGCAATGTGCTGACATAACTTCCAGTAAATTAAAACGGCACATGAAATCTGCAGCAGTTAAACCTATTTTATTGCAGATTTGGGATGAGCGGTGAGTAAACTTATTTTCCAGAGAGTCTGATCTTCCTTAGAAAACTAAGTACAGCTGACTCTGTTACCTGCACTAATGGAGGTCTGTGGTATCTCTGGGGAAAAAAAAAGTCAGATAAAATATGTTAAATGTGCTGATGTAGTAGGGTGGCAGAGCTAGCCAAGATCCAATCTGGCCACTGCTGATCCAGATCTAGCAGGCCCTGATGACTCACTCTGAAACCTGCGCACTCATTTGGAAGGCTCTGTTCCCTACTTCTTGCATTTTCTGTTGTGGGAAAACTTAGCTAGGCATACCAGACTACGTGCTGCTTCCCAGGGAGTGCTTTGGGACTGGCAGAACTGACACTGGTCCTTACTGATCATGTGCAAAGTCAGCTGGGTGCTTCTCTCCTGTACGTTTACATTTTTCAGATATGCTGTGCTTGACTTTGCAAAGTATTAAGTGTAGACACACAGGTTTTTGACACAGCTGGATTTATAGTGAGTGCTCTAAGCACTTTGTCACTGTACCTTATCAGATCTAAAAGAATATGTGTGTGTGTTTTCTCCCTATAATGATCTTCTGTATTCCATGTCTCATTGTAGGTAGAAGTCAAAGCTATTCCTGTTTCTCAGAAAAAAACATCTCTGCAACAAGAACAAGTTAAAAAAGTGCAACGGATACCAGGGAGTCCTGCAACAGCTGCTTCCCCTAGCAGTGATATGACCTTTGGAGGACTTCCTTCACCAAAGCTTGATTCTTCGTATGAGCCAATGATAGTGAAAGAAGCTCGATATATTGCTATTACAATGATGAAGGTAAATTGCTGTCATTTTAGCAATACAACTATACAATTCAACATTCAAAGTGTGTAAAGGTATGCAAAGGAGAAGGAAAAAAGTATATTTCAGTTTGGTCACAATCTGAAAATACATTAATTACAAATTACTCTGATTGTATTTAAGTTCAGCAGAAAACTAGGTGCATCAAAAGGGCCAATTGCCTGAACTCTAAAGCAGTTGTAAACTGGATTAGCATTTAAAAAGAAAAGTTGTCTTTGATTTTGATTACACTGATTAACAAACTAGTCTGAATCACTTAGGAGAAATGAAAACAGCTATTGAAATGGTGGAGGGCAAGTCAAACCAATGTATCCGTATAGAGTTGGAGTGTTGCAGTGAATCTATATTAAAAACTATAACTGGTGAATGTAGGAAAAAATAGGAGCTCAGCATAGTAAAAAAACCATATGAATGATTTGTGTATCAGTGCATAAATATTAAACATCTGTTGAAATTAGCCACTGTCAAATGGATCAGCTCAAAGACTTCGCCAGCAACAGTTTTTAAAGAGGTGAAAACTGAACAGTTAGTATTGATTTTGAGTATATTTTAGAACCTGCAATACATTTACATATATGCAATATATTGACACATTAAGACATGTGACATGATGTATATAACTAGCAGTTAGACAACTTAATAAGACATGATTAATTAGGAGATAGAGAAGGATAATACTTAGTGTAATCAATATGGATTTATGGGGGGTAATCAGCAAACCAGCATCTTTTAGAGTGTACAGGGTTGTTTTCTACAGAGGATAGTGCTGCAGTAGCTATGTGTAAGTAGTGCAACTGACTACTAAATAGTGTCTTAATGGATCAGTGAAGGAACTATGAAATAAATATGGTGTACAACAAATGGTTTAAAAACTTGTTAAATCACATATCTGAAAAGATACTTAGAACTAAGGAGTGTATATCAAGGAGGCAAGTGTGGTTTGCTTGTTTGGGTTTTTTTTTTTTTCACTTGGGATACTGCAAAGATCACTTCTTGGCTTGGTGCTGCTTGGTATTTTTACCAGTGACTTGAGGGGGGGTGGGAAATACATTATTTATTCAAAGTTGGAACCTAGGTGGGATTTCTGATAACCATTGTCCACAGGCACCTGCTTCTTCTTTTCCAGTAATAGGTATTAAACGTGCTCACACAAATGTTACAGTGGCACACCTTGCAATACATTAGGTACTCTGGAGTAACTGACTGTGGAGCAAGTGCAAGGTGTCCAGAAATTAATCTCTAGATTTGATGGACCCTTTGAGTGAAGAATGCTTGACGTTAGCTAGTTAACTTGTAATAAATTTTAACTTGAGTCAGACTAAGATAAAATGAAAATGCAATTTAATTGCATTAATTATTCATTTTAAATAATTCATTTTAATTCATTAATTCATTTTAAATATTCATTTAAAGTCATCTTAGTAGATAATAACAGTACAAATGTTTGTAAAGATAAAAATGAAAAAGTAAAAGACACAAACCGAGGTAAAATACAAAAAGTTTCTCTCTACTTGTTGAAACATGCTTGGCTTCTACATTTAACACTTTTTTTTGGAATCTTCCAGAGGTTCCTTTCAGATTGTCTTCCATCCAAAACTTTAAATAACTTTTTTTTTTTTTTTTTTTTTAATTCTGAAAAGAGCTGGTATTTTGCTGCTTGAATTATGCACCGTCTGACATTGTGGGAAATGCAGATGTGTTACCTGCTGTTCTTGATCAGCTTATTAACAACTGTACTGATTCAAGACACTGTAAAAATTCTCTTCTACTTCCCTCCCTGCATTACTGAGCACACTCATTTCAGTGTAAAATGCAGTTGTCCCCTGACCTTTTCATTTTATACCAGCCTGCATATTGTATCAGTACTTGATAGAAACATCCAAATATGATTAGAAAATGTAGCTTCTCACCTCATGACAAAAAATTGACATGTTTTGGGGGACTGATACCCAAAACCACATCTTGTATAAAGACCTAAAATGGCTGATCTGCATGTATGTTCAAATGTTCTTATCCCACCTCTTTTCCCTCTGTTGTTTTTGATTTAACATGGGAATCTGATAACTCAGCAACCATTGTAGCCCAGAGATATTCTTGCTGAGGTACTTTGTGCACTTCTGGGACTATGATTACCTACTTCTTATAGGGCTTTTCAGTGCAGTCATTTCACAAGAAACTGTGAAAGTAAACCATTTTGTTTCCAGAGGGAATCAATGGAAATATCACCTCAATGTAGAGGGAATTTCTCCTTCACTTTGAGTAGAAAGAAAGAGGATCCAAAATTCCATTGGTAAATCCACTGGGCTGGTTTGCAGTTTTTGACCTGCAACACATTTGCTTTCTTATCTTCACATGGTCTTCAGTGCACTGTTGTCTGATCTCAAAACTACTGTATCCCATATATCTTCAAATTTCCTCAAGCTAAGCAGCGGTCAGCCATCTCCACAGTGGTGAGAGAGGCAGTGTTTGGCCTATTGGTGGCAGTAGCATGAGTTGTTAGGTATGCTGGACCTTGTTTTTTATGTCACCGTCTCCCTCCTCTTCAAATAGACATTTAAAAAGATTTCAGCAGCCAGGCAGGACAGTGCAGTCGTGATTGCATCTTGTGCTATAGACAACGTACACTTACTGGCAGGTCATGAGATAGAGGATGTTTCAGGTAGTTTCAGGGAATTTATCGCTTTTTCTGCCAGTCTACATAGCTTGGTAAAAAGGTTTCAAGAGGATCCTTTATTGCTGAATCTAGAGCTGTCTGACTGCCCTAGGCAAATAACTAGGATTGTGCTCACTGCCTATATTTAGAAGCTATAGGGATAGGCTACAGAAAGCGTTGGAAAAGTCCTGGGTCACGGACAGATCAAACTAAAAACTCCAGAATCTCAGGGATTTCCGCACGTTGGTGGACAGAGCCCAGATTATGTCAGATAAGGCAACTATTTGCATTGCTTGAACTGTCTCTGATTTTTCTGCTGGGAGAATAGTGAAATCTAGCCTTTATAACTGGTATCTTATATACTATATGCTTTCTGAATGGCATATGGCTACTTCCCAGCTGTTTAAGGGTTGTTTTCTAAATTTCACTTAAACTATTTAATGATCTGACAGCATTCTCTGAAATTCTCACCCCCATCCATGCTCAGAACAGATGTATGCACTGTCTTTCAATTTACAGTGATTACTGAAAAGTTTCCTTCCTTTTTTTTCTGTGACATATCTTTACTTTATCATGATTTGTTTTATTTTAAGGCAGTGATTTCGTAACCATTTAGGCTTATCTATCCCATCTATCTTCTGGAAAGCATATGGTTCCAGGCTAGACTAGGGAATTAAACTGGCATAAACTATTTGCTTTTATATTTTTAAGGTTAGTTTTCTACTGGCTCAGTAGTCTTAGCATAGACACTGGCATTCTCATTGGAGGTTATAGAGAAGGCAAACTCAGACTCTTCTTGGACTTGCACAGGGAAAGGATATGGGGCAACGGACACAATTGGTGAAAAGGGAAATTCCAGTTACATATTAGGAGGAAAAAAATTACAATGAGAGTTGTCAAACACTGGAACCAGCTGCCCAGAGAGGCTGTGGAATCTCTGTCCTTGGAGATACTCAAAACTTGACTGGATACGCCCCTGAACAAGCTGACCTAATTTGAAAGTTGGATGTAATTTTTGAGGGTGGCTCTACTTTGAGCAGGGGGGTGAACTCTATTACCTCTGAAGGTCTCTTCCAACTTAAATTGTTATATACTTCTATGGTATGCAAAATTACGAGAGCAATATGGTGATATCATGCCAACACAGACTTAGATTGACTTAAATCATCATGGTGCTGTATCCCTTAGATACTATGTGGATATTTGTGCCTACAAGGAAGTTGAAATCTAGCTTACGAAAATAATTCAAAGGGTTTTTATGCAAGTGAGATTGGAAGAGATTCAAATACTTGACTGTGAACAAAGCTTGTGTTAGCAATAAGTATCTTTATTATCTAAATAATGGTAGTTTAAAGGGAAAGTGAAGATACTTGTTTCATGTATGTATATATGTGTATGTGTTTCTCTTTCTGTGTTTTGGAATTGGTTTCTGGTTCCCTGCTCAATGCTTCTGATGAGTGTAAAATTAGATTAGCATGTTCTTTGAGAAAATACTCTGCTTTCTTTTATTCATGACTTTAGTATAATTGATAACTGTTGATTTTATGTTTGTTGAATTTCATCTGTTTATAGGCATATGAAAATTATTCTTTTGAAGAACTACGCTTTGCTTCACCAACACCAAAGAGGTAAACGTTAAAGAATTACTTTTTAATAGAGACTAAAATTAATATGTCCTGTCATTTCTGCTTACACCCAGAGTCATAAGTCTTGACTGCCAAATAAATTTGTCTAAAAGTGGAAACACTACAAAAAATGTGTATCATTTTGTTTTCTTAAATTTAGAGATTCTGTTTAAAATCTTTCATTCTTAGTTGTTTTAATGTTGATTCCTTATTTGTATTATCTACTCTTTGAATGTGTTCTTTCATCATTTGCTATAAATAAATGTGGTGTAGAGGTTTATAACTTCTAAATAATATGGGATTAGTACATTGGATGGGGAAAAATGGTTTTTAGGTGATCTGAAAGACAAAAAAAAAGAATAGTTTCCGAAGTATTACAAACGATTTTCAAGAAGACAGTAAATGTTTAATGATTTTAATTGTTGTGTTTATGCCTAGACCCAGTGAAAACATGTTGATCAGAGTCAATAATGATGGTACATACTGTGCAAACTGGACTCCCGGAGCTGTTGGTCTTTACACCATCCATGTTACTATAGATGGCATTGAAATAGGTATTTAATTTTCACTATACTTAAGCAGAAATTTATATTATATCCAGTTTGTATACTAATAAATGTATGTTTTCATGCTATTAAGATTTAGCGTTAAAGTTCATAGCAAAATCTAGCACCCAAGTTCTGGTTTAGAAGCCTTCTATTCTAATTCCCTCTTCTTTCTCAAAAGAAAAAAGACCACAACTATTCTCTCCTTAAAATAGGAATACATTTGGCAAATCATGTATTTATAATGTCATTGGACTCCAAGATTAATAGAGTTTCTTATTCTCTACTCTCAATGTTGCAAGAAAAACATCTTGCTTCAGTGACAAGAGAGTGACAGAGATGTATAGTTAAAGGCAAAAAAGCCACTGAAGAACCTTGGAAAAGGAAAAATTGTTCCTGAAAATTGTTCCTGACCATGCAGAAGTAAATAATGTCATTTCTTCTGTCGAAAATTGAGAAAGCGTGGTCTTAATTGAAACTCTATCCTAAGTTGCAATTATTTGTACTAATTTAAAATGCTTTGGGTTTCTTCGTTGCTGAAAATCTTTTAGCTGTATTTTAGCTGTCTTGCTGATCCTAGGGACTATATTATAAGATACTATAGTATGCCATGGAAAGATTCTCCCTTCAACAAATGTCTGCATCTTGAATTGTCCCTTGTTAATCTTACTGGTGGTATGGTGAAGATGGTAGCAGAGGCATTGTAGTTAGGCCAGGAGCTCATAGGAGGGTTTAAGCGAGTTCACCAGGACCAGCAATTCCTCCTTCCCAATACTGTACAGCACCTTTTATAAATATGTAAACTGATATCATAAATACACATACACATAATGTGCATAGGATTGGAATGGGATACTCAGTTTTGTGTGTTACCTACAGAAGATAAAATTAATAAAAGATAGTTATCAATGGTTATCTTTGTTCCTCAAACCAGAACATTTTCGTTCATAGGAGCTTCCAGTATACTTGATTGTATTTTTTTCTAGTCTGCCATCCCTGGAGACAAAATTTACACCATAGTTTTAATCAGCTATTGTTATATTTTTACACAGATTCTAATGTGTTCATTCATTGCATAGGCTTAAGTTTTAGAAATGCTAGAATAGAGTTGTTAACCTTAGTCATTAAACAGGTGTGAGTATCCTTTAATACTTACCTATGTCATCTTTCTTCAATGTTACTTCTGCTCTGGTTCAATCATAGTATCTTACTATCCCCTCTCAAGCTTTCATATACCCATGCTTGACCCATAATTCTCTCAACTTTTTACCTCTTAAGTCCTAGTAGCACTTAATTTCCTCTATGTTTCAAACCTTTTGCCTTCTTATACTTCTAGATTCCTTCTGTTACTGCCACGCTTGTTTAAAAGAACATTAATGAAACCAACAGGTTTATCACTAGGTCTGGTTGCTTCTTCTCAAGTTGTTGCTCTCCAAAGGGTCACCCTGTAAAATTAAACAAAAACCCCAAAAGATCTGCCAAGGCTATTAAGTTTTTATAGTTTAGCTTTAATGGTGATTGCTGAAACAATTTCTTTTAAGATTATTACTCAAGGTTATATCCATCTGTTACTTAAACTCGAGCTGTTTCTTTACATGTATTTTTCTTCATGATCTGAGAATTTTACTGTGTTGAGATATTTTCCAGCACCTTCTGGTTTTATAACAATGTTGGTAATTAAAGATGCTGGCTCTTTATTATAGGCCTTTTCTGGTTGTATAACTTGGATTCAGAAGCTCTTATCTGTTCTCACGTTTTGTGATTAGCATCTGCAGCAGTACCGCATGCATAAGCTATTGACTCTCCTGAAGCTTTTACTGGCACCCCTCAAATGTTTAACTCTTCTGTGTTCACCTTGAAACATACCCCTACGGACACTATTAGGATACAAAATTACCTAATAGTGCTGTGTACAAGGTATAACAGATATCTATTAACAACATGAGTTTATGTATCTGTAAATTTCCACATGTGAAGATACAAATGTTGAGAAAGTAATATTTTGCATTACGAAGCGACTGCAAGTGTTGTTTATGGCAGACAGATAAACGAGTGGTTATTTTGCCTACTCTGAGTTGTAGCACAGATAAACTGTAGTTACTGTTTGACTGATATATCCCCCCCCCTTTTTTTTTTTTTTAAATTAGTCTTTGTTTGCTTACAGATGCTGGACTAGAAGTGAAAGTAAAAGATCCTCCAAAGGGTATGATACCTCCTGGAACCCAACTTATTAAACCAAAAGCAGAGCCTCAGCCAAACAAGGTTTGGAGAACTGGGAAAAAAACCCAGATAGTTACATTTGGGTGGGATTTTATTGTTGTTTAATACATACTTTATCATGTTATAGTAGTGCAGGACTTAAGGATATTTGCAAATCACTTTCATAGAATCATTACGGTTGGAAAAGATCTCTAAGATCATCGAGTCCAAATGTGCTGAATGGAATGAAATTAATATACTGGATAAAATGAAAGATATTCATTCCATTTTCTTTCTGTCTATCCATTAATAAAACTGTTAGAAGTTCTACAGAAACTTAGTCTTGGCTTGTCACACAAACATTGTGCAACCATTATGAAAGCCACAGACTGTGTTCTGCACTATTATTAGTCCTTTTTCTTTGATATTGTGCTATGAAATCGATTGTACAAAAGGCTTTACAAAGATTTTGTTTGTTTTGTGATAAGGATCTTTCTTCAGTCAATATGAAAACCAAAATGAATTTCTTTAGTGATATCTTCCTTTCTTAGAATATAATGATTTTATTTTTAGAGATTATCCTTTCTGTAGCTTTTGACTTCCCCATTTCACCGTATCATTCCACACTGAAGGACTAAAGTAGACACAAATAACAGAGGAAAGCAGAAAGGTGGTGTGGCAGTGCTATAAGGAAAATGCCCTCATGAGGGAACCATCTTCCACTTCCTCTTAGATGAAAAGGAAGGGATATTAAACGAGGCGCTGAATCTTTTTTTCATGGAATAAACCTGTATTAAAAGATGTGGAATTCTGAAATACCACAAGGTTATCCTTCCCTGTCTTATTAGAACTGCAAAGGTGGCTAAGAAATACGTGGTTACAAAAAGGATCAGGTGTTTGCCAACTTCTTACCTATACAGCGTGTCCTGATTTATTTGTTTTCCAACTTTCTGAATAATCTAGAGAGAGTAACTTTGTTGTACAGTTCCCCAGCAAATGCATCCAGTGTCTGCTTCTGCCACTAACAAGATTCTTTTCCCTGCTCCCACACCTCAAAACAAAAATATTAAATTTACCTTTAGTTTCCACACAATTTTTTATCCATCATTGCTTTTTTTTTTTCAAAAAATACTTTTAGGCTTTCTCCCTTCTCTTGGAAGGAAGACTTCCTGGTTACTTCATTATCTTAATTAAAACTCCCAGTTCCTACTGGATGAGATTCATCTTGCAGAACTTATCTCCATCCAAGCTGATCATCATGTGTTGTTTGCTGTCACCAAAGTGAGGGACACATCTGATCTAAGATGAGATAAATTGCTGGATGGAAGTGCTGTCTTTCTTTTCAATTATTACAGTGGGAATTGAGGTGACTGGTTCATACGTAATAGCTACATTTTGTCAAGTAACAGTCTTAATGACAGTTAAAAATACTTGACAAAAGTTAGGCCTCTGGTGTTCTGAGGCATTACCTAGTGTTTAACCATCTCCCTGTGTTGTTCTACTTGCATGTCTTGTTTCTTGTTCGAAGTTGTAGTCTCTTTGAAAGAGGAACCATCTTTCTGTCCTGTATATAGTGTCTGTAGAGCCTGCTGCAAAAATACACTAGGCCTTTCATGGTAAATCATTTTATCAGTTTTCTTTCTCCTATGTCATAATAAATCACATAACAAACCAGGTTAGAATAATTCTTTGTGTATGAAAAGCAGTATTGTAAATAATACAGAAAGGTAGTTGTTGCACTATGCTCCATGCTTCTGAAGCCAAGAATGCAGATTAGACATGTGTTAGTCAGAGACAGTCCAATATACCAAATCATGTTTTGCTGAGAACAAAAGAAGCTTCTTCCTCTTCTTTGTCAGCCCGAAATTTCAGATAGTTATAACCAAGGGACACTAACAGTGCCTTGTCAGTGGTGATCTGTTCTCAACTAGAAACAACAAAATATTTTCATTGAGGCAGTGGGCCATCCAATTTTGTAGTCAAACCTCACTTGAATTGCAAGTTGAAAATGGATACTATATTATGATTTTGTATTGACTTCTTCATTCTCTGTTATTTGAAGTCAGATGAAAATCTGGTTTTCCTGTCCATCCAAGTTGGTAAAGGAGATTTTCATAGTGATCTGTATTCAGCCTGGAGTATATGACCCGTAAGAACTGTTGCCTCCTCATTGGCTGTGAAACTTAGATTAACTCATTTGCAGGAAATTCTCTTCCACATCCTATTGAGGGAAACATTATCTTTCAGGCTACGTAATGTAATTCAGGGTAGTTGGAACCAACGAGAAGAAAGCAGTCCTAATTTAGCTGAATTGGAAGGGGCAAGACTGGTACCAGAATGATTGGTCACTAACATGTTTTGAGTGTTCCTACTGTCCTTGCGACTGAACAATTAGCTAGCATCAATTGCAAAAAAACCCACCAAACCCAAAAGCTCAGTGTAGAAGGAGGTTTTCTGCATCCCTTCACAGATGGTTAACCCCCTTGTTAAGGTTGCTTTATCCTATACGCCTTTCTGTGCTGCGAGGTGTACCTCTTTTTAGATTCACCAAGTAAGGCGGCACAGCAACAAAGCTCTTGAAGACTGCTGTGCACTGTAAGGGAGATGTACATGTTAATTGCTGTGCCTTTCTGCATTGGTCACTTCTTTTGGTCGGAGTCCAGTTTGTGTATGCTCCATGGAAGAACTGACTATGGGGGTGTTACAGGACAGTTACTGAACCGTTGTGCCATAGAGAAATATTACAAGCAAGGAGGTGCTATATCAGAAAGAAGACTCAGACAATTAAGTTTTTCATGATAGTCAGAAATGAGCATAAGAGGACTTTTCATCTGTTTTTTGTTGTATTGTCTGTCAGTGGATCTGATCCCTGAACAGTTTGTAGTTACAGCTTGAAGTTTTCTCTTAATTAGTAGCTGCTGCAAAGGGGCAAAATGCTCTTTCCAGGCCTGTGCATATCCAAATCTTGAGTGTGAGTTCTTCTTCCTCTAAACTCAAGTTTTTAATCCAAGGTCTAGCCAACCCGTCATATGATTTTAGGGTAATAATGCAGGGACCCCTAATTTGCAAGGCTTTGTTTATAGGCTTGTCTATGTTGAGAATGCTGTCAGCAGTGATTCAGCCTTACATTTTTACAAGGACCTTGGAAGTCTTAGTTTTGCCTGTTGAGAGAAATCCAAATCCTTGGAGTAACAGGATTGTTAGTAAGCAAAACCTTGCACGTTTTGGAGTAAGTTACATTTGAAATTCTTTACATGCTTCTGTTTTTTTTAAAATTAGCCTTAAAATAAATACCATTTGTTAAAATAAATAATTTCTTTAGGGAAAAAAAATGAATTCACGCACTTAGCTGTTACCTTTCATTACCTTTTCCCAAGCTTATTCTTTCCATATCATTCTGTGCTTTATGTTAAGTTAAAGATTGAGTCCATACTTCAGTTGATACTTTTCAGTTTTACATGTGGAGTTTGAAAATAACCTTCCAAGAAAAAGGTTTTATACCACGTGCATAGAATATATGCACTTCTTAAAACCAGAGAACAAAAGGATGGCTTACGTTTGTTCTCTATGGAACAGATGTCTGATAATGTGTTTGAATGGTGAAAAAATGATAATGAATAACAACTGGGAGATTTTGGAGGCTGTAGTAAATCAAATTAGTAACAAGGAGCATCTGATCTAACCTTCCTGTGAAAAAGGAAGAAACTATTGAAATACCTGTTTGAAAAATAAAATTAAGAAGTAGAAACATCTGTACTTTTTCTATTTTTAAATGGCTATTTAAACTCTTTAGCTGAGGAGAATATCAAAATTTTGGCCAAAAAGCTGACTAAACAGAATGTTATGGTAGCGCAAATGAGAACCAGTAATCCCAGGTTGATCCATTACTGGAAATACTAAATTTGAAAAGTCAAACCCCTTCAAATTTGCAAGAATGAATAAAATGGAGCCGGGGGGGGGGGGGGGGGGGGCAGTTAAAAAAATCGGAAGCTTGTACTGAATATTGTGTGGTATAACAGATCTTTCCAAGACTAAATCAATGCACTCTTACTTTTAGGTTTTTTTGAACTTTATGATTTTATTGGTTGTAGTAAAAAAGTGAAGTTACACACAGCAGCCATGGGAAACTAGCAACAAACTGTAACTCTAAGACTGCCATCTCATCACTAGCATTTCAGAATCTGTTAAACCTATTCCTTTTTACTCTTTGAGAACTCTGTTCCAATTTTTTCTTCCTTACTGTCTTCCTTTGCTTCTCTTAGGTTCGCAAATTTGTGGCCAAGGACAGTGCAGGGCTTCGTATCCGTAGCCACCCTTCCCTTCAGAGTGAGCAAATAGGCATAGTGAAAGTCAATGGATCCATCACTTTCATTGACGAGGTAATTAATAAGACATTTCTGTTGAAAATTGGGCTAAGCTGTAAAGTTAATTCATGCAAATAATGGTTTTTTTCATGTTTAGATATTGACATATACAACTTGAGAATGTAAGAGTATAAATTGCAAAAATCTAAATATTTACTAATTCAGTTTTTCAAGCTGTCATTTCCTTTTAATTTACTTATTTGAAAACCTGTGTAACAAACTTTTGAGACTCTGATATAAGGAAACAAAATTCTTAGAGTTCATCTTATAATAATATCTCTAAGGATTTAGCTGTTCATGACTTACTATTTCAGTTCTACACAAAAATTCAGGTGTAGGTGTCATTTTCACTACATCTTTCACTTACACTTCTGAAAGATCACTAGTGTGTTAGACTACTATGCATGTATTTTTCTTACAATATAACTTCATATGCAAAAAATATTTTTGCAATTTACTAAGTTATGTCAGCAGTGGAAAAATGGAAAGTGGGGAACTTCTGAAGCTTATGAATGCTTGGCTTGCTTTCCTCTTTTCTCTCAAAGCAACTCTTATTGTTGCATGATGTGATTTAAATTTATCTTTGCATCTTGCCTTCTAAAAAGATACGCCTCCCATTGCTTTTGAAATTCTGATTTTGTCAATATTCCTCTTTACCTCTTCTTACATTCTATCAGCATAGTGAAGATCATTACTTCCTTGCTACTATTGTCTGTTTGTCTGAAGTCTGTTAATCCTTACTAGTTACAGAACAGTTACAGGAGGGCATGGCTCGTTTTTGTTGCTTGTTTCCCATAGATCCACAATGATGATGGTGTTTGGCTGAGGCTGAATGATGAGACAATAAAGAAGTATGTTCCTAACATGAATGGTTACACTGAAGCCTGGTGTCTCTCTTTTAACCAACATCTTGGCAAGAGCCTTCTGGTACCTGTTGACGTAAGTAAAAGGTGCCTTTGAAAAATATCCAAAAGTACACTCTATCCTCATTACAAGACTTTCTTTAATTAAGGCTGCAAATGAGTCCTGAGGTAAACAATATTTTAATTACCAAATACTACCTTATATGTGTTTGCATTTTTGAGGGCTATTGTGTAATGAGGGTGGAGTGTAGAAAGGTACGAGGCTTTTCATGTTGAAGCCTCTTCTCCTAGAAGAGAAACAAAAGTGCAAGGACTGCTATAACAGTGTACAAAAGTATAATCATATTAGATTGTGGTCTGCACCAGGTGTTTCTGATGCAAGATGTTATTGTCCGTAAAGTGGCCCACTGATGCCGTGAGTTCAGAAGAGGCTTGCAGCCTGCAGTCAATCAATGTAATTGAGGCTTTTTAAAAAAACTTGAGAAGTTCTTTAGGCTCTATTGTTTTTTGTGTATATTTTTTGAGTTTTACACCTGAATTGAGTTATCAATTTATTAGCTAATCAAAGAATCCCAGAGCATCAAGACTGAGTAAAAAATTGAATTTATAATAAGAGTAAGCATAATTTATCTGGATAACTTTAATGGCAGTCACCATCACTACAATTCAAAGGTTACACCTTTTCTGTAAACATGGTACAGTTTAAAAAAAATATAAAAAACATGGAAAGAAAAAAGTATATTACCCAAACCAATGTTTCTCAAAAAATTTCTCGCAGTGCAGGCCTTTCTGGCTCTGTTTTGTGCGTTCCCCAGAGTGTGCAGTACCTTGGTTTCTTCAGGGCAGAATGTGAGAACCAGATCTAATGGCTAATACAGTTATTTAGATTTGATTTGTCCTCTTATATGAGTGAGCTGCTGCTGCAGTTGAAGGTAGTTAACAAATATTTGGCCAAATTAAACACCTGCAGCCAGTAATGTTACCCTGTTCATGTTTTCCGATCATAGAAGAACCGAGATACTCCCAGTTCCAGTGAAACTGGGCTGTTTGCTAGTAGACAAATCTGGCAATTCATTAAATCCCCAGTGGCTGCAGCCCTGACAAACACTGTTATATGATGCGACTAGATCTTCTTCCTATTCACCTTCTTGTCTATAAATTATTTGTTGATATAACTCTATTTGGAGATTTCTTTCAATGAAATTCTTATTTTGGGAAGTACTTTAGTATTGCATTTGGGAAGCAAATTATTTCTGTACTCAGTCATCAGTCACTCGAACACTATGACGACAGGCATATTTATCTAGTTTGTTGTAGAATATATGAAAACATTGAAAAAACACAAACTTTGCTTAAAATCTTTCTCGTATTTTTGGCCTTAGAAATTGATACTCATTAGAAAATATCTGTAGTGTACTTTCACAAAACATTAATGTTTGTATGCAGCAGTATTGTAAGCCTGGATGGGTATTGTATTTTGTTAGATTTTATTTCATTCTTTCTATTCCTAATACTTTTTTACTTGCTGAAGGGAAAAGTTTTGAGCTCAATAGTCACGTATGTGGTTAGCAAGAACTTACTGGTTGGTACATTTTAAATGGCTCTAGTACACACTTACTTCTAGAGAATAACATACCCTGTGCTCTCTTGAGAAAAGCTTGAAAGGAAATGGCCGTCATAAATAAATAAACTGAGTATTCAATCTTGATAATATAATCTTGATAATTCAAATTTCATTTGAATAAGTAGGTCAGGTACAATGAAATGTGAAAAACAGCATTTAATTATCATACATTTCACTCTAAATGCTTCTGTAAAGTTCAAATAAAATGTTATAGATCTTTTTTTCTTAAACAGTGCTGTGAATTAGTTTTGATACCATTTGGACTATTAGGAGTTGGTAGGTATTACTAATTTTCTTTTAACTAACCAGTTATATTACATCCTTAATGGCACAAGGTAAAAGTCGCATGCTTTCTTAGCTTCTGATCATTAAGCAGTCAGTGGCCAGCATAGCAAAAGTCTTACAAAAGCAACTATTATAACAATGTAGCTATGTATAATAAGAGATGTGTTTTGAGCTAATTTCAGATGGAAGGTTTCTTTGCATCTCTGTCATATTTTCAAATTTTTGAAAGGACTTACCATGTCCTGAATTACTTAATTTCACTATGACTATATTTAAGCATTAAGATTTGTTGGTTTGATTCAAAATAATAAGAGGAAAAAGGAAAAAATGTTCTCTAACATTTTCTTTCTTTTTTAAAGGCCACAAAACAAAAGTCAAGGTTCAGTGGCTTACTTTTGAATGCCTTAGTCTTGAATTGCATTATGCACCACACAACTTAATGAAATTCAGTAAACTCTTTTGTAAGCTCCTGATTTTTGTAACTCAGTTTAAAACCTTTTTCCTGCTAAATCTTGATCACATAAAGTGATACTGCCTTCTTGGTAGAAAGTTTTATAATAAAATCTCTTTTAAGGTGATTACTGAGTTAAGAATATTCAAAAATACACGTCTGTCTTTAAACCGTCCGAGAAAAGAACTGTTTTTTCATAAAGTTGTCAAATTTGATCATGCAGTCTTTTAGGGGTGAATGACTCATGTGGCAAAAGATGTTCAATTAAGCAATAAATGCTAAAGGTTCTGTAGATGAAATTGTGAAATAATCCACATCTGCTCATCCTTTTCTGTTGATTCAGGTAACTGAATGATACGATGAGCAGAATGTAGTAAAAAAATTTGTTAAAACACAAGATTTTTGGAATCCAAAGCTGTTCTACTGTTCAAACTGTTCAAAGTGTTGGTTTCAGAAGCAGGAAAGAGACTGGAAAAAGTCTCTCATGTGACTGAAAATACAAATGGAAAATCGAGTGGCTGAATTAGTCATTGTATTCCCTGTTCAAATGAATGTCACGTTACTTTTATTAGACTCAATTTTTATTCAACTCATGAGTGTGCAGGCTTGGCAACTCCAATTACATTACTTTGTCATATTTAAGCATACAGGCTTTTTCTAATCATCCCTTAAGTAAATAAAATCTCTCAGTACATTTTGGAAAATATATTTAAGGTATATTTTTTAAAGAAAGATTGAATTCTTCTATTTCATCACTGTATTAATAGAACAGTGAACAAAGAAAAAAGTAGAATTTTTCAGCAGTGTTAATTTCAGCCTCTTGTCCTCTTGGCATATATATTGTATTTACATTTTATGTTTCTTTAAACATATATTTTATGATAAAGCAAATATTGAGTATCTTAGATCTCCTAAATACACTGTTTCTGTATATTTTGATCAAGCTATTATATTTAGAGAGAAATGATTGTAGGAAAGCAGAGATCCATTATAGTTGCCAAACTATTTAATTCAGCTGTGGTCATTTACCTTCTTAAGAAAAGCTGTAGAGTCAAATCCTTTCATGAGGAGCTGATACGTAGCCATCGATCTAAAATTGAGCATCCAATCCATTGTAGGTAATGTGATTTTGAGACTATGGATTTAATAGATGGTGATTTTGGATAAGAGTATGAGTTTTAATAGATTGCCATTTTGGATAAGCTGCTTCCTTCACTGTTAGTTACTTTTCCTTCTGTCTTGTGACATTCAGTTAACTGTTTTTGAAAAAATACTTGTTAATTCCTTGCACGGACAGTTATGTATTCGTGCTTACACACAGTACTTAGTAGAAAGCTATATACAGCATAAAACAGTACACACTAGGAAGAAAAAGAATTTTATCTTGGTTAAGCTCTGGAACTTGACTTTTTAAAAATCATATTCTAAATATGGTTTTGTTACTTCATTTTAAATGTCAAACTTTATTATAAGGAATATTGTACTGTGCTGCCCAGTTACATTACTACATTCCGCAACCACCATGGGCAAGCAGAACTGAGAAACTGCAATTTTTTCAAACCATTATTGCAGTGGAAGAAAGAACCAAAATTGGTATGTAGACTGCAGTGTTTGGTCACAGAACCTCAGAAAGCTGAGTGTTCTGTGGAAATGTTGAAGGACATTCACAAGAGATTTCTACCATCGTTTTAGGCATGATGGAAAGCAATTGGAGAGTAAGACTATGTTGGGTAAAATGTCAAGATGTTGTTTAAGATAAGCCTTAGCTTTGAAAAAATAGTATTAATTGAGATTTTAAATGCTTCTTAATGGTCTGCTAATTTTTGGTGGCGAAATGAAGTAATTTATATTGATTTTTTTTTATTTCTGAAACTTACACTTTACTGGAAAAAAGTATGAATTTTTTTCTGGAAGAATTCCTGAAATTATTTTTAGTTTTTGGAAAGGAAAGCTGGAAAGGAAAAAATGAACTAAATCTACAGATGATAGTATAAGGACTAAATATAAAGCTTGTATGTAGTAGTTTCTTCGGAATGAAAACTTAATTCTCAGATACGTGCCTGATCTATTCATCTAAACTGGCATACAGTATGCTAATAGCCAGGAACATCTAAAGTTCCCAGAGCAAAGGAGACCTTCTAGTTTGATCTTCTCAGTGTTGCTAAGCCAGCACGGTCCCACTTCACTGCTGTTGGTTTCTGGTTTATGTTTTACACATATAGCTTTATAACATACAAAAGCAGATCTTTGAAACGATACTTAAATATTTTAGGTATGGATAGTCCATGTTTCTTTGTATAGTCGAAGTCCATCACAAAATATGAGATATGCTATAAAGTAATATAATTAGTCCATTAAACTACGTTGGATGCCTATGAAGTACACTGTCATTAGGCAAATGTAGGCTTTTTATAGTTGTCATAGTTTTATGTCAGATTGATAAGACTTTACTCTGCCACTCTTCCTATCTAACACCCTCCCCACCTTCCCCAATGCCCCAAAACATATCTCACTAGTGCATTAGTACCTCTTTCAATTTTGGGTAGAGGTACTAAATTCTAAAGAAATGATGGTGTTTGACAATTTCCCTGGCTTTGTCAAAATTGCAAATAATTTGCATTGCTGAAACTTGATGTAAGCGGAAGTTTTGCAAACAGTATATAGCCAGATGATTTGCTTCTATCATGAATTAGAAGTTTGGTTTTACTGACTTTTAATGTATTAATGTTTTTTCAAGGAATACAGAGGAGGCATGCCAAGAGTGTTTTGTATTCGTTTCTGCTTAAAGGAATTCATTGCCTTTTCTTTAACTACTGTTAAATTTTAATGTGACTGCTGTCCAGGGATTTCACTTGGTTCCCCTGTGAGGATGGGGATAGGAAATACGATTTTGATACTTCTGTTCATATAGATAAAATGGTGGCTTTGCCAAAGGGATTCTGTCATAAATATTGATTTTTAATACTACTGTGTATGTACTATTAATTCTTACATTTGTCAGGAACAGTAAAAATTTCTTTGAAATGAGTAGAAACCAGTTTATGGAGAAAAGATGGCTTCTTTTTCATGTTTTCCAGTGATTAAAAAAAGCTGTCCTAGCTGTTCTGTGGGAGGAAAAAATGTACAGAACAGCAGTGCTCCTTTCTATAGTACGGGCAATTGGTTATAAAAATCAGTGAACTCTCTCTGGCAGCTCCATTTCATTTATAATAATTCATAATAAACTAGTAAATGCATTGTATATTTTATAAAGCTAATGAAACCTTAGTAATTATTCTCCTTACAGCACTCTGAAATTTTTGGCTCTGGTCAAGAGTGCGATTTTGATGTGCAAACTGATGAAATCATTCTGTGCAAGTGAATTGCTTTCAACAATAGTGAGCTTAGCCCTTCTGCATCTTTTCAGTTCTGACTTGGTGACTAAAAGTCCATGTGCAGCAATATTGTCCTGCAATAATTGAAATTATCTTTCAGAACAGCAGACTGTCTTGCTATAAAACTGTGGTTTGTGGTGGGACCAACTACTATGTCATTGTAACAGAAGCATGGGATTTTTCTGTGCACGAAGTCTCAAGCTTTACAAGAAATGTCTGGCTCTTAATTTCAGTAAATGGCATGACACACTACATCCATTTTGAGCTTTTGACATACTAAACTGTTTTTGTTTAATGGATGATTTGCCATGGTGAGCAATGGACTCAGGTGACTTGATTAGGAAAACAAAACTTTCCCCTTTTGCAAAACATTCTACCAGTAAATTTACTTGTGGAGAAAGTTTGCATTATAGTACCTTGAGCTTCTTCCTCCGATGTTTCTTTGTTCCCATTTCTTTGTTGATATATGTCTGTTTTTTTAAACTTTGTTGCTCAGAATGTCTTTAATGCTAGCCAAGGAGTAAGGGATTTGGACTTTTTTTCATGGACTTCCAAAGCTTTACCCCCTAAGGTGAGTTAAATGACAGGAACAGTCACACTGTATCTCGTGTTTTCAGATTGTACCTTATGACTCAACTTTATGCTAAATATTCTTTGAAGTCTGTTTTACTTTGAATTATTTTTACAGGAAATAGCAGATTTGCATAGAATGCTGTATCTGTGTCTCTTCCTTTGGGATGAGAAAAAAATACCAGGGCAGATTATTGAATTTTCATTAATTCATAAGTAGCACTCTCCTTTTTTCAGCGAACCAAATTACAAATTCAGAGAGATGGCCTGGTAACATAATAAAGGCTCTCATTCTCTTTTTGATGCAGAATGTACTAGTAAAGTTTTTTCTGTCATTGGATGGTACGCATTAATTTGCAGCATCTAATAAGATGATATTTGTATGAGTAAAGCCACCAATATTTAATAAATACACAGCCCATTCTTAAACTTTTTTTAAAATTATACAATTATAGGAACAAATTATGTTATGTACAGTTAAGCAGTTTAAATTATCTACAGAAGTGCTTGTCTAAATCTCTTTGCAGCCCTGTAGTGATTTTGAGATCGAGTTTTTTTCATATGAACTTTGTAACGAAGATGACATTCAGTGTTGTACATATTGGTTTAGAGATTTAAAATCTTGTTTTTCCACTGAATCTTCTTCCCCAAAATAGCAAACTTCTTTATTGTTATATCAAGATCTAGACAATGTTTAAACTGTCTCTAAAACATATAGATTTTTTTTTTCCTTGAATTAGTTTACCTCAGCTTGCATTAACTTGCTTTGAAAGTTACATATTTACAGAACAGATTTTTTTTTTAATAAAGGCTTCTTGGAAAGACTGCTATATTACTCTGTACATAGTGCACAGACTTCATTACCAAAAAGCTGAAAATATGGTAATTAAAGAGATCAGAGGAAATTGCATTAATTAAAAAGGAAATAACATAAGCAGAAGTTTGGTTTAAAACTGATAAAAGAAAGTATTCTTTTACACAGCAGGAAGTGAACTCTTGGAGGGTGGTGTTACAGGAGATTGTGGAGGCAGAAAGTATCAGCACGTTCAGAAGAAATTAAACAAATTTATAGAAATCAGAGATAAATAAACACTAAAGAAAATAGGGTATACCCTCTAACATCCATAATAAAAAGATTTTAAATGCTGTTGGTATATAAGTGACAGACCACTAATAAAGACTTGTATGCTACTTCTAAACAGCATCTCCTGTTGCCATTGCTGAAGACAATATACTGGACTAGGTGAACACCGGCATAATCCCATAGGGCATTACTTAGTTCTTAACTTTCAGGTGTTCTTTTAAAAGCACCTGTGACTTGCATTATAAGCATAATAGAGCTTGCTCCTGCTTCTCACTTGCTTTCTTCTGATATAAATGTGTGTTACGTTACTCCCATCCCTCATATTTTTCTGTACAATAGCCTTTTTATTAAGCTATGGCTGGCTGAAAAATCTACACTAATATTTATCTTCTTTTAGTAACTACCAATTTTTCTTGGTAGGAAACTCAGAAACTGTTTTCTTATTTCAGATTTGGGTATATATTTCATCTGTAATTGGTACCAGGTGAAATAAATTTGCAGGCCATTTTTATTGTCGTAGTGAAAATAATAAATATGCACTAATATTTATATGTGCATTTAAGAATCTATGGTGTTGCTGTTACTCTTTGTCATAATTTTACCTTTACTTTAAATTAACAATATATTCTAAATGTGAAATCAAAAAAGAAGGATATCATTTGGAAAGAGATAATATTCAAATTCCCTTTATGTAGCCCCAGGCTCTTTCACAAAGTTTCACAAATACAGGAGGAGGAATGAGTGTGTATCCTGATAAATGTCAGTATGAAACAAAAAAAAGTGAAAAGTGAAAGCAGTTAGAGTAAATAATTTGTTTCTAATGGTAGATATGAGATACTCCTTTTATATAAACGGTTACGTTTATACCACTTTTGTTTCAAGAGTGATATGGTGACTTTTCAATTAATGTGCAATTTACTAGTAGTTAGTTTATCATTGCACGCTAAAATTAGCAATGTAACTAGTATCTCTTTTAGCTTTGAAATTTAGCTATTGTAGTCTTGAAGTAAGTATTTCTTATCTAAAGAGTTCAAAGGTATTATTAATAGGCTTTATTCTGTTCTGTTTTGTTTTGCCTTTTTTTTAATTTCTCAGGAATCTAGGTCTAATACTGATGATTTTTTCAAAGACCTAAATTCACACTGCCCACAGGAAGCAGTGATGCAAGAACAAGATATGCCATTCATTCGAGGTGGACCTGGAGTGTACAAGGTAGTGAAGACTGGCCCATCAGGTCACAACATCAGAAGCTGCCCTAACCTTAGAGGTATCCCAATTGGAATGTTAGTTCTGGGAAACAAAGTCAAGGCAGTGGGCGAGGTATGGATCCTTGTAGCTTCAGTTCATGTCTTCATAGATACCAGTATATAACAGTAGTAAACACAACAAAAGAATCTGCCCCTGTACAGGTTTGCTTTTCCAACCCTCATGATAAATACTAATCTTTGAACTTGGTTTATATTATAAATACTAATGCAATTGTGTCTTTTGCCTTTTAATGTGTGCATTGATTGGAATAATGTTAAAATTGTACTGCAGTTACATATGCTTGCTTATATATTTCTGTTACAGTATTTCTTATGAAATGATGTTTCTTGTTCTACTTTTATGTCATATTCTTTGAAAGAATTTTGTTTCATTGAAAAAATGTTTTTTTAGGACCTAACCAATTAACAAATTATTCTGTTTCTCTGTATTGATTGTATTCATTTGTTCAGTTGCTGAACTGTTGTTACTGTTCCCAGTTGTCCAGCTGTGGTGTTTTATGGTTAAGAAGGGCTTAAGGATGAAGTGTGTCATGCTATTTCCTAAATATAATGTCAGGAACAAAATTAGTACTTGTACAAACTTTTTATATGTAACTTGGTATTATAATTCTACTGTTGCAGCCACCAATAAAAAGGCATATTTTGGTGAATATCTCCTTCAAGTTTTTATTTAGGCTTGTTTGGATGTTCTAAAGTTGTGGTGTTGGTGTTTTGCTTCTTCTGAACATAAACGGGTCTAAGATTTTTGGAAATACTCCTGACTGTAAATGTGCCATAAATAGTTTTGGTCCTTCAATCTGCCTCAGTCTGTGGCCTTAATTTAAGAAACTTTTTTCTTTACATTTGCTTTGTAATATAAAGATTGGAATGAGTGTGTTTTTCAGATACTATAATAAGTTGCTGAAGCATGCTACTGAATTATCTGAAAAGTCAATAAATTGTGCTTTTTTATGTGTGTGCATCAGGTGACTAATTCAGAAGGTACGTGGGTGCAAATGGATAAGAACAGCATGGTAGAGTTCTGTGAAAGTGATGAAGGCGAGGCATGGTCGTTAGCTAGAGACAGAGGTGGAAACCAGTACCTGCGACACGAAGATGGCAAGTTGTTGTTTTGTTTTGTTTTTTTAAATTAATTTAGAAAAAATTAACCAATCTAAACAGGAGAAATAAATAAAGAAGGAACTGAGTTTTAAACAGGTATAACATTAATTTACACTTTTTCATTTGAGTTACTTTACACAGTTGGACTTCAAAGTTGTTTATAAACACTCTTTAAATGTTTTTTTAAAAGAACATTTAAAATATTACCCCATATTTTCTTCTGTACCAGTTATGGATCATAATTTTAACCGTCCTTCTTTTAGCTATGCGGATCATTTTTAAATAAGTAATTGTGCATTTTTGTTGGCTTTCTTTGGTCTATTTTTTGTCTTTATGAAAAGCAGAGCAGAATGAATTATTTATGTTCCTTTTGATATTCTTAAGTTTGTTAATTCTGTCACAGAGCATCCTATTAAAAACCTGTTAACGTGTTTTTTAACACTGTATTTAAAATTAACATCAAATTAGTTAATTATTCTAGTTAGCAAAGTATGATTGCATTCTCTTAAAATGCAGAATTTCTGACCTGATAATTCATGTTTAGATTGGGTAAGACCTAGAAATAATAAAAGAAAACATAAACAAAATGTTAGTACACAAAGTTTTTTATTGCTTCCCCTCCTCCCCCCGATCATCCTTCTTGTCGATCTCCTCTCAGACAGGCTCTCAGTAATGATATCTTTCTTTCACCCTGAATGTTTCATATGAGTATCTTGAGGTATTCTGAAACTGCTATTACCTTAACAGATAGTCCCAGCCCATCTGGATGAGTTCTCCTGTAAAAGATTATGGGCTACTTATTTTCCCTTAAAAGATGAGACAGGGAGTGATCTGTCAGTATTTATACTTCTGGAGGAGATCATCTATCCAACCTCCCTGTCAGTGCTGATTTAGCTAGATCAGGTCGCTCAGGTCCTTGTCTAGTCAAGTTCTATCTCCAGCCTCTCTGGACAACCTGTTCCAGTATTTGACTCACATTCATGGTGAAAAATTTTCCTAATACCTCATCACAGTTTCTCACGCTGCAACTTACTGTCTCTTGTCCTATCACCGTGAACCTCTGAGATGAGTCTGGCTTCATCTTCCATGAAGATTAGGTAGTCAAAGGGAGCAATAAGATCTCGCTTTAGCTTTCTCTTTTTAAGACTGAACAAACCCAGATCTCTCAGCCTCTCCTTAGATGTTGAGTGCTCTACTGCCCTGACTGTCTTGGTGGCCTCCACTGAACTCATTTCAGTATGTCTTCTGATGGGGAGCCTGAAACTGCACACAGCATCCCAGCTGTCCAGTGTGTCCCTCTTGTCTTTCCAATGTCTAGTAAAAATTACTATGGATCTTCATTAGCATGATTTTGTTACAGGTTTTAAACATAAAACAATCTGTGGGGTATTAAGTCTTCCGTCTTTTTATTTTTAGAGCATGAGCTCTAAAGAAGAGAGATGTGCTTTTCTTTCTGAAGAGAATTGAGTAGAGTGGTAGAGTGCTATCTGTGGAAAAAATATATCGCTCCTTTGCCTTGTGACTCATCTTTCCAATGTAAATCAGTTACTAAGAAGGTCTAATTCTGAAGTGATGTGTTTTTTTTACAGAGCAAATCCTTCTAGATCAAAATGTTCAGACTCCTCCCCCAAGTCCTTTTTCAATACAAGCTTTCAGTAAGGGGACAAGCTGTAGTAATGGACAAGGGTTTGATTATGGCCTTGGAAATAACAAAGGTATGTTTTTACACTCAGATTTTAAAAAATTATGTTTTTCTTAACTTTGCTTATATTTTTGTTACTCATTTCCTACTCTTTTAGGCACCATCAGATGTTCTCCAAAAGACATAAGCAGTAATGCAATGAATTGCAAGGTGTTTTACAAAACATGTAGTTTAATGTTGTAACTGCTTTTTTCTCTGCTTTAATTTCGTTCAGTCTCAGTACTCTGTATAAAAATGATCAACAAAGATCTGTAAGTTATAGTTGAGGCTTTCTATAGTGGTAGTCACAAAACTATAATGCAGAAATGAAAAACAAACTTGTAAAACAAGATATGAAAATTATTGGATTTAGAAAGCATGGGTTTTAAAATGATCAGAAACATTTGTAAACACTTCTCACCTGTCTTGACATTTTTTAAGTGCCTTTAATGGGATGACAAGATAAAAGATACCATTTGAGATTTAAGTTGTAATACTGAAGTTACTTTTCAATCACATAGATACCAGTTACAAATGCTGGGAAATAAACAAAATCTTTTTGATTTTACTGACATAAAATAATTGTTTCTTTTAATCATGGTTTATTTTGTTGGCAAGTTGTAAATATATATAAGCCGTCACAATAAACTCAAACTGCATGTCTTCTGTTCATTCATTGATTAGATCTAGAAGATTTAATAATGTAGAAGGGACTTTTGCTGAGGCAGATGTCCTGGCAAAATATTACTGAAATAGGAGCTTTGTTATTCTACTCTTACATCACTGTACTCTGTCCATGCCACTATGAACATCGGCCTAAGATGTGCTATGTGTTTTAAACACCAGCATATATTCTTAGTGGTCTCCTAAATAAAATAACTTGATTTAAGACTTGTTTTAAAGGAGAAGAGATGAGGGAAAAAATATTCCTAAATGTAAATGTTCTAGTCTGTTGTTTTCATAACATGAAATAGTTTTATATCATTTCATAGTGTTTTACTGCATAAAGAAGCAGTTCATACTTGTCCATGCATTGCTATAGGAAAACTTTTTTTTTTTTTTTGGGACAATGGCTGGAAAAGTTGAAGTGTTTTCCTTTTATTTTATAGGGCTTTTTATACAGAACTGCTTTTCCCAGTTCAGCCATACTCATTTCAAAGTAATGGTTGAATCACAAAAGTGGAAGTATTTAAGATGTTCAGTGTGTGAGGCAGTAGCACAGCTTGTCTGTCAATGTCAACTGTGTAATAGTGCAAAATTATTATCTATTCCTTTTCTGCAGAAGCATATTAGGAAAAGAATTTTTTTCCTGTGTTGTCCAAAGACAAAATCTTGGAGATCAGTATGCTATATTAACAGACATTCTAGTTTCTGAAGACATTGTGATTCTTTTTACTATATCCTATCTTAAGCAGTTTCTAAGGTGTTTCTTTGGGATATTACAGTTACAGAAACTTTGGAAGTTACTCCTGGCATTGAATTCCATATTATTTTATACGCATTATTCTCTCGACATACCCTCAAGCTGTGATGTTTAGTATGAGTGAGCAGCTCAGCTAGATGATTTTATTCATTCCATGCGGTGTAATACCTTCTCAATTGCCAAAGAGTGCAGAGTTGTTGTATTGAAAGAATAATGCTATTACTTTCCCAAAAATAGAATTCTTCAGCTGTATCATTACTCTATATACAGTCTTTTTGCGTTCTCAGGTCTAAGAAGCTTTGAGTTTTGTGGAAAATTAAAAAACTGAAGCTCAAGCACAATCTGTTAGGGGAATTTCTGAATGAAGCAGTTCTTTTGGAGGTGCTTGTTTGTCAAAAGAACGTCTGTAGGGATGCACTACTTTCAATGAAAATTCAGTCACCATCTATGAGCGTTTCAAACTGCTTGTCAAACTTAAAGATCCCCATGTAATAGGTCTGTGTTTACAGTATTTCCTGTGATGCAGAAGACATAACTCCCACAATCATTCTGTTTGATTTAGCTATGTCTTCTCTATTCCAGCCTTCTACATTGCAGGCAAGTCTTTAATATCCCTTGTGAATGGCCCTACCCCCCTCCATATTTAATTACTGTGGGCACATAACTTTCAACCTCTTCTCAGATGTTATTCCTTTTAAAATAATACTCATTTTAGGAAATAGGCCCGTTGTATGTAAGAATAATAGTGCTTTGTCAAACATGTCAATCACTTCTGGGTTATTAAGGTAGGAACTATTGCTGCCCAAGTACTGATTCCAATATTTTTTAGGTATACTACTTCCAAAACAGTGGAATAAAATTGATTTATTGATACCTGTAGATGATTGTTTAGAAAGGCATTCCAGCTATTTTCTCGTATTTTTCTCCTCTCAATTTTGAAACCAAAATATCGAGAAAATAAATGCAAAATTTAATGTTGGAGTTCTTGGGTAATACAGAGTTCCATGCACCCACTGGCTTTTCTCTAATTCCGTGAAAGGACAATTGATAAACACCCAAAAATGTTGTAAATTCAGTGAGTTGTAAATTCTGTATTAGCTGCTAATTTTTTTTTACTTGGATTTCTATAATGCTGTCAAAATTATACGAATTTGCAGAATAAAGTGATGCTGTTAGGATTTGATTGGTGATGGTTCAAATCTGAGACGCTCTCAAACTCTTGGTGTCTCTCAGCTCATATTACTAAGTATACTTCAAGTTACAACATAGTGTGATAAACTCTGCCTTCTTACTTTAGGCTTCATGTATTTCAAATGCTCACATAGAGTTTTTTGAGAATTGGCATTCAGAAATGGAAACTCTATTTTTAACATGCTAGTTTTTTGAAGGCCTTCATTTGCCTCACAACAAATGTATGTAGTTCTTCAGAAAACCAGTTCCAGTTCCTAAGTGGTACTTATTTTTTTTAAATTATCTTCAATCTGATCTTGAAAAACAGCATGACAGAATACTTTTAGAGATATTTGCAAAAATGAGCAAATATTTACCAAAGCCTTGGCACAGAAATACACTTGCCAAAGCCTAAATACATGTTATCTTTCTTTCCCTTCTCATCAGTTTTTCTAATCTTTTTCTGCATGTTCTGTTGCATGTGTGTATTATTGTAAATGCTAGGGATTTCTGTTTTTAATTTGGCTGCTCTTAATTTTTTAGCAAGGTGAATATAAATCTCTATTTTGAAATGTTTTAAATAATTGCAGTAAAATATCCATGATTTTTAAAAACCCTTCTAGTACTTTTCAGTAATTTTACTGCCATGCATGGAGTGAGATTTTTATGTTTAGCCACAACCAGAGTGGTATGTGGCTAAATAACATTTATGAGCTTTCTCTATTATCATCATTTAAACTTTAATTGAGCACCATTTTACTCTGCCTTTCTGGAGAATGACAAGTAACAGGTTGTAGTTTTGACTGTTTTGCCCACTACAGGTGACCAACTGAGTGCCATACTGAATTCCATTCAGTCACGGCCAAATCTCCCAGCTCCTTCCATCTTTGATCAAGCTGCAAAACCTCCCTCTTCCCTAGTCCACAGTCCATTTGTGTTCGGACAGCCCCTTTCCTTCCAGCAGCCTCAGCCACAGCTTCAGAGTAAGTTTGTCAGCCTTACCTGCCTCATCAGTCCATTTCTGCAGCTTTGACATTGCTGTTCTCAGTTGCTTACCAGCTACTAATCATCCCTCAGTGCACCTTTCTGGTTTTGCTTTAAGTTTTTCATGATTCAGAAGCATGTGAGGTAATGCTCCTAAAGAAGTATATTTGTTCAACTTTGGTTTCTATATTGACAATATTTTGCTTTTGTATGTGTTCTGCAGTGTAGATAAGTCACGAAAGTGCATTTCTAATATTGTATGCAACTCTGGGTTTATAATTAAGGTAAATATTTTATATGGTATAAAATGTTGATAATTCTTTTAACATCAAAAATGTAAATTCATAGTTATTAAATTTTCTTACCTCCTAAATTCCTATTTTTGTCATCACTCCTAACTTTAGGGATGTAGCTGGACAGTGGGAACAACTTGGCACTACTCATAAGAAAGGCTTTGCTAGTCTTCTGTTAGATGCTCATAGGATTCGCATGGACATGAAAGTTTGCACCTAGAGGTCAATAGCAGTTAACAAGATTACTGATGAGAGGAAAGGAAACTGTTTAGTTTTTGATTAATGAAAAATAAAAGCTCAGCATTCATGATGGATAGCAGATATTGCAGTAAATTCTTCCTTATATACAGAACAGGTATAGCATGGGTCCCAGGAATACTAGCCTTCTCCTGTCTCCCATAAACTGTCCTTCAGAAGTGCCTCAGTTCTTTCTTGGGGACCTTGTTGGTCAGTTCAGTCTCTATGTCTATGCAGTCCTGGATGTATCCAGCTCAGCTTATTGAAGTGTCAGTGAAGTGCTTCCTGTGAGAACTAGATTAAAATCTGTAATTCACTTTTATAAAGACTATCAGAAATATTCTGACAGTGATATTCTGTACTTATGCTCAACTTAAACCAACGTCCTGAAAGCAGAATATTCCAAAACCTACTCAGATAAAACTACTGATTGCCAGTGGCATCAGCACACCGTCATTGAGAATTTGTCAATTGTATATTCTTTCCCATCAGTTTCAGTTTTCTTCTCTTGTTCAGACTAGTAAAGTCAGAGTTTCTTATTCAACTTTGCATCAAAAATAACCCTAATTGTCTTATTTCAAACTTCAGATTATTTGTCCTGTCTGTATTGTATGAAAAGAAAAGCTGTCAACATTTTTTATTGGCTGCCCAACAAGATCTTGCTCAATGGATTTGCCTATCCAACAGATGCAGATAAATTGTATTCAGTAAGCTACATCCATGGTTTGTGTTTTAATAAGGAACCCTGATTCAGAAGGAAGCCTTTTTTGTCAGATAGGAGTAGTCTACCAAATAAAATACTAATGAAACTGGAAAAATTTTTCAAGTTTGTGTCTGATTTGGGATCTTAGCTTAGTATAAGATCTCAACCGATATGGTTATTTGCCCTTCCAGCAGGGCAAAAATCATCAGCCAGAACTGGTATACTGTTGCACTAACTGTGATTTGATACAAGGACTTTCTTCCAAACAGTTTATTATCTAATTTAAGATTAGATAATCTAATTAGATTAGGCACTTTATAGCCTCCTGTCATCAAACATGTAATTAAATGTTAAATCCATTAAACAACATATCCCAAGGCTCCATATCAAGTCACTTGGATTTTTGCCCTAGACACGCTTAGTTTTAGTTTCAAATTATGTGCTCTGTCCCTGGGTGCTTCCTGCAGTAAAGTTAGATCTAAAAATTAAAATGAATGTTTATAGTCAATAACTGCTACATTTAAGGGACTAATGATAGTCTAATAGTTGAAAGAAGTTGTGCCAGCCTAGATTTCCATGGCTGCAGAAGTTATATACTAAATACCAGTTTTGATTGAAAGTCTGGCTAAATAGTTTAGTCTACCACTTACATTTTCTGTTCTTCCTCAGATATCTGTCCTCCTGGGGAGAAATTTTATTTGCAAGCATGGTTCTGAGGAAAGTTAGGATCATGCTGAATGTCCTCTAGAATTATTTCCTTGATTTAGGTTTTTATAATAGGAAGAAAAATGTTGGTCTTATTATAAAACATATTCTGTGCCAGTGACAGATTGTAGGGTTTTTTTAGAAGAGTTTGTAGCTAGCTGTTCTTTCTGAGGAATGATTTCTGTGCTTGGGGTTTGGCTTGGTTTCCAAATTCGTTTGGGGAAGAGGGAGAGGGCTTGTCACAACCTTTTATCTTCTGATAGAGTGTCTGGTTTGTTTGTTTGTTTGTTTTTTGCGGAAATACTACAGTTTTGGACAACGATTTCCTCAGATATAATGCTTGAAAAATTGAGAGGTGTCTCTGTTACTCTTTTCACATCATAGAGGGTAAACTAACAAGAGTCCTGTGTGTTTTGTCAAAGAATTTGTTACAGAAGGGGTATTATAAAAAAGAAAGGGGAACTGTGTTACTCAGTTTTGTGTTATTTGCTAGAACTCTATGAAGAGCTGATTGTTCTGTCCTACTTAATTCCATTGCTAATTTTCACACTTGGTCACACAAGGGAAAAAAGCCAAGAGATGGTTTTATTTTTTATGGGGACAGACAAAATTAAGATGCTCTTGTCATGTATTTTAGTTCCTTGTCAGTCTTTTATGCAGCTAAAAGTCCAAAAAAGCTAGAGGAGGTGGCATAACCTACCTGGAGTTCAGGAACAGCTGTATTGACTTGGAATCCTAGCAAGGATTTTTTTCCCGAAAGAGCACAAGTTTATGTGTGTTTCTTCCTTGATTATTTCAACAAAACAGTCTGTAATTACTCCAGCCTGAGTATGTTTGCTTCTGAGAAGTTTGTAAGATCACCAGTAACAGATTTGCTCAAGACTGCAACCTCTCATAGCTGCAAAATTATTACTAGTTGCTTGATTAATTTGTCTCTGAACTTTGTGAAGAACACAGAAGACTCAAATTTCTGCTTGGATTCTGAGTATAGGTGAAGTGTGGAAACCTAGAGGGTCAAGGAAGATCTTGTTTTTCAACCTTCAGCAACGTGTGCTGGGTCATAAAACTCCTTAGACGTGACAGGTCAGGGAGGCAGGATCTTGCTATACTGTCCAGCATCAGTTATCAAAATTTCACAATTGGCTGTTGAACTCTCAACTTGGGGAGGAAAGTTTGAGACTTAGCAGTCACCAACGTTAGACCTTTATGCCATGTTTCCTCACATCTGAGTTGCTATTGCAAATGAAGAACAGATTTATAGTCTGAAGAGGCTTTGGACCGCCCGTGTAAGCCTCATTTGTCACATTCTCCCTCTTCCACTGCAGCTCACTGAGCAGCTGCACAGCACAGTTACTGCTTCTTGACCCATCTCAGACCAGGCAGAAGCTGCAGTGCTGAGCTGCTGTTCAATATGTCCATAGTGTCCTGTCAGGCTCCTTCCTTGCCCATCCATGCTGCAGAAGCTGCAATCCAGCATTATGGTCCCACAGTATATGATCAGCCCCTACCATTCATGTGAGGAGTTCCTTGTCCCTTTAGTATCGTGCTACCACTTTCTTTTTTCGTTTTGTTCCTTTCCTTTCTAGGTGCTAGTTACAGAGCATTTAGAACCACTGGCTTTGCCTGCAGTGCTTCTGTCCGCATTTCCTGAACTGTGGAGGGGGCACAAAAGAACAGTACACATACGGAGCACATAATCCTTCTCGGTAGTATTTCAGTAAAATGAAGGGAGAGAATATTCCTAACGGAGCACACTGATCTCTTCCATATCATGCTGAAATTACTTGTCATGCAAGGCAGCCAGAGAGTATTGGTTTAACTGTTTTTTCAGATGCTGCGTATTGCCAAAGCATCATTGCTGAAAATTTGATCTAGTAAGTTAAATGGTTTCATACCCTAGGCTTTACAGATCTGATAATCAAAGATACGTACGAAGCATACATTTGTCCAGGTCAATCCAAAACCATCCCTGGGGGACTGGTATGGTAAAGTTTGGAGGAAGAGCACAAATTGTGTTAAGCATTATTTTAGAAATAAATTTGGTTTATCACATCTTCAAAAATTGTAGTTACAAATTATAAAATTATAGAATCATTTTTATCTACCCTTCTAGCACATTAATAAACTTAAGTGGCTCAAGTGTTGGTGCTCCAAACCCTACCTTTTGGTAATGAACATTGCTACTATTTTTCTTACGATACTGCATTTCAGTTTTTGCTTTCATTCACTCACTTATTCCCCTACTATAACAGTATCTAATACTTTTCTCCCTTTTTAATATTTAATATTCAAACGTTTGTTAACTTCAGTATACTCTTTTACTTATGAAGAAAAAGTCCTTGTCCAACTGTCACTATGGCATTTGGCATTTTCAAGATGTGAGAAAAGATACATTGATTGCAGTGCCTGAGGAAATTCAGCTAATAGCCATATTGTAGCTTCCATGTCAGTAACAGCGAGTGAAAGAGGAATGGATTCTTTTTCAAGATGCATCAATTGCTTAGGCAAAAGGGCAAAAGCAGGTCAGTGCTTTGCTTCATCATCGTGCAGAAAAGCAGTGGCATTTCAGAAGAAACTTTAACTTATCTCTGCCCTCCAGGGACATTTTACCAGTCTGTTTCGGAGTTTAAAAAAGACGGATGTGGACTAGTTGGTGGTGTATCGTGCCTCCTGGATTGGCTTACCACTGTTTCCTCAGAGGAAGTGTAGGCATGGCTGTTAGAAGACTGCATCCTGCCACAGGACTTGAACTGCCTCTTATGTCTCTATATTGCATAGCTTTTCAAGCTAGAGCTATTTCCATGTTGAAGGAAAGAATGTGACTGAAGATAAGCTGTCACATTCAAATGTAATGTGAGACAGAGCTTGCCTACCTGTCTTTGAAGTCTTTCTAGTCTTTGGGGGTGATTAAAAAAGCAGGAATCCTGACCAAAAAGCTGGTCCCTGTTATTGACCACTTATCCTGGATAGGCATACATTGTTTGCCAAGGCAGCAAGAAGATTTATGTGGGAAACTCATTCTCTTTGACGCACAGTCCCCTTGAAATGATTGAGAGGGAGGACAGTGTTCAACATAAGCTAGATTACAACATTGTAAAATGTAAGTATTCTCATACATAGAATGAAGCAAAAATGTGCATACATGAAATCGGGTTTAGTAAAGATTTTCGTGTAATTATTCATGGACTGGAATGCTCATATATCAAATTGACATTTTCAGGCTTGTATTTACAGAATTGTTCCTCCACTGCTACTTTGTGTTCTTAATGTGTTTTTCTGCATTTTGGCTTTAAAAATCAGTGGAATGACATCCTGCTACTCAGAAGTAATATAGTTAGTATTGGATCTCTCCAAAGCATTTGTAGGCATCAAAGTAGGTAATACTGTTCTTAAATTTATGCTAATACTGGATTGAGAAAATAGAGATTATTTTCTTGTTTTAAAGAATGAAATTTTACTTTAAACATGTGTGAACACTTTCTCATTGTAGTCTATAGACTCCTTCTCATTGCTTAAGATAGGGTTTTTAATATATTTATGTGTACAAGTTAGTAAATGTAGTACCAGACAAAAAGATGTCTTAAGCAGTGCAGGAATTGAAATCACTTATTTTCAATAGACTTGTCTTCTTCCATTTATACAAAAGGGTCTCTCTAAAACAGAGTATCTTCTAACATACACAGTCTCTTTAAAATTATTAATGCTGCAAAATCAGACTTTTTTTTTTCTAAAGGAAGGAATAGGAATTGGAATTAAAAACAACATTATAGGAAAGTAAAATGATAGACTTGCAACTAAAAGTCCTTACTGTTACCTCACTCCAAATTTCATTTGGAGCTGTACCTCTAACAGATTTGGTGTCAGTAGAATCTATACTGAAATTATCTTGGATTGTATCAGAATTTAACTTTGTTTTTTTTTCTTAAGGCAAAATTATTTTTGAGGGTTGATACGGATTTGTTTTCGTGTCTGTACTGTTTGATAGAAACTCTTCTACTGCTAGTTATGTGTCTTGATAGTACTGAGAAACTAAAGTTCACATTACACACATGAACTTTTTCGAAACATTACATTATTGAGGTGCATTCAGATTTGAAAACAGATACTTTTGATGGGTTTAAAATATTTTTCTTCATTCTTTCCAGTGATTAGTGAGACTTTCCAACACAAACATCTAGGTGTTCTCTAATTTTCTCAAAAGAATGTGAGAATGGGTCGTCTAGAAGACCATATTGCAGTTTTAAATAATTAATCTCTGAATTTACACATTAAAAGTTCACGTTTAAAACCAGAGTTCAGTTGAAAACTAGATATTATTTTTATAATAAACCATAAATCTCATTGGCTAATCTACACATATTACATTTTTAGATCCTAGAAACTAGTACTGAAATCACAGAAGATCTTTTATTCTTTTAAAATTTAGATCAGGGAAAACATCTTGAAGTAACTGTTTCTCATTTAAAACTAAGGCAGGAGTCTAAGCAATGAATTCAGAATACTTAACAAAGGAGAGAGATGCATATCATTTGAAATGCTTGGTTTTATCTTGACTGCTTTTTCCATTGAATCTGTGCTGCTTCTGTGCAACTGTTTTCTGCTGTAGAAACTCCATCCTGCTGCCTTGCTTCTCGTGAGCGTATTTACAAAACTAGTGATGTAGCTGGGCCTGCCTCTGCTATTTCATCTCTCTCTCACAAACTGAAGGGTGGGTATGCATGCCAACATAGCAAGGTTATTCAGACTTTACGTTCAAAATGTTTTTTTTCCTCCTTCCATTCATTTTCATTTCATTCGTTTAATGAAATACTTTTTCGAAAGTAAACGTTCAGGTTTGGTATTTGTTGGGAGCTCGTTTGATATAACTATTCAGTGTTGCCTTCCTGAGTTGCAGCAGCTTCATGATATGTGATCTAGCTATCTCTTACTGCTTTGTAAACAGAAAGGTGACTGTTAATCTAATCTAATAACACCTGTTTTCAAACAATAGGCAAATGAAATATGGAAGAAGAAAGTGGAAAAAATATATGGGGGGTTTTTTGTTTGTTTACAGATAAAGCAATTTGCTACATGATTAGGGTTTTTTTCATTTTGGGGATTTTTTTTTTTGTGCTGATAGTCTAGAATGGTAATTAGGATTGTTTACCTGTATATGTGCAAATTCAAACCTTTGTTTTTAAAAAACGTAAAATACTTTTTCGTGCTGGAAGCTACTGTTAAACTATGCCTTTCATAAGCAGTTTTGTTCTAGAAGTGTTTTCTTGCTTGATATTCATTAGTCATGCATATACTTTGAATTTGATACATTGCTAAATGATTTACGGTGGTTTATGTCCTCTAAGATGACTATTGTTGTCTTTTCACTGTTTTTTTCTTTATGAGGAATTCTGTAAAAGGTTCTATCTAGAGTATTTTCTCATCTGGCAAACCTTAAATTCATCTTTTTATTTTTTGTTTCTGGGAAAAGTGTGTATAAAGTAATTACTATTTGCATTTCTGAATTCATATACCAAAGCAGACATCTCAAAATAGCTCATCAGTAGAACTACTGAATAACTGAGCTGGCATGAATAAAATGCTTGGACTGATATTTAAGAAACTTTTTTTTTAATTTTAGAAAGAACAATCATTTTATAAACCATGATGTACCATGCTATTTCTTCCCTTCCTCTTCTCCCTCCCTCCTCCGCCCCCCAAAAAATTATAGAACTCGTAAGAAAAAAGAATAAAGACAGACTGGACTCTCAAAATTTATTATGATGATGTTTGAGATGGTCTCATTACATTCTACTGTTTACATTTGGCATATTGTTCCTGAATATAGACAAAATATTTCTCCTCTGCCTGGAGAAATATGAACTCTTCCATGTCCCATGTCCTGGGAAGCCAGGAAAGTACCCTAACCTTCAAGCTTGTTAACTATTCTAATATAAGTATCTTTCACTTTTTCCTGTTGCTGTTTGTTTTATTATAAGCTCCTTAAATATGGAGGTAACAAAATAACAAGAATGTTTTTGTAACCTAAGGAAATATCTGGGTTGCTAGACTTTGTTCCAAAAAATATATTTGTTTTTGTATTGTGAGAGGTAACAGTAGAAAAAAACTGAGATCACTCTGTGCTTCGATATATTTTCTAGCATAGGGATAAGTCTTTATGGTTGGGAACTGGAAGAAGTTGGTTGAGATCCCATAAAGCAGAAGGAAGTAAACACAGATTTCCCACCTTCTAACTAAATGCTGAAGGTGTTGGATAGAAGATGACTGCCTATCCTCTCTGTTCCCATTAGAAATCAAGGTCCAAATTTGCCAATATTCTCTGATTAATTGAAACTTTATTTTTTTGACAAATAGTTGTTTCCCAAAAAAAAGTACCCAGACCAGTGGAAATAACCTTTTAGTGTCTGGAAAAGTAAAATAATCCAAAGTACTGTGACGTAATTCTACAAACCTTACAAGACAAACTTCTTCATGTTTAACTAATGAAAACCCATTCAAATCAGAACGACTTAACTATGCATTCAAGACTTTGCCGTGTAATGCTTTGTGGAGAGACAGTTAATTCACAATTGCTGCATTGCTTGCCAGTAACTTCAACATTGCTTGTCTTAATTTTCAAAATACAATTCTGCAAGAGGGACTGAGTGTGTTCCCAGAATTATATAATTATATAAGAATTATATAAGAAGCAGATTGCTTAATATACTTATTTACATATACTTGTTTTGCATGTATTTATATTAAGCTGCCCATAGTTTTTATAGTTCTGTGGATTAATACCTGTATGCAGTCAATGTGCATAGGAATAATAAATTACTGCATCAAAATAAAAGGACATCATAGACCAGAGTTGATGGCTTAGCTTAGTGGTTGAAAAAGGTGGGGTTTTTTTTCAGTAGGTTGTGTTCTGGTAGCAGAACATTGATAGTTTGTGGTCTTAAAAAGGTGGATACCTCACATTATCAACGTGAATCATTTTAAGCATGTTTGTAAGCCTCTTACCCAATTTACCTTATGGTTGTATTTACTTCCTATGTTTCCTGACTTTTGAGCACTAAAGAAAATAAATCTGGTAATACATTTGATCTTTCTGCAAGTCCTTTGTTGCAGTCAGGCTGACACACATAGAGATAATAAATAAATAATCCTTGGTTTCTCTTGCAATGGTAAACTTAGTTAACTCCTGGCATTTTACCTAAGGATGTAAATTGTGCTTCCTTTACCAGTGTTCTGTGGAAATACTGAACTGTGCCTTTTGATACCTCCATAGTAATGTTTTCTCTGTAAATATTTCGTAACACTTGTTTGTATATATCTTTGGGAGAATAAATGTATTGAAAATATTCTAGGGGAAAAAATTCCCTTTATATTTCCTTTCATTTTGATGTGAACAGAAGCATGTGTTTGAATTTTATCTTGTGCTCAGATCTTTAATCTTTGTTTTGTATTATTAAAGGTATCACTGTCAAAGCATAATAATTTAATTAGAAAATATACTAAACAGGTGACCGAATGAATTTCACAGGAGCTGCTAGACCGATTTCTCCATCAGGAAAGTCAGATATGTCATCAAAACACAGAGCTGACTGCAGGTCACCCAAGCTTGATGTGCGAATGAATAGAGCTGCTGCTGACCAGAAGAAACCCAGGAATACAGAAGGCTTATCTGCCAGTGAGTCTCTTATGCTGAAATCAGATGCTGCAAAATTGCGGTCAGACTCTCACAGCAGGTCTTTGTCTCCAAATCATAACACTTTGCAAACACTAAAAACCGATGGAAGAACAACTACCAGTCTGAGAGCTGAATCTCCAGGGCCGGGAACCCGATCATCTTCTCCAAAGACAAAGACACTTACAGCTGTTAGATCTGGTGCTAGTTCTCCACGATCCTCATCACCCCATGACAAAACTCTACCTCAGAAAGCTTCATCCCCTGTAAAAACAAAGCTTGATCCTCCTCGAGAACGATCCAAATCAGATTCTTACACATTAGATCCAGACACCCTTCGCAAAAAGAAAGTACCACTAACAGAACCCTTAAGGGGGAGGTCCACTTCACCCAAACCAAAAATTATTGCAAAAGATGGAAAACCTGTTACAGAAACTGAAAATAGAGCTCCTTCCCCTCATGTTGTACAAGAAAATCTTCACAGTGAGGTTGTTGAAGTATGTACTTCAAGTACTTTAAAGACAAACAGCATTACAGATAGCACCTGTGAAGACAACACAGAATTCAGAAGTCTGGACGATGGTTCTAATAAAGTTCATTTCAGCATAGGAAAAGCACCACTGAAAGATGAGCAAGACATGAGAGCATCTCCAAAAGTGAGCCGTAAATGTGCTGGTAGGCACACAAGACCCAAAAAGGAAAAATCCAGCTTTCTTTTCAAAGGAGATGGCTCCAAGCCTGTAGAGCCTGCCAAGCAAGCAATGTCGCCTTCTGTTGCAGAATGTGCTAGAGCTGTATTTGCTGCGTTTCTTTGGCACGAAGGAATAGTTCATGATGCTATGGCTTGCTCATCTTTTTTGAAATTTAATCCAGAACTGTCCAAAGAGCATGCACCAATACGAAGCAGTCTTACTCAACAACCTGCAGAGGAAAAAGAAACCAAGTTGAAAAATAGACATTCATTGGAAATATCATCTGCTCTTAACATGTTCAACATCTCACCTCATGGACCAGATATATCTAAAATGGGTAGCATCAATAAAAACAAAGTCCTCTCAATGTTAAAAGAACCACCTCTGCATGAAAAGTGTGAGGATGGAAAAACTGAAACTACCTCCTTTGAAACATCCAGTCATCACACGATGAAATCCAAGTCTCCTCTTCCATTAACACTGCAGCATTTGGTAGCCTTCTGGGAAGATATTTCTTTAGCAACTATTAAAGCGGCTTCCCAAAACATGATTTTTCCAAGTCCTGGTTCTTGTGCAGTGTTAAAGAAGAAAGAAAGTGACAAAGATAACAAGAAAACCAAAAAAGAGAAAAAGAAAAAAGAAAAGGTTGAGACTAGGCCAAGGGGAAATCTTTTTGGCGAGATGGCTCAGCTTGCAGTGGGAGGACCTGAAAAAGACACTATCTGTGAGTTGTGTGGAGAATCCCATCCGTATCCAGTGACTTACCACATGAGACAAGCTCATCCAGGTAAGATTCATATTTTTTAATTCCTGTGTCCATCTGTAAAATATATTGCACACACACATTTTGGTATTAGTTACTGTTATGAAAATACGTCAGGCTATCTTGTCTAACATTTTAACACAGTTCACTATATGAGCTAAATAAAAATTTAGACACACTTACTTACAAATTATTTACACGCTTTGTAAATAATTTTAAGTAGTTATGGATCTGAGTTTTCAAAGATGATGAAGAAAGTTCTTGGAAACAATGCCAAAACAATGAGCTGACTTTACAGTAGCTCTTCAGAAACATGCCATTTGTTACACTTTAGGACTTGAAACTGTGCTGACAAAATTGTAAATAAAATTAAAAATATGAGATTGGTTAATTAGGATTTCTATGTTGCTAAAAGTTTTCTATTACTATTCTACTGTGAATAGTAGAAAACTTTTATTTATCTGCTACGTCAGCACTGGGTATCAGTGACTTAATTTTTTTGGTTTAAAATGTATCTTTAAAAAAAAAAAAATCCAGTTAGAGTCTCTAGACAATTTGTTTTGGAAAATACAACCCAAGTCTGCTATTTTGTCTCTTTATGAGAGTCCCTGAATTTTTTTCAGGAGTTTGTTTAATTTTAGGAAAATGAGGTAAATCAGTGCTAGCTAGGCTTATCTTAGCTAGTCAACTGAGTTCTAAAGATACGTAAGTTGTGTTTTCTTTAGAAAAAGTATCACTAATAGAAGGGATTAGCTACAATATAGCTAGTAATAAGTAGCCTTGTTAAAGACAAAATTATTTCTGTGTTTTCTAGCTTGTAAACATAACTAATTATTTTGCTAGTTAGTGAAGTTCAGGCTGATGTTGTATGCACTCGTTTTAGCACTGTATGCAAAGTTAAAGCAAAATTGAGAAGCCTTATTTTTCAGCAATTATCAATGCCCTGAATCTTTCTGAAAAACACTAATCAGCAAAGGAATGCACTTCATTCCCTTTCAAGCTTTGTTAGACAGGGCTACGTTTTTTGTGTTTGTTAAATTATAGATAATGTTGGCTAATATAATACTGACCTTACCATCACTTAGCTATCTGAATAGGGAGCCATTGATGCTTTGGACAAGTTCATAGTAAAAACTTGAAAACTATAGTGCGTTTGGATTCCTTGGGTACTGCTGGGACACATGGACATGCACCTTGTTTTTTAATCAGTTCAGAGATACAGAAGAGGAGAAAATTAAGGCAGGAAAAGACAATCATCTTCCTTTCCCCTCTCCATCCCTCTTTTACAGTAATAAATAATATAATAATAATCTTCTTTTGAAATAACATTTTTTTCATCTTTTTCCCCAATGTAGGTTGTGGCCGTTATGCAGGTGGCCAAGGTTATAATAGCATTGGGCACTTTTGTGGAGGATGGGCTGGTAATTGTGGTGATGGTGGGATTGGAGGAAGCACTTGGTATTTGGTTTGTGATCGATGCAGAGAAAAATATCTCCGTGAAAAGCAAGCAGCAGCAAGAGAGAAGGTATTTTCATCTGTTTCATATGTTTAGCGCTCTATCTGCTCAATAGTACTGTGTTCACAACTTGAAAATAAGGTAGAGCCAGTTTAATTTGGAATTTCAGAATTTTGGAAGGTTTTGGAATATCCATTTGTGTCATTGATATGTTTAAAATAATAAGATAGAAACTTTGCTTATTACTTCTTCCCTTCAGTCAGTAGTGTTTTCAAATTTGTAAAGTAATTTTATTTTTTATCTCAATACAACTGCAGCATAGGAGGTAGTACCTAATTTTTTAAAAGTATGGGTCAGTTTATTTAACTTTGAATTCTGTTTTATTTGTTTACTGAAATATGAGTACTCTTTTAACTTTATGTTTATAGTTTCTTTAATGATCTTCATCATCCAGATCATTGGATACAGATGCCAAACACTGGGTAAACTAGAGCAATTTTTAATGGGAATAGTACAAAATGTGTTCTTCTTACATTGGTCTTCCATGACCAATTTCAAATTCTTGCTTAAAGTATACACATCTGTTGAGAACAATGCTAATTTAACTTTATTTTTGAAACTAAATTTGTTGAAACTTTTTGCACACAAAATTCATCCTGAGGCAAACATCAAAACTTTCAGCTGTTTATTAAAAGTTTGCAAAGTTATGAAAATAATAGAAGTGTCATTTTGTAATTGAACACATTTTATAACAGGAAGAATCAAGCAACTTTAGCATAAGTGACATTGTCAGCTTTTTCTGTGATGAAGTATAATTTAAATATACCTTTTTTAAAAATTTCTCTAGATTAAACAATCTAGGAGAAAACCAATGCAAGTTAAGACTCCTCGTGCCTTGCCAACTATGGAAGCTCATCAAGTGATTAAAGCCAATGCACTGTATTTACTGTCGCTGAGTAGTGCTGCTGAGCCCAGTATCCTCTGCTATCACCCTGCAAAAGCATTCCAATCTCAGCTTCCCAGTGTCAAAGAAGGAATTTCTGAAGACTTTCCCATTAAAATGCCGTGTCTCTATCTACAGACTTTAGCAAGGTAATTAAAGGAAGTTTATGAATATTGATTTTAATACTAATCTATTTATAGTGTTGGATAAAAACGTGTATAAACTAAACTAAAACTTAAATAGAAAAATACATATTCTTTGTGATCTTTGTTATTCTTTCTTTTCTGTTTCCATGATCTTGTTCAATTTCTTAGATTGTATTTGCTCCAAGGGTCAAATATACCCTGAGTAGCTTTCGGATGCTAAATATTTTTTAACAACAGTTTCGTTTCTGTCCAAAGAATTTAGAATTTCCTGAAGAGTTTAACTTAGTGTGCTACTTTTCTCTCTTCACAGTTAAAAATAGTAAGAAGGAAACCAGAAGACTTGTGCTTACTTGGTATTTCTAAGTAGATTTCACTGTAGTGTCTCATGTTTATGATGGATAGACATTTGGGCCCAAAATACATAATGGAAATACCTAATGAAAATACTAAAAGATAGCAAAGAGTGATCCTCACTCCCTGTTGATTGAAAATGCCATTATATTTTCCACTAACTCTTGTAAGTCACAACGAGTTTAAATGCATTAGGTGAGGAGTAAATGAATAACGTTGCCTTGTTACCGTAAGTGGGTGAAATAAGAACACTCTAAGACTCGTTTTGGAGTTTTAGAAAGCAGGCATTCTTTAATGCGGCGCCGGGCACACAGGGGATCGCTCCACCTAGTGTGCGCACCAAATCACTCAACCATAGAAGTTATATACAATTAGAATATACATGTTCATTACATTTCCGAGAAATACTCATGTTATTTCCCGGAATTCGTTAACATATGCAAAAGTCATTGATGCATGCGCCCTTGTATTCATTGGTGGTCTTTCAGGGTCTTCTGGTGGTCTTTCAGGGTCCTCTGGTGGTCGTTGATAGTCTTCCTCACAGTGTCCTTTAGTTGAACTCAGTCTTTACGAGTGCTCAGTTTTAACCCTTGGCTTAATTAGCACAATTCTCATTAGCACAAACTAGCTTAGGCTGGCACAACCCCCTTATCTATTCTACTCAAGATACAAGGTTAGCTTCCTCACCTATTTTACACAGAATACAAAGTTTCAAGGCCTTTTTATCTACTGAATGTCTGGCCTATCTATTCATAAAGCATTCCTAACCCATCTGCATCATTTCAACCAAAGAATCATATGTCTCTTCACTGTTCCTTTGTAATAGGTATCAGGCTGGCTAAATGTATTGGCAAAGGACTTTTGTGTATGTGTGTGTTTCAGGAACTTGTAATCCTTAATCCTACTTTAAAAATCTAATTTGATGTAGGCATCATCATGAAAATTTTGTTGGGTACCAGGATGACAACCTCTTTCAGGATGAGATGAGGTACCTGCGCTCAACTTCAGTACCTGCACCGTACATCTCAGTTACTCCTGATGCAAGTCCTAATGTCTTTGAGGAGCCGGAGAGTAACATGAAATCTATGCCCCCAAGGTACTTCCTTGTAATTCAATTTTCAACCAATACAATTTTTCCAAAATCTCCAGAACTGCAGAAGTGATCTAAATAGCAGTGGTCCAAGGACTGTAGCTGTTGCAAACTCCTTGAAAATGTAGCAATTTTTTTGACCTGTATTTCTGTTCTTTAACACAACTGACTATAGTGCAGATTAATGGCCTTTTTTAAAGGAAGTAGCTGTTATCCTCCTTTGAGGATTTCATTCTGAAGGGAAGTTTGAACAGGAGGGAATTTCATTACCTTACATTTTTCAAAGCAATGTCGCTGCTTCTTTCTGTGGGAAGTTAAAATGTTACTGAAGAAATGACAACTTAATGCTATCTAGGACCAAGAGTGCTAGATGGTTTCTGTGAGGTTAAGCCAGTTTCTTTTCTATTAAGTTTACTATAATCTAATTCAAGCAATTACAGAATTTTTGTTTTGCCAAGGGAAAAAAAGGCTCTTACTGTTACTTAATAATAGTCCAGAATCAACTTAGATGCTCGGTGTTTGCAGATGTCATATGGTGATTCCTCATTATAATGAGGATGTAATGAAGAGAAAACTTGCTTTTAATCTGTTTTTATTTCAATCTATTTTATACTGACTGCAAAAACAGTTTACTGGAATACTACAATCTACGATGTAGTCTTTTCAGAAATAGAACTTTTCTAACAAAACTCCTTAAGAGTGCATCGTATTGGTATATTCCTTTATTAAAACTGTGGACACCATGGTCTCCTGAGGCCTATAGGGACAGCATAAGCTGGGAGTTCTTCTGCAGACTGTAAGAAGTCCACGGAAGGTAAGGAGTAAAACACGTCAGAGGTGTAGCTGTAACAATTGAAAATTGGCTTTAAGGCTAATGATGTCAGAAACTCTTACTTCACATAAATTTCTAAATTTCAGTTGGCTTGCATATTAAAAATTCACTCCATAGATGTTTTCACGTGCATTCTCAGGGCAAATTTGGTCTGAAACTTCAATTCAGGCATGATCTGAATGTTTGTATTCTCTCTAAAAAATACCTAAATTCTTGGAACTTACCATGTACGTCATTACATTTGTTTATAAAGCACTTGCATGCTTTTTCACCATGTGTAATTCAAATAGGCGTTCCTCCTTCTCCAGCATTTAAACAGTTATTAGGTACATAAGACAAACTTTCATGCAGTAGTAGCATTGTCATTATGAAATGCATGTGTCTTTATTTAATATTTATGTGTAATTCAAGTATACTCTATATATTTGTTAATGGGTCTATAACTTCACTGATTTCTTTGTAGTTTGGAAACCAGTCCAATAACAGATACAGACCTTGCAAAGCGTACAGTCTTTCAAAGATCATATTCAGTTGTTGCATCAGAATATGACAAACAGCACTCAATTTTGCCAGCACGTGTAAAGGCTATCCCTAGGAGACGAGTCAACAGTGGAGATGCAGGTAAGAGCACAGACATCAGAAGCAGTGAAAAAATATTCAAGGATATGGCATTGGATTTGCAGTTCTTCCTAGAAACTGTACACAAATAAAATTTTTTATAAATAATGTAATGGCTTTTATTTCTATTTATTAATATACATTAGCTATTTGTTAATCTGCACAGGATTAGCTTAAGAACAGCTCAGGAATTACTGAGGTTCTGAAATTTGTGGTGCATGTTTTGTGCTTGATTTAAAAGTTGAAGTGGTAATTTCTTTCTCAGTTGAAGCATCATTTTTCCACATTGCTTTTTTTAATGCATTTTTCTCATAGAAAAAATGAACAAAAATATCAATTCTAAAATTGCTCTATTGCTTTTTATTTTTACTGTGGCTATAAAATGAAAACGCACAAAGAATCTAATGTATGTATATTTTTATGCTCTTGAATAGAAGTGGGGTCCTCTCTCCTGAGACATCCATCTCCTGAACTTTCTCGGTTAATCTCCGCCCACAGCTCTCTTTCCAAAGGAGAGAGAAATTTCCAGTGGCCAGTATTGGCATTTGTAATCCAGCACCATGATCTGGAAGGACTTGAAATAGCAATGAAACAAGCCTTACGGAAATCTGCTTGCCGAGTCTTTGCCATGGAGGTATTAATATACTAATGGACCTTCTATGATTAAAATAAGATATCTGTAAATTCTGTCTCAGAAGTTTTTTAAAGAATTTTTATATAGATTAAAAAACAAAAAAGAAATTGTTTTGTGATGTGCAGTAAACCTATTCTAAAAGTTCACTTGTGTTATTAATTCTAAAAGTTAGGAATACAAAAGTATTGCCTGTAAACCTTCTTCAATAATTTATCTTTGTGTAGAAAATCTCTGATAAAAGAATATTATTAAAGCTGCAAAAATCAATTATACAAATGCTGTTTTCTCCTCATTTGCTCAGCATCTTCCTGGTCTTACTTGCCGTTCCTTTTTCAAATCTCGGACTGAGTATTCTTTCTTTAGAATTTTTTTGGTGCTGGTAATATCTAGATACTTCACAACTTCCTTCTGAGATGGGTGAATGCTACCCATGTTATGTAGATAGTGAATGGGCAACCAAAAGATCCATTAAAGATCAATTGCTTCAATAAAATCTGCAAGAGGCATCCTCATTGAGGCCATTTTTTTAAATTTCAGCTAAGCTTTAGTAAAGTTTCTTCTGAACTTATATACAGCGTGGGTATTTTTCAAGTATTTGTAATGTGTGAAAATATAGGTGGATTTTCTCAGATAAAGTAAAAACCACACCTCTGCTGTTAAGCACCCCCCATCAAATTTCCAAACATCAACGTGCAGCAGTATTGCAGCTTTTAGAAGAATATAAGAATGTTACAATTTTTAAAAACCCTTTTTTCCCCACTATGTTGATTTTTTTTGGAAGTGGTTGATTTGTTTTGATTAATTCAGTCAGTGGCAGAGACCAAACAAGGAAACCAAATCTCAGCCTAGAGAGTTCTAAATCAAAAAGGATCTTTACTTTGTTAACCAATTTGAATAGTAAGGAGTGCTGCCACCTCATCCTGTAATAATCTCTGAAAATATGTAAGAACTTTGCTTTTTCATCCTTAAAGCTTTTTTCAAAGAACTTATTTTGGTGTATGGTGTGCTATGTCCCCTGTAATATAGTTGTCATTTTAGTAAACTGTTTTAGCTATAGAGCAATGTGTGTTACTTGAAGACCTCTGCATTATTATTTGCCTGTCCAAAAGCATCAGTGCACCTCCTTACATAAATGGTTTAAGAAATGGTTTTACTCCAGGTCTGCTTAGCCAATTGGTAACTCCTTGTGTGTATTTTATTATAGGCTTTCAACTGGCTTCTTTGTAATGTCATTCAAACAACTTCTCTTCATGATATTTTATGGCATTTTGTGGCTTCACTGACTCCTGCACCTGTAGAGCCTGAAGAAGAGGAGGATGAAGAAAATAAATCAAATAAAGAAAATGCAGAACAAGTGAGTGAGGTTCAGCACTCCTTCTGTAAATACAGTATGTCAGTTGATTTTGTAGTCAATTTAGAAATATTTTTATTATGTGGAAAAAAGAAGAAAAAACCCAACCCTACAAACCACTCTTAATCCTCTCTCTGTGAAATAGAACCTTAATTATTGAATGAAAATTCTTAGTCTTAAATTTTGGTAGTAATAGTTTAATTATTTTTTCTTCTAAAATCACCAAATTCTCAGAATTACAGTCTTAATGCATTATTTTTGTAAGTATTCATGGGAAAGAAGGAAAAAAAAAAAAGCACAAGCACATTGCTAATCCAGTAACAAAAAAAATTTAGTGTTTGCTTTTTATTCTTTCTTTGTCCCCTCAAAAAGAAGAGAGAAAAGAGAAAATATTTTTCAGAGAAGCTTTGTTGTTTGGTCTGCTGTGTCTTGCAGTGCTTTAAGAAGAGTCTATAGTTAAGTCTGAAAATCTATAGTTAATTTAAGTAATTATATATA